TGAATACATCTAATGCTATGCTCTATAGAGGGGGATGGATAATTGGGAAGCAACCTATATACATAAGGTATAACTCTACATAGCTACTATTTGAAAGTTCTAAGATTAACGGTTAATATAGTATATATTATAAATGCAGAAATCCTAATAAACTTGAAAGTTTATGGTCTTACACAGTAGTGATATTAATACTTCATTAATTAGTTTTATTAATTGAAATTTAATGCACACATAATTGAATAAATGTGACTAAACATAGCTAACCAGCAACTTTCCTCGTTGTACCAATGAATGAATATTATACGCGCGTTGCCACTTCAAAAGAATAATGAAGCATATCTAAAATTCAAATTACTTATTCGAAATTTTAATTCGCGCTCTTGTATAATCCATTCTCGTTATCGATTATTTTTTGTATGACGAAAGATAAACATCGATCGATGTGTTTTTTGTATCCTCTGTTTATGGAGATATATAATTGATCAGTAACAGAATTGTAATGTTAAAAGTAACCAGGCTGACATTGATGAAAACCTAGACTTTGACCTCCATTACCAAAGCTTTCGTTTTATGTGTTTAGATTTCTTTCTTTCTTACTTCTAGATTTTAATTTTAGATACTAACTTATATTGTGTAAATCTTATTAAAAAATCACAGTCTACTACTATCTTTTGCCTGTGACTTCTTAGTTATCATGATTATAACTCTATCCCAAATAGCGTCGGGATAGTCTAATGACACGTTCTAATACAAGACATTATTATATGTATAGACATATGCAGTAGATAGAAAATAATATTGTTAATATTAGTTGTACTCACTTTACATGAAGCCGTCTTGTCCTCATGTCATATGCCAATTATTAAAAACTCTACCAAACTCTATAAACAAAGTGTGTCGTGTGGTACCTCAAAACCATCCCGCCTGTGTAAACTATGGCATTTATGATATGTTGTTAAAACCTTTTAAAATAGGTACGTCAATTCCCCAAATTTCTTCTAAATGAACGAAAGTAGAACGCGATAACAAGCCATCTCGTAAAGATATCGGTTCCAAAACTTTGTCCTGCTCACGTAAAATCTAAAAGATATGAGTGGGAACAGAACAGATACATACTTATTATTCTTTAGCAGAACGATGACGGTAAGTGATAATTACAGTGATACTAATATGACTAACACTAAGATACATAATTATCTATCTATGATAAACATTCATAAGTACCTATACCATTTAGTTTATAAATTTTAATAGATAAAGTAATTAACTAGATTTCTTTTAGGAATCATTTCTATATAGGTCGTCTTATTGCTTAATTCAGTTTAAATATATATACAACTTATTCTGTGGTTGTACCTGTTAACTAATTGTATAATTCATAATTGATTGTTGTAAAATTTATTATTTTCTTTTACAAACTATGTATTTATTTTGAAAGCATTAAATTTAAATTAGAAATTGCTATCAATAAATAGCTTAATTATTTAAAAAAAATAGGAGAATATATCTGTTTTATATTCAGTTCTATCTTTATCAAACACTATACACAAAGCTACCAACGGTTAATCTCATTATCACGAAAGTCATCCAGGTAGGCTAATGTCAAATTGTATGGCAAAATCATAATTGATTCATTTGGGACACTCGTGATACTAAACGTATTGATGAATGACGCCGGTTTCAAATTAAATATTATCACTGCTAACATCGCCATAACGCGTTCTAAATGTAGAAACACTGCCTACGCGCTCCCTTCACCAGCTTATCAAATGAGTTGTTCGAGGACGAAGTAGCGAAGTCATGTAAATTGAGCTGATGTTGAAATTCATAATTAAATAAACAATTTCCTTCCTTTTTATTATTCGTGTGTAATAAGTATTATAAAGGTAATAGTATAAAGATGAAGAGTTTGTTTTGGTTGAAGAAGCTAAACTTGATACTTCGGATACTTGATTGATCGGATATCCCATTTATCGAATAACGCTACAATCAATAGAAACATTACATCAATGTCTAAAAGCGATGACAATGTATTATTCATTTTGAGAGAGCTTATATGAAGCAGACAAAGTTGCGCGGGTAAGCTAGTAAACCATATAATTACAGGCAATTTGCGCTATAAATAATGTCAATATATTTATCGGTTGATCAATCGAATGTCAAGGAGAATCGGAGTAGATCCTGTGCGCCGGCGCCGGCCACACTTATCTGCATAGCTGCCAGTATTGTAATTACGACCCAATATCCAGCCAGTTGATAATGTTGGTATGCACCTGCAATCGGCTCTGTACGATTTATAACTAATTATGTAAAATACAAACTAGAATTGTGTGTTACAATATCATATTTTAGACTTGACTAGAAGTGCCCGCGATTTCGTACGCGTCTTCGTTTGTAGATCGGCATTGAAGGCATCGGTATTTGATGATAATTAAACTAAATCAATAAGTAATGCATTTATATATATAACGCCATATATTATTTCATTACCGTATAAATTGTTATATTTTTTTAAATAACTTTTTGTTTATTATCTTCTATGCTTTAAAGGATCTATTTTAGACTATACCTGTTAACTAACTTTAACAAATTATTCTGTGAAATTATTGTCAGCTTTCTTACAGCCATTTTGACGTGAAATGCTAACACAAACAGATGAACAGACAAACTTCGAAATTTTATCTATCTCAACTTACAGTTTAAAAACAAACAATCAAAACTACTTATTATATACATATATAAGTAAACGTGAAAATACGTAGGCGTGAAACTACATCAGTATCAAGATATGGTATAAAATTATTAATTAACTTCTGGAATACTTACTCATGAAACTTATATTCATGTCAGACTGTATGTGTGACTCTATATGTTACGAACTTACAAAAAAGTTTATGACGATTTGTTTGTCTGTTAATACGTAACAGGAAATGTATATAACGTTTATAAACTTTGAATATTAGTAATTCTAATAGCCGGCTACTTACATAAATATAAAGTATAGGTGTTTATAGGTAGTTACAACATTTGCATACAGGGAGTGAAGCCTAACAATAGCATCGAGGAATGTAAGCTCAATGCTTATTTGCTACCAAGGTTGATGGTGTGTGCTTACACTAACGTGACCATACGTGTCCTTTAGAACGGGACAGTCATATTTTCGTTTGTTTCCAGTATCCCTGAAAAGAACCTATTATACATATAGAGTCGTCGTTCGTCGTTCGTCTTGTTTTCAGAAACTGTACAATTATTGGTGACCTTTTAACTTTCAATATACTCCACTTTTGAAAAAAAAAAATAGCTATTACCCATTGCTATTGTAATAAATTATCTATTATGTTCAAAATTTTATTAAGATTTCTTAAGCTCTTTAAGTGAAATATGGAATAGTGCAAGAGTCTGCACTATTATAATTATTTATAAAAATTAGATTTTCTTCTCATTAAGTACCTAGGAGACTTTATATATCTATATCTATATTCATTATAAATCCTACTAATTAAGAGGAATAAATCGATGTCCCGTTTTTGGTTAAACAATAAATGGACACTTTACGACACACAACAGTGAACTCTTTACAAAAATTAAACCAATAAGGAATCTATTGCACAGAATTAATTTCCCTAGTAATAATTATTAAGCACCTATTTAATTTACTACATAGGCACGTTTTAGATTAGTTGAAGCAATAAATGTTACCTTTCCTTTCTATTATAATAAATATTAAACCTATTCAAATTTAATTGAGTATATTAACTTCCAAATAATATGACATCAGTTGTAACTCCCTCATGATGATTACACATGTTTGTTTTCCTTTTATATGTAATTGAATGGCGAATAAGCTGATGCCCCACCGAATTGTTAATGATAACAGTCTCCTATATCATGATCAGCACGGACATCACGTTATCATGTGATGCCGGGGATGGGCTAACTGACTTGACTTAATATGCATCTCATCTTCCTCTATTAGGTTCCGCCAGCATATAGCGTTACCGCAGGCAGATACACCATTTTATTATCAATCTTATAAAAAAAATTATATTGAATATATTTATATACAGCCTACAGACATTTAAACCCAATAGTATTTGCATAATTTTGTAGTTATTTGCACTTCGCCCTAAAGCTATATAATTATAATTTACATTTATTTGATGATTACAGTTAACAATTACGAGACAGATTTGAACACAGGTTACAAGAAGGCAAGGCAAGTTAGGCAAGGTAGGAGATCATTAAATATCAGATAAGTACCATAAATTTTCTACTGTATACATTCGTAGTTTATCAACCACGATCTACGTCTTGGGAACAATAAAGCACTGCTTGCCTACACACCTTATTGCATAATTTGATGGAAGAAACCTTTCAGCTCTATTAATAGTAGAATTTGCGATTATTTATGAACCAATGTGTTAAGTTAGTTAAGTTGAACAGAACTTAGCCCATATGGTAGTAGAAGAACGATATGTTTCTTTTCTGAAAAGATCTCTATGGGTAGTTTTGGCATCACTCTGGTCATTACGCTAAACTACATGTGTTATCACAAATTTCACGTCATAAGTAATATTTTATATACTAGCAATAGTAGTTGGGATCTCAGTTTCACCTGTATTCTAATTTAAAAGAAATGGCGGCCGCCTACCTCTTTTATTACTTCCTTTTTACTTACCACTACTTCTAAATTTTATCTTTTAGTTCAGCTTCGAAAATTTGCTACATGGCCTATTTTCATCCAACAATCAGACTAACGTTAAAAAATACGAAAGTGTGTGTGAGATTTATGTGTCCAAACAAGTATGTAACGTGAACATGCCTTTAACAATATATTTCACGCTAAAAATACCTCTCTTATTATTCCTAATTTAAGTGACTGTTTCAAATATTTTTTGCTACATATTTTCGCTATCAACACAAAACATCCTGTGAATTATTATTATCGGAACATCCGTAGTGGCCTAAATGAGCCTATACTGCATGTATAAATCACTTCGCATCCCATTGTTAACAAGCTTACAATGCTCCTCGTCATCATAGTCACCACAATACTGTTAGGAGTTGAGGGATCAGATTACAGATGTAAGTAAGATATCCGTTTATTGTCTAGCTTCAGATATACAAAACGCGAATTTTGTTTAAATTTGTATATATACTTTAGACTTTACTTTAGTTTATGAGTTACTTCAAATGCAGGGGGCATTTGAAGTAACTCATATGTTGTATAGAATATTTCAAGTACACACTAGCTCTGAATATTTTAATGAGTGGCTACCTAATTATTATTAACTACTGATGATAATATGATGATATATGAACCCCCTTATTGTATACAACATAGCGTACATTGTTAATATTTATTTTATGCAACTAGCTAATGAACTGATATACCATCTCATGGTAAGTGCCAGCCATGAACCAAGTTATTTTAATTCTCTCTTAAGTAACTCCCATTATCCTCCACTTACATTACCTACCTCTTATGAGTTGTCATTGCGGAAGACTTAGAATTAAATATATAAATTATATAATTTAATAATGCCAATAAGTACATATATTGAACTCTAGAACGCGTGTATTTTTCAAAACAAATTTCAAACAATGCTAAATAATGACACTGTACTAGCCTTGTATAACGCGGTCAACAGATATTTTTTTACCATCCGACGCTCTTCATATTACAGCGGAACTAACAGACCCTGCGTGGCAAGATGTGTTCTCCAATGGTGGTATGCATATAGGCAGAGGAAGGACAAAGCGGTTTGTACAACTCAATGAAAGTCAGGTAATGAGATCAAAATTTCTATGAACAGCTCTAGTGATACATACGAATCACAAAGCTTTACCATCATTGAATTTCATATATATATATATATATATATATATATATATATATATATATATATATATATAATATCCCCTTGGGCACTTTGTGGCTCAGACGTGCCGTATAGGTAGTTTTTTGTTGATCCTTTTTCACTTGTTGATCCGGAGGCCTTTTGTTGATCTAATGCCAGCTGACGATATATAAATGTTGATCCTTTTTGAGCCACAACTGTCACGACGAGTAATAATAATAATTAAGCGATTTATACACGATTTTATACAAATCCATCTTTTTGGCATTCGACCACTTCTTGATCCAATTCAAACGGGCCAATCAGGGTGCAGCATTTGCCAAGGGCTTCCTCATTGGCACGTTTGGACTACTACATTATGGCTACAGTAACTTAATAATGTCTAGCTAGTATTTCAAGAATAATAGTCTATCTAATCTAAATATTTATAGAAATCAGTCTAGAGGAACGTGACTCCAGATCAAACCTCAATACTTGTTATTTTTTGGACGGGAATTTTTCCTTTAGTAACAACGTTACTGAGCGAATGAAGAGAAGACGTAACGGCGGATCCAGGGGGGAGCGTCATGGAGGTCTTGGGAGTCATGGGGGCGTCATGACTCTCCCCCCCTTACCCCAGGACTTAGGTAGACCACTAATTGAACTAAAAAATAATGAAACAGCAAATTTTTTTGCACGATCGGAGTGTTGGTGCAGTAGTATTAATTATAATTAAACATTGTTACTTAAAATATAACAGTTAAAGTACTATAACACTAAAAGCAAAATAGGTATTTTCAAAATAAATTACCCTTTGAGTTTTTGTCCAAACCTCAGATATTTTATTTATTTTAGGTATATCAATCATTACATAGTATAGTATAGTATAAAACAAAGTCGCTGTCGCATCTAACAAGTACATAAATAAAGAAAGAAGACTTTTTGGCTCTGAATATATTTCAAAAATCAATTACTTGTGTTAATCAATTTATATACTCTTTCTTATTTCATAGTACTTGTTTTGATCCGAGTATATACAGATACCGTAACGGTCTATTAATTATGAATTTATTATACCTAACCTAGATATTCTATTTTGACGAAACTCCGTGTAGTAGTAGTATCCGATAAGGGTATGCGAACCCTAAGTATTATTTCAAATTGACCAGTAACTTTGAATTTTGAATTTTGATTTTAATAAGCCTTTGAATCAACTTACCAAACGGACGCTCAAGGTTCGATTCCCGCCACCGATTTTTTTTTGTTATTTTTTTTTGTCTTTATTCTAATTTTAAATTAACTATTTTAATAATTAAATGAATTTAATCGAACAAAACGTTGTTAAGTATTCAATTAATTTTAATTTACATTACCTATTGTACTTTCTAAATTGTAAAGCAGCTAACAATTATAGTAAGATCTTATAAATAACTAACACAACAAGTAAAATATTTTAAATGTATTTTCTTTATTATTACAAATATTTTTTATGCATAATATAATAGTTAATATCACTTACAATTAATTTAATACTTAACAACGATTTTATCGATTAAATTCATTTAAATATAACCCATAAATGTATAAATATTATATATAAATAAATACATAATGATCTGATAATCAAATTATAAGTACAGTCTCAAATTGAAAGTAAGAAAAACAGAAAATATAGAGAGAACTATAGGGATATAACAGAAAGATGTGAAAAATGGAGAAGGACAGTAAAAAAGTTACAAATTTAAATAACGTTCCCGCAATTTCTGTTTAAATGAATTTATTACATTATTATATATATTAGGCATACGACTAGCCTTATGACTGTTACTTTTTTTTTAATCTATACATCTATACATGTAAATAAAATTGGAGTGTCTGTTTGCAATATTGAAATAACCGTTTTTACTACTTGCATATGAATATAAATACGGTACATACACCAAAATAACATATTTTACAAGTTTTGTCTGTCTGTCTGTCTGTTTGTTCCGGCTAATCTCTGAAATAGCTGGACCGATTTTGACGGGACTTTTTTTGGCAAGTAGCTGATGTAATAAGGATTAACTTACGCTACTGTTATTTTAGAAAAATAAAATAAAATTTCACGCGGACGAAGTCGCTGGGGCCAGCTAGTCTATAGATATACCGAGATTTAATATTTAAGTTGCTATTATGTTGTTGACAAAATTTTACTGTAATGTTACTATTACGTTATCCTACACAATTTGTATTATTTTGGATGAAAAAATAAATAAATAAATAATAATCTATACATATAAATAAAATTGGAGTGTCTGTTTGTAATATTGAAATAACCGTTTTTTACTACATGCATATGAATATATATAAGGTACATATACCAAAATAACAATTTTTATAATTTTTGTCTGTCTGTCTGTCGGTCTGTTTGTTCCGGCTAATCTCTGAAATGGCTGGACCGATTTTGACGGTACTTTTTTTTGGCAGGTAGCTGATTTATAAGGAGTAACTTAGGTTACTTTTATTTTAGAAAAATAAAGTTTAATTCCACGCGGACGAAGTCGCGGGAACAGCTTGTTTTTAATAAAAACGGTTTATTTGATAGAAAAAACATCTTTTTTGTGGTACTTGAGAATGTTGAAGCCTGTTGTTTGTATTATTGAAATAACCGTTTTTTACTACTTGCATATGAATATAAATACGGTACATACACCAAAATAACATATTTTACAATTTTTGTCCGTCTGTCTGTTTGTTCCAGCTAATCTCTGAAATGGCTGGACCGATTTTGACGGGACTTTTTTTGGCAGGTAGCCGATGTAATAAGGAGTAACTTAGGCTACTTTTATTTTAGAAAAATAAAGTTAAAAACCACGTGGACGAAGTCGCGGGAACAGCTACTGTATAATATATTAGAGATACCAACGTGTTTTTTTATTGATGACTAGCTGTACACGGGATTTCGTCCGTGTGGAATTTCACTTTATTTTTCTAAAATATAAGAAGTTAAATTCCACGCGGACGAAGTCGCGTGTACAGCTAGTTGTCGGTAGTCTAGCGATTTAGCACACTGCTTTGATTCCTGCTTGGTGGTCGAGGGTTCGATTCCTCGCACGCTGCAAACATTCGTATTCATGAGTATGATTGTTTGTAACGGTCTGGGTGTTTTCTATGTATAGATAATATATATGTATTTACGACAAAAAATCTTTGTATTTATATCAGTTGTCTAGTACCCATAACATAATCTTCAGCTAGCTTAACTTGGGTCTAGACGAAGCTGTGTGAATTGTCTTGAGATTACTATTATTACTATAATAAATCTTTTCAAATCAGCCGATGTTTATTTTTGCCATAATACGTGCTGTTACCATGTGATAATATTACGTACTTATTACTGTTTTAAATGTGATGCGTTCATTATTTGTATTTCCTTTGAATTAAAGACAAATGTATATATATATATATATATACATTTATATAAACTTGCACACTTAGTTGATCCAGCCACGATCCGTAGATATTGCTGATTCCACTGTCTCTCTCTTTCTACCACTATAACGGTAGCGTGGCGGAACGGCAACATGTTGCCGTTCCGCGTTCTACCACTATCTTTGTATTCTAGTATGCGATGTTGCCGTTCCGGCCGAGACCATGCGTTGTTGCCAAATATATTCGTCGATAGTAGTAGATACTCGATATATATTTTTTCAACAATTTCTTGCAATAGTGAATCCGTATCGGCAAAATTTTTTAAATGCACAAAGATTTTTTGGCTCTGAATATATTTAAAAATCATTTACTTGTGTGTTGATGAATTTATATACTAGTAAATGAAGTACCTAATACTTGTTTTGATTTGAATAGGTAGCGATATTATGAATTTATTATACCTAATCTAAAGATTTTGACGAAATAAAAGTAATTAGTTATCTGTTAACCTTGACTTCATGCTGGCACCAGTATTATCAGATGATGAACATACTCTTCGAAAACTTACAGCAGAAATATCGTGTTTGGACTCATTAGATAGGTCTCGATGAATAGAGTTTAAAAAACTTAAAATAAATGGTAAATTAGAAATAATGTATAAATACCACTTACGTAAAATTCAACCACTTTAAACTTAATAATAATAATAATTAGGAAAAGAGAAAAGCTATACATGCACTGAAAGTAATTGATGCCTTCCACACAATATTTTCAGTATTAAACAACTCTGTTTGTTCAGTAAAAGTGTAAATACACTGGTAACCTTTAATCATATTTTATATGCAAACATTACATATACAAACCCTAAAGTTTTATTTCAGAATAGCCAGCAGTTTTCAAGAAATAAGTCTTTGAAATTGTACGTGTAACTTATATATATACTAGTTTTTTCACCATAACAAACAACACCAATATGGCCTAGTTAGTAGTTTACCTGTGTACCAATTAATAATAATAGTAATCTCAGGACAATTCACACAGCTTCATCTAGACCCAAGTTAAGCTAGCTGAAGATTATGTTATGGGTACCAGACAACTGATATAAATACAAAGATTTTTTTCGTAAATACATATATATTATCTATACATAGAAAACACCCAGACCGTTACAAACAATCCTACTCATGAATACAAATGTTTGCAGCGTGCGAGGAATCGAACCCTCGACCACCAAGCAGGAATCAAAGCAGTGTGCTAAATCGCTAGACTACCGACAACTAGCTGTACACGCGACTTCGTCCGCGTGGAATTTAACTTCTTATATTTTAGAAAAATAAAGTGAAATTCCACACGGACGAAATCCCGTGTACAGCTAGTCATCAATAAAAAAACACGTTGGTATCTCTAATATATTATACAGTAGCTGTTCCCGCGACTTCGTCCACGTGGTTTTTAACTTTATTTTTCTAAAATAAAAGTAGCCTAAGTTACTCCTTATTACATCAGCTACCTGCCAAAAAAAGTCCCGTCAAAATCGGTCCAGCCATTACAGAGATTAGCTGGAACAAACAGACAGACGGACAAAAATTGTAAAATATGTTATTATGGTGTATGTACCGTATTTATATTCATATGCAAGTAGTAAAAAACGGTTATTTCAATATTACAAACAACAGGCTTCAACATTCTCAAGTACCACAAAAAAGATGTTTTTTCTATCAAATAAACCGTTTTTATTAAAAACAAGCTGTTCCCGCGACTTCGTCCGCGTGGAATTTAACTTTATTTTTCTAAAATAAAAGTAACCTAAGTTACTCCTTATAAATCAGCTACCTGCCAAAAAAAGTACCGTCAAAATCGGTCCAGCCATTTCAGAGATTAGCCGGAACAAACAGACCAACAGACAGACAGACAAAAATTATAAAAATTGTTATTTTGGTATATGTACCTTATATAATTTCATATGCATGTAGTAAAAAACGGTTATTTCAGTATTACAAACAGACACTCCAATTTTATTTATATGTATAGATGTATAGATTATTATTTATTTATTTATTCATCCAAAATAATACAAATTGTGTAGGATAACGTAATAGTAACATTACAGTAAAATTTTGTCAACAACATAATAGCAACTTAAATATTAAATCTCGGTATATCTATAGACTAGCTGGCCCCAGCGACTTCGTCCGCGTGAAATTTTATTTTATTTTTCTAAAATAACAGTAGCGTAAGTTACTCCTTATTACATCAGCTACTTGCCAAAAAAAGTCCCGTCAAAATCGGTCCAGCTATTTCAGAGATTAGCCGGAACAAACAGACGGACAGACAAAACTTGTAAAATATGTTATTTTGGTGTATGTACCGTATTTATATTCATATGCAGGTAGTAAAAAACGGTTATTTCAATATTACAAACAGACACTCCAATTTTATTTACATGTATAGATGTATAGATTAAAAAAAAAGTAACAGCATAAGGCTAGTCGTATGCCTAATATATATAATAATGTAATAAATTCATTTAAACAGAAATTGCGGGAACATTATTTAAATTTCTAACTTTTTTACTGTCCTCCTTTTTTCACATCTTTCTGTTATATCCCTATAGTTCTCTCTATATTTTCTGTTTTTCTTACTTTCAATTTGAGACTGTACTTATAATTTGATTATCGGATCATTATGTATTTATTTATACATTTATGGGTTATATATTTATGTATGTATATTGTTATTTTTTTATAGAAATGTATATTTTGCTTATCTTTATTATCTTTATAAATATTTTTTTGACATTTCTTATTTATATTAGTGCACCGCCAATAATCTTTCGCTGCACCACTCATGGTTGCCTGGTAAATAACGCGGCAAGATATTAAGTCCGCCACATGTACAATTTTTTTTGTGCATTAAAGTTAAATAAATAAAAAAAATACAATACTGTTTAATGAAAATGCGTATTGTCTAGTGCTTTGAGATGTATCAAAATAAGGTCAACAAAAAAGTCCGTGATGGTATATGTCTATCTCTCAAGGATAACCAACAATAACCATTTTTTATCTTTTACATTTTACGGGAATTTTTTTTATCGTATGTTTCCCTTAAAATCATGTAAACTATGCTATTATGTCATAATCTAAAGAAATAATAATATTTTATAGTGAAATATCCACTATAAAATACCAAAAAGTAGCAATGTAATTCATTACGCGCGAATCAGGTGTTATAAGGTCAAAGGTCGGTGCACCCCGCGTATTTGATAAATCTAAAGCTTCTCTGGATGTCTTTAAGAGAAAATGGCAGTATGTACGTGTATATGTCACACAAGTCCTTAAGTGATAAGTTTTTCAAATGTACAATATAGAATAAATATTTTTAAGTACAGTACTTACGTACATTAATATAATACCTACTTTTTACTTGTATCTATTGTTATCAAAATTAAATTATAAGTTCTTAACTTGACCACGACTATGTGACCCTCTCTTGGCGCCAAAACGAGTGAAAAAATGAACAGCATACGACGACGACGCAGTACCTATAGAGTGGAGCAACTGCTTATTCAGTTTTATTCAACTATTTAGTCCCTCCACCGTTACAATGAATGGAGGCGGATATTACAATGTACGTAGCATTGCGAATATAAAATATCTAGATTAGGTATAATAAATTCATAATTCATAGGCCGTTACGGTATCAGAGCCAAAAAGTCTTCTTTCTTTGTTTATGTACTGTTAGATGCGACAGCGACTTTGTTTTTATATTACTATGTAATGATTGATATACCTAAAATAAATAAAATATCTGAGGTTTGGACAAAAATTCAAAAGGTACTTTATTTTGAAAAAGTATTTTGAAAATACCTATTTTGCATTTAGTATTTGAAATACAAAAACAAAACTATTATTGTTTTTAGAGTGACATTTCTATGAATTCACTGTCGATAGCGAGCGGTGGGATGGAAAAAGATAACCGTTTATAAATATATAATAAATAGCCCTGGACAATTAACACAGACTGATACTGAACTGATATAGATATTTTTATTTTGTAAATACATATATAATATACATATAAAACACCCAGACCGATGAAAACAATCGATGACCGATGAGTACAATTGTTTGCACCGTGCGAGAAATCGAACCCGCGACCATCGGATGTAAAGCGGTGTGACCACCGAGGCAGTCGAAATATATAAATAATCTTATGAATTTAATTTATTCTAATTTGTTTGTGTGCGCGGGGTGCGGTGTACGGTGCTCCCCCTTGCCTCCAACGTTGCTGGAGCTTGCATGTATGGAGCATTGCGAATATAAAATATCTAGATTAGTAAATTCATAATTGATAGACCGTTACGGTATCTATATATATTCGGATTAAAATAAGTATCGCAGTAAGGACCAGTATATAAAGTGATCAACATAATTAATTGATTTTTGAAATATATATACAGAGCCAAAAAGTCTTTGTGTATTCAAAAAATATCTAATTTGTTTGTGTGCGCGGGGTGCGGTGTACGGTGCAGGGGGGACCCTGCCTCCACCGTTGCTGGAGCTTGCATGTATGGAGCATTGCGAATATAAAATATCTACATTAGTAAATTAATAAATTCATAATTGATAGACCGTTACGGTATCTATATATATTCGGATGTAAATAAGTATCGCAGTAAGGACGAGTATATAAAGTGATCAACATAATTAATTGATTTTTGGAATATATTCAGAGCCAAAAAGTCTTTGTGTATACCAAAAATTTAGCCGTTCGGAGCCATTCAGTCACGAATTATTAGTAAAAAAAGTGTCGAGTATATCGTACTATCGACGAATATATATGGCCACATCGCAAAATAGAATGCGACGTTGCCATACCGCCTGAGATATACGCGATAGAGGTCAAGTTATTCAGTGCAAAAGGTGGAATCGGCAAGTGTTTAGGTTGTGGCGTGATCAACAAAGTGCCCAAAGAGGTGTTTATATATATATATATATATATATATATATATATATATATATATATATTTTTAATCCTTTGACAATTCCTACAACGTCCAGTTCCAAACAGAGCTTGTGTTATGGGTATTAGACAACTGACATACTTTTTTAAGAACTTTCATGATATACATAGAAAATATAGAATAGACGCAGACCATTAACAAGACTCAAGAACACACATGTTTGTACTGTCCGAGGAATCGAACCCGCGACCGTTGGAAGTAAAGTAATATGCGTAAATTGAAAACCTACGGTCAAAACTCTACTAAGTTTGACAGACCCGTGCTTCCAATGCCTATCAATTATATTTATTCTGTGAGAATTGAGAATTGTTAAACGTGTTACATTACAAAGCTGGTAAAGTAGATATTATCGTGCAGAGATCAAATTAGACTCCAATTGAATTACCTATTCACTGTATACAAATACAAATATTGAATACGAATTTCTTATCACTGTTTGGAATGTCTCATTCGACAAGACAGCCTGAAGTCAGGGTTATCAACCTTAAAACTTTTTATCTACTACAAGTAAAACGTCGTATATTCTTATATTTTAATCGACAATGGTACGACTACTAATAGTATAGTTAAAGTTATTACGGCCTGTACGCTATTTAACTCTACAACTGGTAAGTGTACATAAATTAAAACTTAATATATATACACTTAACTGTTTGTTGTATTCTTTTTTATTTATTTATAATAATATTCACAACAGTGAAAAATTGTATGACGATAATATTTCATTTATTCTTTTGCACATAAACTTTTACACATGATGGACTTAAGTGGGTTTTTCTACTAGTCAACAGTCGTGCATATAAGAGATAATAATGCGGTGCAATTTAATAACTGACATTAAAATATAAAAACTGAAAAATAATATATAAACACCTAATAATGTACTTCGTGCTGGTGACCAAATCTCTCGTATTTGTACAAGGTTTTTTGTACTGTTGCCATCCCTGACTGAAGGTCTGTGTAGGCGAAGCATTTCTGATCGCTATTAAAGCTTACAATGTCGCCACAATACACTGCGTGCGAACCTGAACTTTCTCCTGTGAGAAAGTCGGTAGGAAGAAGTTCTGTCCATCATGATTTGCTTGTATATAAATGCAATTATTCTGTAGCCTAACATCGCATACCAAGAATGCGTGTTGCCAAATGGCAAAGGAGGTCACTGTAGACATCTGCACTACTGCGTCCAGGATGACTTCAAACAGAACATACTCAAGTTTACGCAGTATCTATGCCTTATAGAGAGTGTGTAAGTATAAATTGTTCAAGCGAATTATGAAAAATAACAATTTCGATTTTCGTTTAACTACTAACAGCCTAGCAAGTTGACTCAACACGAATATAAAAACTCAAACCGAAAGCCACACTCAAACATTATTTGTTTTATTCATACACTCTGGATGACAATGCATACTTAGCTAAATAACGGCGGACCACCCAAGATGGCGGTCTAGTTATTTTTTATGGACTTCCATTATATACGTAAATGGGTATAATATAAATAGTTAAAAAGCTTTATTTTTCAATTTTACATAGCTTACAATTACTGTCCTGGAAAAATCCTGTCGGCGTTGTATAAAAGGGTTTGATGAGAATAATACTTGAAAAAAAATTATCTCACCTTAAATCCAATATGGCAGACTTAAAAGCTTGTTTTTGTTTAATTTTATTTATTTCTATTACAATACATTTGTGTTACAGTAGCATAGGTGTATGTTGTCCAGATGTAGAAGGCCCAGAAGGACTCGCTGGAGATTTACCGGCCACCGCGCCTCTTGAAGAATCCAATGATCTCCTAAATAAAATTACTCGAGAAGAAAACAGAGGTGAACAGATATTTGTTATAAATAAATAGATAAGTACCTGGAAAAACAAATAGTCTAATCATTCAAGAAAATAGAATCGGGGCTTGTTGCCGATTCTGTTTTTTTAAATGTAGTACAATGTGAACGACTTATGCAGTATTGAACCAGAAATTACATAAAGAAATTTACTACTTTTATTTACTAAAGAATTTTACTTCACCAGACGAGGATTTATTTAAGATAAAAGTCAACAGTTTCTGGTACCGCAACACATATGAGATGAATTACGAAAGTAAACATGAAACATATAAGAAGCAGGAAAGCCTTATAATGAAATAGAGCGATACCAATAGACAATATATTTCATTTAAATAATTTAAACAGGTTGTGGTCTCAGTACCCGACCGCATGAACGCGTGTTTGGCGCTAGACCAGCAAATCCACGGGAGTGGCCGTGGATGGCGTCCATCACCCCGGTAGGCTTTGAACAGTACTGCGGAGGTGTACTCATTACTGATCGCCACATTCTTACAGCTGCACATTGTACAAGAAGGTATGCTTTTAATTACATAAATTAAAAAAAACAAATACAAACGATAACCTTTCTACTTGCCATTTCAGAACAGACAACGACGTACGTTGTAAGGCAACGTACGTCGTTGTCTGTTCTGAAATTCATTTTCTTGCCTGTGGAAATAACCGATTTTTTCTACAGTGATATTCGTCAAACAGGTACTGTCCTTCAGACGTTCTATAAATCTCCGCGGATTTGCAGTGCCCTCAGTACTCGCCCCCATTTTTCGTCTGGATAAGGTGCAAAAGCATTAGAATAGATTGAAAAAAAAGATAACTTATGAAAATCCTATAGTACAAACAAAAAGTGTTTTGGGAATAGATGACGCTTTGTGATATGTCTATGATGTATTCGCTTCTACAGATGGAAAGCAGAAGATCTGCGAGTTCGGCTGGGCGAGTACGACTTCAATCGAAACAATGACTCCCGTTCATACAATTTCCTTGTGAGCGAAATCCATCAACATGCAGACTTTGAATTACCAAGCTACCACCACGACATCGCAATTCTAACACTCCACAGGCCCGCAGTGTTCAACACTTATGTTTGGCCAATATGTCTTCCGCCACTCGGGTTGAAATTGACGAATAAAACTGCTGTTATTATTGGTGAGAAACAACCTAGTTACTTAAGAATTATATAATGAGTAACCTACATATACCACATACTTTATTATCTGTGACTTGTTCTTTAAAACCTCCGCGTCAAATTTCATTAAATTATCAACGAAATTTAGTTAAATTTGACCCAATGGTATGTTTAGTCGTGAAAAACTAACAAATATACAAAGAATCAGAAAGACGAACAGACATAAACACTTTAGCATTTAAAATATTGGTATAGGTATATGTAATTGAATTTAATCATTTTGTTTATATCCTAATTTAATTAATAAGTTTCGGAGTATATCAAAGAATAGTACATCTAATCTCTTTTCATCCCCATAACTCGAGTACGACTATGGGAATAAAACACAATACAGGTGCAAAAGGGACATCATGCTCAAACCCTATATTATTTCATTGTTACAATTACGTAAAAAAATCTCTTTCATTCTTTACTATCTCTACTTTAAATATACTAGTCTTATATATGTCTACTTCATTCTACCTAGGATGGGGAACACAGTTCTATGGTGGACCACATAGTCATGTATTAATGGAGGTGGCTGTACCAGTATGGGATCAACAGAAGTGCATCGACGCTTTCGTGGACTCTGTCTTTGAGGAGAGCATTTGCGCTGGGGGCTACGATGGCGGGAAGGATGCTTGTCAGGTAATGACGTGTTAGTCCTCCAGAACAGCAACGCATAAATGGTACCATGGTGTGATATGATAACGTGATGTCCATGGTTCTGTTCATGTATATAGACGAAGGTTACAGTTATCATCAGGTGGACTTTCAGAATGTTTGCCATTTCTCTTTCTCTCTTTCGGCATATATTTATCCACTGCTGGACGTATGCTTCCTGCATAATTTTCCACTTCAATCTGTCTATGGAGTGTCTTGTCCAGGTCGGTCCTGTCGTCTTTCTGATGTCATTAGACCATCTTGCAGTTGGTCTGCCTACGCTTCTGCTTCCCATCCTAGGTCGTTTGCCATTTATGTTACTATATATATATATATATATGTATTGTTACGTAGGGCGACAGCGGTGGACCACTTATGCACCAGCTTCCTAGCGGACGGTGGATCATCGTGGGAGTGGTGTCGTGGGGTATACGGTGTGGCGAGCCCAATCACCCCGGTATTTACACACGCATCGAGAAATACCTATCCTGGATTGTGGAGACTGTTCGATTTTAACGATAACTAACGGTGGTATTTAGTAGTAGTGTAGTAGTAGTTTAAACAATGTATTGTAATATTAAAATTAAAGAACTTCATTTCAAAGTTTATTCACGTTTGTTTAGAATTATTTGTATAAACAACATAATAATATTATGCATAGGGTGGCTAACGTTCCTAAATAAAATAACAGATTATTTATATTCATGTTTATTATAAAAAATGTCTTTAAATATGTCTTCATGTATAATATAAGGTAATCATATTTAATAAAAAAAAGTTTTATCATGCCAACTAGAATACTAATGTTTTCTTGTGGTTCTCGTCGTAATTATACGTCATTATTTATATAAAACTTTAAAGCATAATGCTTTAAGATTCATTATCTAATTGAGTATTCTTCGAATCATAACTCCCAAAATCAATTTCAGTATGTTACACTGTATGTATGTAATTTGTTCATCTTACACCGTAATAACGCCTGATGGAAACTTTTTCGCAATGAAAATCATAACACTTAATATTCAACAGACTATTACATCAGGATTACAAACTAACCGCGAACAGTACCGCATATATCACATACATTTGTTGCCACTCCTGATTACTAAAAGATGTAACATATAACAGTTACTATAAGTTATTGTGATTTAACAATTATATATGATACAGGTAAAATATATTCAGTCTTTATAAATGCTACTCCAGCATGGAGATAGAAACTTTTTCGCCGCATTCCTCAATAGCCAGTAACATATTTAGGACATGTTCTTCTGGAAGTATTGGGTGGAAGGTGAATGCTAGCCGAAAGAAATTCCTGTGCTGCCGAAGCGGCGAGTAAGCCACCATTAGCCGAGACGACATTGTTAGCAACTCTTTGATTTTTGGTGTAATCTGGAATATAGATTATATTAAAATCACTATAAACCAGTGTACATAACAGACAGAAGCTGGACAAATAAAATATTTTATCGACTAAGGTCTTATTTTATGGAAGTCCATTTCATTACCTAATGGATTAATGATTTTATTTCATTTCGCTAATATTGCCACAATTTGAGACCACAAATATTACACACAGGATACAGAATTGAGTAAATTATTTTTTTCATATAACGATAAGTGGCCATATTAAGTGTTACATTCAACACAATATCGACAGTTCACACTGTTCACATTTTCACTAACCCATCTGGAATAATAGTCGTGATAGTATATAAATATGATGGTTTCGTGTTTGGTAATATTGTATTTTTGCATAATTAATAACATACTCGTAGTTTATAAAAAATAAAATATATTATTTATAACTATTAAGTGAAATATGTAAGGGTATAAATATTTATTAAGCTGTTTGTCATTGAATTCACTATTCTGGAAGAGAGTTAACAATCTCTCTCTCTATTCTTCTAGTTCTTCTTTATTATTTATTTGCCTATCCTAAAACTACTAAAGAATGACTATCTACTACATCACTTATGAAATCATATTAATAAAAAAAGATTTTACCTTATGTATCAGAGCCCACCATTTGTCATCTTCTTCCTTCTCCCTCATAAAATTTGGAATATACCAGAAACAAACGTTAGGACACTGCAACACTTCGGATACTAGCCTGAACCCAGGCCTAGTAGCAACACTCTGCATACAAAACTCAGCGATGTTCATGACGTGGTCAGTAAGGTGACACAGACCGGCATCTCCACGTGCTTTCCACATCATCCATAATTTAAATGCATCTATCTGCAATGAAACATAACATCCTAATTAATAAAACATGTAAACAAGGTGACACTGTATGATAATTAAAGAAAGTATCTTGAAAGAAATGACAAATATTAGCAAGAAGAATGAACGAATTACATATAATTAATATTTGTGTCTGTACAAAGTACAGACTAAAACATACATAAATAATGTAAACAATGTAAAAAAGTTGTATCGTGCACAAATCAACTTATCTTATATGTGTCAGAAAAAATGCATTTTGTTAAAAAAGAACCTACTTTATGGTTTCCTAGTTATTTTCACATTAATGGATGAAACTAATCTGGAAGTATTATATTAAACCCAAGAAGATCATCAGACCAAACTATTCAGTTTTAACTAGAATATCGCGCTCAATTATGTGAATTATCGGTTAGTACAAAAAAAATTGAGTCAGTGTATCAACCTTAGCAAGTAGATTTTTAATTTACTTGTTAAGGTTGATACCAACTTAAATACAATCACCGAATAGATATCCAGATTTTAAAGAAACAGTTTTATGGAGCTTAAATGTCATATATAATTTGTAATAGATACAATGATTTAATGAAATAAAAAGTAGCTTAGATGCTTTTCCATATGTATTACTTGTCCTAAATTTCAGGTCGACTTTAGGGTATAAGAGAAAACAAACAAAATCACTTTCAGATTTATGATATTAGTAAGGATTCTCAGCCCAGTGACTAAGAATACTTACTAATATAATGAATGTGAAAGTGTTTTTGTCATCTATGCCTGTGCATAGAATACCTAATATGTACAGTAGACTACAATACCATTTAAAGTGCAGTACCTTCTCACAGTAATAGTTAATGTATATACCTACTACTACCTACTAACAAGCAATTTTCACAAATATATTTTATTGTCATTACAACAAAGTACAGTAAGGTTTATTAATTGAGAGCGTACGGGCACTGATATGTCAGTCATGGTCCATGACTGATTTTCCAGGTGTATGATTCGCCATAAGGGACTGCCGGATTCCTACTGGAATCCTGCTAAAAACCGGTATGCAATACCTCTCAGCACATAGCGGAAGAAGTTAAGGGAACTATTAATCTTCCGCAACTTCACACAGACTGTTGCATCGTTGCCTTTACTAAGACTTTCAAATTTCGTAAGTACCAATTTGGTTTACACAAAGAAACTTTATGAGATAATTTTATTTCTGATGGAGACTCCAATGATTGCCATTTGATTGCCCTTAATCGTACCCTGCACCGTAGAATTTAAATATGGTCAAAGAATATGAACGTCGATAGTTGATAATACCTCCAACTACCCCATCATAAAACGTATACTTGATATTCAAAAGTGCTTACTTTCCGTCCACATTGCACACTCTTGTCACCAGTATCATACGACACATCATAAAATTTATCTTGCTGGAACAAATACTGTGCTGCAGCAGAATTAGCTTCATGCAATAATCCTTTTTGCCGTACCAGAAACACAGAACATTGGAGCGGTGCGCCCGCCATCTTGTGAGGATTCCATGATATAGAATCAGCCCTGTAAATCAATGGTAGTTTTATTTACATATTTGACTACATTAAAAAGATTTAGTTTTATAATAAAAAATTAAAGATTTTTTTTATTTATTTATTAAAAAATAACAAGTAGCACATTATTGTAGTAGTGGGTAAAGACGTCCGAAGATATTGACCCCCAGAAGGTGCCAACAGTAAAGTTTCCACAAATTAGCAAAAATAAAACAATATTTTGTGCGATAGTCTATCCAAAATAGAGACATCGCGCGAGTAATCTATGGGGCTATTTTTTTAGAAGCTACCGCTGATACAACCTACAATAATGTATATAATTTAAAGTATGGTAGGTAATGGTGTATTTAGTTAATTCATCCTATTCATAATTAGATGTAAAAACAACTTAATTTAATAAATCTTTTGCAAAATAATTATTAAAAAAACTATACGCCTAATTGAGTAAGACATAAACTTACCTATTAATACCACTCAGTTTACTGCAGTGTTTCTGTGACAGCATTAGACTTCCTCCCCAGCAAGCCTATAATAGAGAAACGTAGTATTATTGTGCATAACCTAATCAAAGTGAAAGCAGTGTAATTTTCAGAAATGATTACAATTTGCCTTATAAATTACGTCATGTTCATGTTTATTGGCGCCGATTGCTACTTTCATTCAGCTTATTTGTTATTTCAGTTCAAAACAAAGTACCTTCAAAGTATTTACATATTGTAGAGTATTTTATGATGCCCATGGTGCTTTTAATGTCTATTGATAATGATTATCACTTTCCTTGAGGTGCATACTAATTTATTCTTTCTAATATTATAAAGATATCTACTCTTAAATTAATAAAGTAATTTATAAAATAGCAAAATTAAATATAAAACTATTCTAATAATTACATCCCATTGGAGGGTGTTTTTCTTGTATAGCTTATTTGTAGTATGTAGGTACATGTAACTTATTCTGTGAAAAATTTAGTCCTAATTACTCTAGCCTTTATACATGAAACGTCAATACACAAACAGATACCTCATGACGGTACCAGTATAACATTCTAATTCGTAAAGTAAAAAAAGAAAATATAAATGATTAATGAGTAAAAACTTGCTGTTTACATCAACATGCATCCAAACACCATACTTCTTGCAGATGTCCGCAACCGCTTCCAGATTATCAATAGCTCCTAATACAGTTGTACCAGCTGTAGCGTTCACTAATAAAGGATATCTGCCACAGTCTTTTTCTTTTTGTATCGCTTTTTCCAGATCTTCAACGATCATTTGACCGTTATTATTAGTCTTAATTATCCTGATACATTCAGTACCAAATCCAAGCCAATGGGCAGCTTTCTTTATAGAATAGTGACTCTGTAAATTTAAATTATACATGTGTAATTTTTTTTAGGTGGTTATAGAATGATGCTCCCACTTTAGTTAATGGTATACACTATCTGGACTCCAATAAGGATAATGGATGAACGTGAAGCCAGTGACAAGCAGTCGCCATTTTTTTGCTCTTTATTTTTATCACATTTTCACGTTTACTAAAGGTAAACGTGTAAGTAAATTTTCCATATACTTACGTCTTCTGAAGTAAACATCACCAGTTCTGGTAGAGCTCTCATTCCCTTCGTTTTGACCTCTGGGAATGCTTTGTACCTGGCTGCTACTATGCCATATAACATGGATAAGCTGCCTCCGGGACTAAATATCCCATCACCATCAGGAATTCCCACCAAATGGAGTATGTGAACTAGCATCTTCAACTCTATAAGGGTAAATACTGGTGCCACTTCAAAAGTATATCTGAAATGTAGAAATTAAATAATTATTTTATATACTTAACTGTTGATGAATATACTTAATTACGGAATCGTATAGAGGAATATTTTTTAATTATTAAATCTCTTCGGAGGTGTTTTTTTTCAGTTTTGTATAAACCTAGCCGTAACCCATATTTAAAAACATACTCTATAAAAAACAAACCATAATTTCTACAGCGATTTTACATTTACCAAAACTTTAACACACAACCAGAAAAATAGATAGTCATCGCCTGGATACGATTTTATTATACTTCAATGTTCTACAATATGCTAGCCAGTTAGGTTTAAAAAGAAAAACTAATTAAATATGTATGTTTATTTCAAAATAAATTATTTCTATAAAATAGGTGCTTACTGGCTGGTGTTAAATGCCTCCGAAATCCACGCACCCGCCAGTCCATATGGATCGGTGCCACCATACAGTTGATTCCTGAAAGTACTCTTCTCAGTTTTCACCGTATACTTCAGTACTTCACGAACGCATTTTTCTAACTTATCGTCGTCCACTCCGGTCGCAACGTCTAAGTCTAGAATTGTCTGTAAACATATATGATTATTTACTTTTATATGTATATCCTCATCTTTACAACTAATTTCATTAATAGGTATGTTTAGTCTTTTATGTGTGAAAAAGTAATAAACATATTGTCAGACAGACACTTTCGACTATATAATAATAGTGTGGATAACCAGCTAATCGCCATAACTTATTTTGAGCGAGTGTTTAACCGTCATATTATTATAATCCATATAGTCGTTTTTTCTTTTTCTTCATTCCAAATACTGCACATACACTACCCATATCTTTATGTTACTGTTTAACGGCCTTATTTATAAAAAAAATAAAGCTAATAAACAATTCTTGGGGACCTCGAGTCCCACCTGGAAACTGTCCTGGTAAATTTGAAAGCTACAATAACATAATTTTACAGAAGCGAAAACTTTCATGAAGAATTATATAAATGACTTTTGTGGGTTATACGCTCTACTTTCTTAATAATATAAATAAAGGAATGATACTGTCGCCTGCGTACAAAATACATTAGCAAAATCAACTGATGGATAGTAAGATGAAAATTAAGTAAATTCCATTAGCTCATGGTGGAGAAGTCAGATCTCCGGAGGTCGACCTGATGTAATACATTGATAGCAATGGGGACACTAGTTCCCATTACTAGCAATCCCCACCTCCTACTACTGTATATGTATCGGTATAGTACCGATACATATACAGTAGGTACATCGTGGTCGTTATATAATATATTAGCTATATAAATAGACAGTTTCTGACTTTCCACTCACTCACTTGGCACATTGTTCTCAAAAGAATATTTACTATCTACAGGCTAGTGCAATAACATATATCTATTATTTTAAGATTTGTCATGGTAATTAATAACATTATACATTCTTCAAAACAGGTCTTACGTAGAGCAAAAAGACTTTATTAGAACTAAGGAATATATTAAAAAATCTTGATAACGACTTGATTTATTTACACTTAATATTAAATTTAATAATGAAACGTAAACATAATATGTCACTTAAGTAAAACGAAGTCATTTGAATTTGCCTCTTGTAGGCAAGAGTAAAGTTTTTCTGTTATAAACATACTCATCAGAGCTACAGTTTATACTAAATTAGTGACAGGGGTGCACAACTTACAAACAATCAAACAATAAAATATATCGAGAACTTCTTCCCAGCCTTATTCTAAAATATATTCATATAAACTTTTATATCTATGCAATATTAACATTTGTAGATATTATAGGTTTAAATTTACCTATCAACATCTAAATGAGTACAAGAATATAATTCACCATAATGGCCAGTAGACTGTACCTCTCACTACCCCATATGTGTTTGTAGTCATAATCATTTGTAAATTCCGTTTTATCTCACAAAGATAAATTTATTTCTAAACACAAATTCTATAAGAATACCTATTTAAATTTGTGTTTCAATATATTATTGAAATTAGTACTCACAATAGGTAAAATAAATTAAATATTAAATACATTTTAAAAGTACAAAATGCAAATTTATTGTTACTAGCATTCACAATTAGTCAATATTAATACCAGTTAATTCAAATATACACTATAAACTAAAATACTAAGTCTTACTTACTTACTTACTCAATTAGTTAGTTCAAAATACATAAAAAAGTAAATAAATTAAATATACGCCTACCTCCAATTCCTTAGGATGCTTGAATCTGATTAGTGGCGTATTAACAGCCCTTTCTTGCATTACAATATTTAGCATTTTATCCAAAAATGCATAACCATTCTTCCTTTGCTCCATGTTGTAGCGCAACAATTACCCTACGTACCATAGAGAACAGGATTCCGTAGGTGTTATCAGGCGAAATGTCCGCACTACACTGACTTTCTGGGTGTTTAAACAATTTCGTATGTATTTGCTCGACTCTCGTCTGTACCTACATCAAAGTGACCCAGTCACTTGTAAATATTGTCTTGCAATTAGTTAAGAATGGAATGGAATGCAATGGAAATTTTGGATGTGATACGAACGATCTGTAATATGTTTCGAATATTATTTGTAAAGATACTGAAGCCTATTGTTTTGTACTACAATTTTTAACTGCAATTTCACTTTTATTACGAGTAATGTACGAGTAATGTTTAATATCGACGTAGACAACAATAGCTGTTAATCTGACTAACCGATGACTAAACGACCTGTATTAATTGCAACAATGCAGAAGTACTTCTTTTATGTCTACATAAAAAAGTTTCAGAAAGTGAAAGTTAGTATATCGTGTGTTTTTAATGAAACATAATTTAACTTGAAGTCATTTTTATGTTAAAATAAATATTAACTTTTGAAGAAAAGAGAAGCATAAAGTAATATAATTTCATGAAATAATGCAAACTGAACACATATCATAATTTCATAACTTCTGAGAAGACAGTTATGGAATTTTCTGATATAAATAAACATTTCAGCATAGTCACTCTTGTTGACTCGCATACTAAACAAAACATGTCTATAGCTGGACCCTTTTGAACTTCGTGATAACTTCAGAGGAAGTTTCCAATATCTTAGATGTTAGGAAATATTTAGATAGCTAATATTCAGTATTCTTCCATCTACTACTTGTTTTTACTCCACTTTGTGGAAACGTACTTTTATTCCTTACTTGCTAAGGCACCTGTAGAATATTTTGAGATACCAGTATCAGTGACATTTTGGTTCAGAATATTGGACCCCATTATACCAAACCGAATTACTTATAACATTCGCATTTAAACATACGAATCGTGGAATATGATATTAAAAATAATATCTACAATATGGACTATTAGTTACATAAACTTATATTCAACTTTTTTAAAAAAATAATAAATACTATTCTCATGGGTCGACATCTTTCGTAAAGGAGCACAGCATATTTAATTGTTTTATTTAAAATCATAGTGACTCTATATATATAAATGACTCTGTCCCCAAATTTTCATCAATATTGGTTTAGTCTAACAGATGCACTATCTCATATTTATGACAGTGTGATTGTTCTAGAATTCAGTGTATATTTTGCAATGGAAATACCCTTTCAAAATGAATTATAGTCGTGTTTACCAGACAATGAAAACTTAATAAACTTTTAATTAAGTAATTTATCAATGTAGCCTACATAGCAAGCAGACATCATTGTTGCCCCAATTGTTTTATCATTAATGCACTGCATGATGCATGCATTATGCAATACCTATTTACATTGCATCCATTCTATACAGCGTTTTTCCTTAGGGATTAAATCCTACATTCAATTTTATTATACAAAGCAACATAATATCATGAGCATCTGCATCACAAATTTCAATTTATTTTCATTATTGTACTGGGTAATCCCCCGACTTTTTTTTATTTAGTAATCAATTTTATTAAAAAAGCACTAAGCATGCCACAGCACTTGGATGACATTTCATGCAAACGCTGTGGCATCCATGTCATATGGTTATTTCTGAGATCAGCGTTTCTGAGGTTTGTCTGTTGAAATTACGACGGCCGGAGCCGTGGTTCCAACTCCTAGCGGTGCCCTCAGACTAAAATCGTATCCATTAGGCGGGAGTTGGCCTTCAATCGCTCCATAAGACCTTACACTGTTTGGAGTGCCATCTGCACTCGCTCCTTATCGCCTGGTGAAGCTGTAAAGGTCAGCTGCGGCCAACAGCATTAGAGTAGTCCGAAAAAAATTAATAATATTTTTAGTCTCTAGTGCAATAAAGTGTATAAATAAAATAAATAGTCTTTGGCAGTACATAGAGGTACACACAGGAAGCAGGCAAGCAGTACATAGAGTTTAATGACTGAGCGAAACACCTGACAGCTGCAGCATGTATTAACATAAAGGTGGTATTACACCACCATTCACTTTGATGTTACAGTAAGCGATCTCGTGCTCGTTATTTACCATCCTTCAATTTTTATTCGGAGCAAATTTGCTCAGAGACTTTTAAAAGTAATTTGAAACTATACTCTTTTTTTCTTTTTATATTACTCTCTTGTCAGGAATAAGGAATATTATTCAGGAAGTATATACTGTATAGCCACGATATTCTCGCCTGCTTATATATACAAGTTCTTACTCTGAGTTCTTTCTATAGTATAATTCCATCTTTATATATATAATGTAATGTAATTATATATATAAATATTTATAATATTATCTAACATTATCTATGTTATGCTAAATTAGGAAGCTTTTATTCATCTAAAATATGGGTCTTATTAACGATTCGTAACCTTTTATTAGTGTCAATGACCATACATTGCATGATACCGTCATCAATGCGGTCCTCAATACATATAGTCCACGTGTATATTTTTGGTCCTAAATTGATATATTGTGAGATGTTTTTCTATAAACTACGTTAACCGTTCACCACCAGACTGGCCACCACTACTATTATATACTAGTATTATTTTCTCAAAATTATTTACATAAAAATTCTTTTTTTTTTTCATTGTACATCATTATTTCTATAAAAAGACATGTGCTAAGATTCTTAACGGAATTATGTCACTTGAGATATATAGAGGTACTTACAGATGTGGTATGTATGACTGTATTTCTGTTGTTGAGTTCTTGGCAGCGTTATAAGGTTTAGCTGCTTAAATCTCAAAATAGTAAGAATAACAAACAAAGTCATTGTCCCGTCTGGTGTTTTGATGCTTACTTTTCTCAAATAAACAACGAATTTTAACACTGTTAACATTATTGGATTTATTACTTTTTAGGTAGTTGGAATGTCAAATAAGCTGAAATTGTAATAACCACCGGATGGTAAGTGGTAACCGTCGACTATACACATAAATAGCGTCTATGGACCCGTGGCTACTTCTCATGCGTTGCCATTCCATCTTCACATGGTTAGACATCCTAATATTATATTTATTATTCAATTCGGGTAAAGTGAAACGGGTAGCAATAAAAAATAAAATGTATTAAAATAATTTAATACATTTTATTTTTAAGTTATTAGAAATGGTTATTTTGCGGGTAGATTTAAATAAAATTAATATGTAAATATTCAAGAGTTCAGGACTTTACCTATTTGCACTAAAAATGACATCATTCTTAACGTTTTTGACATTAGCAACTGCACTGAAATATTATATAACAATATTTATAATATTATGTCTAAGTTTATATTTCAAAACTACATAATTTTCTAAGAATAATACGATAAATATAGGTACTTCCTAATCTTAGTAATAAATCATATCCTAAGATATTATTATAGTTCATCATCTGACATATCTCACAGTTTTATCGGTACCATATAGATTTTCATCTGCAGATTAATACTATATATTTGGACAAACAAAATTCATGTGAATATTAATACAAAAAAAAACAACAACATGAACTTCCGGAAGCCTCGAAGACGTTCTCGTAGGAACTCTATGAATGTTGTGGTAAATACAGAGAAATGGCGTCAGTATGGCAAAAGACTATCACGTAGTAACACGAGGTTTGTTGATGAAGATTCAGGAGACGAGGAACCTGAATACCATGAAATTAAAGACTGGGTAGAAGAATTTTTCGACCGTAAAAGCGTATGTCCAGACAAGTCAGATCAAGATGTAGAAGTGCAACTAACAAAGAAACAGACCCTTGTCCTTTCAACATTAGTTCCAGATGAAATATTAATAATGGATAAGTAATAATAAACATATTTTAACAATGATATTGCACAGAATATTAATATTAGTTGTTATACTTACAGCACATATACATATACAATATATATAGGTATATAATTTTCATATCTAATACTATGTTGATGTTTAATACTCAAAAAGTAATTTATATTACACTAGCTAATTTATTTATATAAATCTTCCTCTTAAATCACTTATTATTATTATATGGTAAAAACTGCGGAAGCGCCTTCATTTTAAACTATGTAAAGATGTTTGGATAAAATACATGGGGTTATATATATATACAGTGAAATTTTCTTTAAGATTATTAACCTATGTTGACCTTATTTAGAAATACATTTATGGAGGTATTATCTACCAATAAATCCCAATTATGAAAACAAATCTTTCGATATGTTTGTGTGTTCAATGTGTCTTTCAATATGTTACGACAACAATAAGAATTTCGATATGTTTGAATTAATGTTATTTTGTTTTGTGGAATAGTCGTGGAAAGGAAGTGATGATATGCTTACATTCGTAAACATAATTTAAAATTGCAGATTTGACCCATCAAATCCTAAACGCTTTGTCGGTGTTCTGCTGATGGCCGATGTCTCTGGTTATACCGCATTATCAGAACGATATAGCAATACAGGTAAAGGAGGTACCTATCGTCTGACAGTCACCCTCAATACCTATCTCGGATCACTGATTGAACTTATTTACAGTCATGGAGGCGATATTCTCAAGTTCGCCGGTGATGCATTTTTGGCTCTGTGGAAAACAGACAAACGAACTTTTTTATGTCATACTATTCACACAGTAATTGCTTGCGCTTTAATTATACAACATTCTTATGGATCTTACGAAACTGACGTCAAAGTTAATTTAAAAGTTAAATTGGCCATTTCTGCCGGAAATCTTATATTTTGTCCCATTGGTACTGGAACAGATATGAATTATATCATTTTCGGATTACCAGTAATTGAAGCAAAATTAGCTGAGAGCGTTTGTTGTTCTGGAGAGGTAAAGGTAACACCCACTGCTTGGGGACACTGCTACTCCAGAAATTATGATCATATCATCCATAAAGATGGACACGTAACAATAAAATCTATTCTTTACGACCCTCATGAACAAGACGTAACCAAGCCTTTTGTAGGCTTTGGACCATTAATAAGACAAATAAAAAAACCTCTTACCGCAATAGAGAATCTACCCGATTTTCTTTGGGATTCATCTAAACCACTAAATGCAATGGATATCCAAAAACGAAATGAAATGATAAGACTTCGTAAAAGTATTCTGATGGCGGAAGAAAAGAATATAGGTTCGGAAATACGTAAATTCATGATAAGACCTGTACTAACTCAAATAGATGCACATCAACCACTTGAATATTTAACTGAAATGAGACAAGTATCAATTTTATTTATAACTCTTAAGCCTAGAGATTGTTCATTTCCACAATTTGTAACAATTGTTAATAACGCTTATGAAATTACTTGTGAAATTGTTTATAAATCTATGGGGTGCGTTAACAAAATAATTCTCTTTGATAAAGACATTATGATTTTAGTAATATTTGGATTACGTGGATTTAAACACGAGTCAGAACCTCAGGCAGCACTTAAATGTGCGTATAGTATACAGAAATCAGTGTCAGCCCTCGATGGAGTACTCGAAGTATCCATAGGTGTAACAACAGGTCAAGTTTACTGTGGTGTCGTTGGGCATCCTTTACGAAGAGAATTCACTGTTATTGGCGCAATAGTCAATAAAGCTGCTAGATTAATGTGCGGTTTTCGCAATAAAATTACATGCGATGAAAATACATATATCAAAAGTAAAATATGTACGAATGGATTTACTTTACAACCAAAAATAGAACTTAAAGGAATAATGCATCCTGGTAAAATTTATGAATATACTGAGGATATCAGAGTAAAGGAGTTGTATGATATACCAATGATTCCACCATTACTAAATCGAGTTGACGAAATGGAGTATTTCCAAAATTGGCTAGATGAATCACAATTGTCTTATAGAGATTTCGATGCTCTTTTATTAGTAGGTGAATCCCGTATAGGTAAGTCAAGAATGTTAGAATGGATGATCCGCTACTCAAGAAATTATGGATATAGGGTATGTCACATAAAGCTAACATCGATACATTCAGCTACCCCATTTCTAGCCCTTAGTCAAATAATTAATCAAGTTTTAGATTTGAAAGAACCTATAACAGGTTTCGCTAAGGAAGAAAAAATTATTCAATTGTTAAAAGTGTACAATGAAGATCTCTGTTATTTAAATAACATCATCAAAGTACGTTTTGCCTATCATGAAGGTATTTATACTCAAAATGAGGGCAGGAGAAAAGAAAAAGCAAAAACGGTGTTTACAAAATTAATAAAGGCAATATTAGAAACACACGTTGTATTCCTAGACGATTTACAAAACTTAGATGCATCTTCATGGGAATTTATCTCGATAATGCTCAGTACCATGAAAATATTTACAGTATTAACAGTCACACGAGGAAAATTTAGCTCTGTACACAACTGGCTATATAGTGTATTTGTTAATGACAATATAAGAAAAATTGTCCTTGGACCATTAACATCTACATGGATACCTGCGTTAGCCTGCCAAATTTTAGATGTTGATGCTGTACCAAAGGATTTATGCAATGCATTGAATATAAAATGCAATGGATCGCCTGGTCTTATTGAAAGTTTTATTGTGCATCTATTTTCAAGTGGCGCCTTAGAAATAAAGAAAATTCAAAGAAATGAAATTGAGGTTTGGAATGACGAAATTTTACAGTTTCCAGAACCAAATCTTTTACATCCTCAGGCTGTCGATGCGAAAGACCAAACAACCCTTGATCAACTCATTGAAAAAGACTTTGTAGGAGAAATAGGAATATGTATAGTCACGCGAAAAGAAGAATTAAAAACAAACATTTATATACAGAATATGGATGCTCTTATAATGATTCAAATAGATTCATTAACTCCCTATCAGCAACTTCTTTTAAAAATAGCTTCAGTAATAGGTAATATGTTATCAAGAGATCTCTTAGAAAATATCATGTATGAAAACAATACTAATACCACTGCGAAAGCTATTAAGAGACTCTTTGCAATGAGAATATTGTCATGCGCAAATGTTGAAATGACAAATTGGAATAGAAAATGTTCATCTAATATGACTATATCCTCCAATAACTCCATAAACAGTAATTTGATATGCAATTGTTCTTTTGATTACGATTCAGAAGACACAAAAGAGTTACCAAAATATGCGTTTTGTAAAGTTATGAAATTTAGAAATAAGAATTCAAGAAAAATTTGTTATGAATTACTTCCTATAAATCAGAAAAAAGAATTTCATTCCCGTATTGTAAATTATATGGAAAACAGCAAACAAAAATGCCTGGATTGTGGTGGCACACTTATGATAGTTCAATCTTCTATGAACTGTCAACCAAATAACCGACACGAGAACGATGAGAGTAACATAATATACGAAGAAGAATGTGAAGTGGAAACAATCAATATACCAGAAAACAGTGTTATCGAAGCGGTTATTGAAATGAAAAGATCACAATCAGAGACAATTACAAAAGCTGAAAACAATAATAATGTAGAAGTTCCCAGTGAAGGCAGAAAAAGCTCAAATTCAATACACAGTTTCCATTCACAAAAGCCAACTTCTCTCTTCGCTCCTATATTAAAAACAAAATGCGATGTTGAAGCTGATATCGGTAGAAGCTCATCTAAGCGCGTTACTATGCCTAACGTTTATTTAAAAAAAAAAAATTCAGATAATGTTGATAAGTATAAAATTTTTCATATGTTACGAGCTGTGACAGAAGCTAGTACTATAAGTGAATGGCGGGATCTGGGCGTTACAGACAGTGAAGATAAATTAAATACTGACAAAAGAAATAAAAAATCCTTTTGCATCAAGATTGAAAAAGGTATATCTCGAACAAATTTTAGCAAATGCAAATGTGGAGAATTGAATATAATAAATTGTGAACAACTCATCTATCATGCTCAACAAGCTGAATTAAAAATAAAAGCAATAGAATTTATGATAAAGTTTGCTTATTTAAATCTTCTTAGTGACAACGGAGAAGTTGCTCTGCCGAAACTGGAGCAAGCAGAACATTTATGTTTACAAAAACACGGACCAGATGACATCCTGAATAAGTTCGAAAGACGTATCTTTTTAGGAAAAATATTTTCCTTGAAAACTGCAATATATTTAATTAATGGTAAATTATCAGCTGCGAAATTAGAAATAGAACGTGCTAATCGAATATACCATTTATACCTACACAAACTTCCGGAGACTTTAAAAGTAAGGAACTTAATCAACTTGATAAAACTAAAACGCCGAAAACATCGCATTCATAAAATAATTTTAAAAACAGATTCGATATTTTGTTTGAATGTTGCTACTTTATTATATTCAGCTTTGGAGGATGAAAAATTATCTAGAATATGTGCATTTCGTGCACTCGAGTTGGTGCAAGAAGTTGATTGTAATGTAATAGATATATGCGATACATTTAGCAATGCTATGCAAGTAGAGTTAGACCGCGGGGCTCCTGAATCAACTGCAGAAATAGAAAAATTAGCTAGCTTAGCGTTAAAACATTTGTCACGACCTATTCAAGTACATGAACTTTTTGCAATCGGGAAATTATTTCTGTCCACTTTTCATGCACGTACGTTCCGAGGCGAACTAGTTGCTGGTATTCGGTCGGGTTTTCGATCCATAACAATAAGTCGGTTTCTTCAGGCTGACAACATATCTTTAGATATTATACCAGACTTATTCTACATATTACTGTCAAGGTGTCGTATAGAGGAGGCAGTTGATGTACTTCAATTAGCGCTCCGAATGGGTCAAAATAGAATGTCACATGATTTTGAAACTTGGTATTATGGTCTTTGTATGGATATGATACTTGACGCAGGATTTCAATTAGAACCGCCACATGAAATCAGTCGTTTTGCTCAATATGCTTTAACTAAAGGAGTGTCCGCCGGTCCAAGTCGTCGTCGACTTGTCGTTAGTTTGTGGACTTATTGGCTACGGGCCGATGTTGAGAGTAAAATAAAATGGTTTGAATCAGAAGCCCTTAGCTGGACAGCGTGTGAAGATGATGATGGTTCATTGACAACTCTACTGAGTGCTATGAGACTCGCTGAAGGAATGTTAGAAAGTTTAGCTAGAAAAATAGATGATCTCAGAAAAGTAAATATTAAAATATTAATTAGGTATATTTGTTAATAGTTAATAATAATATTTATTTATTTATTTATTTATTTATTGCTATAGGTAGTTGATTTAATGGAATTACGATCTATGGCTGACAGGGAGCTATCAAGACTAGAGAAAGACGCACGTATAATGCGTACCATATATCCGCGTTGGATTTTACTAAAAGCCAACTCCTTGTCTTTGTCTGGGCGTCGGACTGCAGCCAATACAGCATTCAATCAAGTTAGAAATTAAATATTCATATGTATATAAATATTATTATTAAATAATTAAAATATAAAATTAACGTTTTACTTGCTTACAGGCTTTTGAAGAAGCATCAAAAATTCGTAATCGTTTAGAGGCAGCTATGGCTAGAGCAGCCACTTCTAACTCTCGATTATGGGTGCAAAATGCACGAGCCAATAACTTTATAAGCTGGCAATCTGGGTCCCAACAAGCAAAGGATTCATGGCACCAACTACTTTATAAAATCACCACAACGAGACAAGTTTCTTAGTGTTAGAAGGATTTATAATAAAGTTACAAAATAAATTTATAAGTCAAATATAGTAAAGTTTACTAATATTAATCTCTATCTTAAAATCAAATCCATCAATCCATCCATTAAATACTATTTAAAACCGATGAAATCGAATATGACATTTTTTTTTCTTTTGATAATATAAGTTTGATCTTATCAGACATTTTAAACAAAATCTATGATGGATTGATTATATACAGAGAATGTGTACATAGGACATATATAAGTACCTACTCACAATCTACATATATAATATTATCTGTGTTTTCTTCTTTCAGCTTCTTCGTTTTATCTGTTCATATGATTTCATATGTGAGGTTCAAAATTCAAATTCACTCATTCGAGAAATGTATTCAGTAGTTTAAAACCCATTTTGATTATTATATTTGCAAATGATAGTTTATTCCCATGTAGTTACCATTCAAATCTCTCACAAAATTTTACGTTTTACATACTTCGAAATTATAGCTACGGAAGTTAAACTAAATACAGAGCCATCTACAGAATTTATATTATAACATCAAGTTACGAAAGTAACCTTGCTCTAACAAAATTGTATACGTTTTAGCACATTGCATTATGCAGTTCATCTTGTAAATCCAATACTTTAACAAGATTTTTAATCAAATAATTATATAAAGAGAATACTCTATGACAAGTTTCTACAACAATATTATAACGTAAAAAACAAATCCCTATACATGTGCCTCTTACTTGTTATGGTGTAATTAATTATTTTAAATAACATCTATTCAAAGAGCAACACACAAGTTTCTTGCTCCTTCTTGTTATAAATCTGCGTTCCAAAGTGGTAGAATAAAAAAATATGACTATTCAAAAGTGCTTGTATTGAGTTTATTTGAATAAACATTATTTCTATTTCTTAACGAATACTGGATGTGTATTATCTAATAATTACAATATGTATACTAAATAAAATATATATTTAAACTTTTTAAAAAATCTAACCGTCTTCTTGTTCTTTAGATGATTATTTGTAAGTCATTATATGTATGTATGTATAATAATACCAGTTCAGTTTGAGGAGGCCAGAATACAATATGAGTCATCTTTTGTCTCTTTCTCTCACTTTATAAACCCGTAGTTCAGTATGCTTTTGTCACCGTTCATCACGCACGCTGTTTTGATAAGATATCAGTTAAAGTTGATATAAACATATTAGAAGTCACAAAAATGACCCGGGAGAAACACGTGTTTATAGGTCTTATAGCCTACTCTAAGTCTTTAAAAGATTTATCAATATACCCTGGATTTTTGGCTGTCGAATATGGAAAGGTATAACATTTTACATTCTCGTAAATAGTACATAGATCATATTGTACATGAGTATTAAAATAATAGTACCTATATGAACATATTTTATAGTTATTTAATAAGATATATAAAATAAAATAATATATACTAAACTGTTAAAAATTTAAGAATAATATCCAAACTATTTTTTGTCTATACAAATTTTGTTATACTAAATTCTATTAAATATATATATATAAATGAAACAATAATAATAGTAGTATAGGTATTTTGATATTTTTTATACAAATTATTTAATTTTTTTAAATACTTCATAATTAAGAAACCGCATCGAAATTAAATGTAATTAAATTATATTATATAAATTGATATATGTACTTACATATGTATTATTTTCACTGTTGTATTATTTAAAGCAACATGTATTACTGAATAATTTTAATAATACTATAACTAAGGTTTTATGAGAATCGGAGGAATTGGACGATGATAACATGAGTAGGTATGAAGTCAGATCAGTTATCTTGGCCTATTCTCCAGGAATTAAACAATCGTTTCGGCGAGAGAGTATAATTGTAAACTGATGGTTTTTCAGTTAGGTACAACTGGATTCTTGTTAATTTAAAAATAGTTGATGATGAGGTAATTCTAAATTAAAGTTCTAATTAATATGTACATTTAAATAAAAAACCGATAGGTGGCGTTGTAAACAAATGAATAGAATTCAATCTAAATACTTAGGTAACATCCTATCACAGAGAAAGAATATATTTCTATACATATTTATAATAATCAATATCCCACCACATTTTCATGACAAACAATATTTTCAGATTACAAAGAAAGGATCCGTAGCTGAATTCGAAACATTGAACGAAGCTGGGGCATTTTCTAATTACAAGATAATAAAATTGAAGGATGATCAGTTCCTTATGCCGGGTTTGGTAGATTGTCACACGCATGCCCCACAATTCCCCAATATAGGCCTCGGATTAGACCGTGCTTTACTGGAATGGCTTTCCAAATACACGTTCCCTTTAGAGCAACGCTACGGCGATTCCGAGTTCGCGAGTAAAGTTTACGACACTGTGGTTGTAAGTATACTAAGTATTATAATTTTGACGGCTTTGGTAGTCTAGCGGTTTAGAACACAGCCTTACTTCCGATTCCTCGCATAGTACAAACATTTATATTCTCGAGTATAAATTATTTAGTAAATACCTGCCCATAATACAAGCTTGTGATAGCATAGGTAGACATAGCTTGTGACCATAAGTTAAATATTATTGTTTATTGTATTGGTCTGGGTGTTTCCTATATAATCACAATATATATATATATATATGTATTTATTTCAGTTGTCTAGTGTCAGTAAAATAAGCTTCGCTTAGCTTGGGACTAGGTGTCGCTGTAATATTAATATCTTGGGTTATTAATATATCATAATTCTGCAGTTTTAAAGTGTCGTTTATCAATAATCAATAGTACCTATTTATAATTCAGTCAGGACTGGAATGAGACTATCTATTACCGGGTAGTATATATATGTATATGTACTATCTAAATATTAGATACCTGTAACTATTTCCGGTCTTGATAAAATTAATAAAAACAGACAGACGGTCTTTCATATTTATAATATTAGTACCTATAGATGTTTGCACTTTCCCGCTGTAATTAATGTAAACCTTGCTCTACTTTATTTGTTTCGTACTTATGTAATCTTCGCTTAAGTACATACTGCTTTATGCAACCCAACCCAACCCAACTGATAACAATTCACAATTGTAACAAACAAAAATCCATACTTGTGCGATTTTATAAAGAGAATGTATAAGATATTCGACAGGCTCGGTGGTCTAGCCATTTAGCAACATACTACCAATGGTAACGGGTTCGATTCCTCGGACGATACAATTTTTATTCATGCGTATTAATTATGTAGTACCGATAGTACAAGCTCAGCTTGGGACTAGGTGGCACTGTGTGAATTGTTTAAAGTTATTATTATTATTAATATATATGAGAGATCTGTTTTTCAGCAAAGACTTCTGAATAATGGCACTACAACAGCCTGTTATTTCGGATCATTACACCTGGAGGGTACACTGGAACTAGTGAAAACTGCCATAAAGCACCACCAGAGGGCACTAATTGGTAAGGTCAGCATGAACGTCAAAAATGACGCCGGCTACTATAACGATACTAAGAAGGAAATAGCAGAGGTTGAAACATTCATTCAAGAAGTACTTAAATATAAGGTAGGATGCATTTTATACACTTAATTGTACTAACTTAACTAAAAGGCTATAATTCTCTGTATAATTAGTAAATCCCGGGATCTTCCCACGTTTTATTTTTGTTGAGTTCCCGATATTTCGGCAGTGTTTCAACGGCCATGATCACGGGTAAACTGAAGAGCAGCGGGTAGAAGGTAAATAAATCTTTTATGGGCAGACATAGTCGTCTACCTTCACACGTCTTCGTTTGTTGCTACTATTGCTACTATCCCGTGATTTACTAATTATACTTATAAATAATGACCGCGTCAAATTTGAAACAGTATATAATTCTATGATAATAAAATACGTATTTCAAAGTTTATACAAACCCATATCTATTGATAAGTATAGTTTTTTTAATTTGCAGTACCTATTCCTATAGCACCGTACAAGTACATTTCTTTGGTTAAATTTACTTTACTACGAGAAAGGCCAGATTACATTGGCCTTAAAAACTCGTTCTAAAGATTTGCTCGTATAGTTTGTATATAACATAATATTACATTCAGGAGAATTTATGCAGTTTTATGCCTTGACTCATTTATTATTTGCGAGTTTGTTGTTTTCAGAGTGAGTTGGTGCAACCTGTTGTGACTCCAAGATTTGCAATCAGTTGCGACAAAGAATTATTGACAGCATTAGCGAAAATATCACAAAAATATCAGTGCAGAATACAGGTCAGTACTACCGACAAAGAAATTACTATAAACTTTAACCTACAACGTGAAAATCGCAAGATGATGAAGATGCTTTGAGACTCTAAAAATATTATTAATTATAAAAGAATTTTATTCGTTTCCAGAGTCACCTATCAGAAAATCGCGATGAAGTGGACTACGTCTTACAAATGTACTCAGATTGTAAAACTTATTCAGATATTTATGATAATTGTCACATTCTAAATGAACGCGTAAGTACCTGACTATTGTAACTAAATTGAAACGTGCAATTAAAAATAATTTATAGTCACGACTACATCTCCTATGGGATAGTAATTGTTTAAATACTAACTATTTAAAAAAATCAAATTATGTTTAGTTTCTTGCCAGTTCTTCTCAATTGAATCTGTATACGGAACTGGACGGTAAGGAAGAAATATTAATATAAAAAACTTCATGTGGAACATTTTAGCCACTTATGAATTGACGTTCATAAGCGGCTAAGATGTTAATGTTACATGAATAAATGTTTTTATATTTGATTTGAACGATGACATTTTACGAATTGGATATCGAAGCAATGGGCAAACCTCTTACGCACGCACGCACTACGCATACGCACTCAAGATATAAAAATAGAAATGATTTTGATTTATTTTATTCTATGATGAGAAAACAGGTAGTGTGATATGATATAGTTGATAATAATACGAATATATATGTATATATAATGATAAAATTTCTTTAACTGATTCCTTTGACAGTGCATCATGGCGCATGCTATACATTTGTCAGATGAAGAAATACAATTACTAGGTAGCAAAGGCGTATCGATAGCTCACTGTCCGGCTTCAAACACTCGTCTGAAATCTGGTTTGTGTCCAGTAAGAAAATACTTAGACAATAATCTTACTATCGGACTTGGAACAGGTATTAGCAGTTATCATCACTATTATAATTATATTTACCTACATATGCACCTAACATAACCCTTTACGATAGGAACTTTATAAACCAGTACAAAAGATTGTATATAATTATAAGAAATGTATCTAGCATGAATTATGCAGTCCAATTACAGAACTCTTATACCTATCACCCTACAGGAATGAATAAACTCTACCTACTTATTCTGTTTTTCTGTAAGCGGCATATTGTTTAATTTCAATAATATATTTATACTATTTCATATAAAAAAAAATATGTAGCCAACATCACGCCGTAAATTTTATTTGCGTCCAGTTGTCTATATGGCGCGAAAATTTTATTTTATTCAGGCTACTTATGGCCCATATTATAAATACCTTACAGACTGACATACATATGAAAGATATTAAATTTAATATAAAAATAATATCTTAATTATTATTTGTCTAATTTATTTTCTATTAATTAATTAATATTTTATTAATACAAAAGAAATATTTTTTAAAGTTAAAACGAGTGCATTTTTTTATAATTTAGTATATTATACTAGGTGTGTGATATATAATTATGTAAATAATTATATTTTCAGATGTCGCTGGTGGCGACAATGCATCAATAATAGACGCAATGCGGAGAGCTATGGACGTATCAACACATTTAGAACTAACGGGGAACAATGACTATTGTATCAACTGGAAGGAGGCTTTCTATTTAGCCACATTAGGTGGCGCTAAAGGTAACCTTTAATAAACGTTATTACTAAATATTTATTTGCACTAGGGCAGATCAGCAAATGTACAAGAATATGTTCTAATTAATATATACAGTTTTACTTCATTACTAGCTGTATCCACGTATGGTGAATACGTGAATTTTATAGCCTGTTGGACACAGGCTATAAATTTCACGTTTGTTTGTTTACTGTAAAGTTTCATCAAGAACTCACTATTAGGTATAGACTATTATCTATTATGGATGGATTCCATAGTCACAAACTTTCGCATTTATAATATTAGTAAAAAGTAAGATAAAAGCTTATAATAATATGATACATTGGATGTAGTACACTACATGTATTGTTATATATATAAAAATAGTGCCATTGACACTGTTGTCTCTATAATATTTTTCAGCCTTGAAATTAGAGGACAAAATTGGCAATTTTGACGCCGGCAAAGATTTCGACGCCCTTCTTATTGATGTTTACGTAAATGAAGGGCAGATAAACGAGTATGAATCTACGGAGCATGCAGAAGAGCACGCGGTGTCTCTGTTGCAGAGATTTATATATTTGGGTGATGACAGAAACATAGTACAAGTGTATGTGAATGGGAATAAAGTTAAAGATATACTGACAAAGTAACTGTTGAGTTTCCATAATGGGGCAATCTATATTTTGGGCACTAAACACTTACCGCTAGCGATAGCACAGAAAAACTAAAGTGCGCATGCCAAAGTAATCGAGCACTATATCTACACCATAATGACTGTCTTCTTCTGACCGCTCCTGGGGAGTATAGGTGAGACCTCTGGCCGAAACCCTTACTACCGGCTCATCTCTGGATGTAACCACCCTTGTGTTACAAAGCAGTGCCTGTGAATAAGCAGGTTGGGTATAAATTATTGGCAGAACGTCGTTCTTCCACCTTTGTCATAATTTATACGGGATAATAAATTAGCGTAGACATATTAATTCTGGTGCTTTGTCTTGTATGAAACAAAGTGACAACTATAACAAAATAAAGCTCTGGGAAACTTGAAAAAATCTTCGGTATGTATTATTATTCATCATAGTAGGAGAGAACAATAACTGGCGTTTGATACAATTGAGAATTTACTAAAAGAGTTAGAATAAAAATAGTCTATACAACAATCGAAATATTAGAATGTAAGTACATTTTATGGGAATCGTTATTATGAATAAATGAAACGACAATTAGTTATATCTTTTTATTTTCGTGTATTTCTTTATAATTCGTATAGAAAAATGTGCAAATATAATATGACAATAAAAACTCAATTTACATAAGAGAATACCGTAGTAGTAGGTACAATAATACTTAAAGGAATTATATTTGTAATTAATTCCAACATGAACAATTATAAGAAATTAATTTGATGATGGGCCTAACGAAGTCCCATCCTGACAGTTATATTTTACAACTTGAATTTAACAATACACATTAGTAGAAAAAGTCCGTTGTAATTTTGTTAAAGCTTTGAGATCTATATTAATAAAAAAATTATGAAAGAAAATAATACTTAAAATGCATCTGGTATCGTTAAATACTTAGGTCGGTGGAATGATAAGTATGTTATATTCGAGTTTAGTAATAAATTATAATAACATGAACAGTCTTATAAAATTAAAAATATACTATCTAAACATTAGAACAACTTATATTTTATTGTACAAAAACTCGTATTTAGTTAATAAACTTCGAAATCGTTAATTTATATTAAAAAATAGGACGCACTTGAAAAGACAATATTATATGTATATAGCAAATAGTATATCATAGATTACAAAGGTTTGTTGTCTATGGTGGCCACACGATCACGGAACTAGGGTGATCTGTCCTGACAAATACTGTAGTCAATAACATAGCAAATTTTGTATCCTGAAAACTACACGTTAACAACTAGGTTACATTCGTTTAATACTCTATATCTAACCAATGAACACAAGAACTTGGACGCACACATCCAAGAAATGCAAGCCAGGTATCGTTTTACATCAATACAATAGTAATAATACATCAAAATATTACACCTCACGATCAACCTACTGGGTAGTAGATATACAGAAACAATTACAAATGTATGTTTTATAATTTTAAATATTCGATAATTTTTCTTCATCATCTTCAATTTGATCTTTCGTTTACATGTCAGTCGTTGCTTTTTTTGTTTCGATACTGAGTTGCATTAAAACACTATTCAAAAGGCCGTTTTTGCTATATAGGAAACACAATATAGGTTTTTTATGTTGTTTGAATGCGGATCACCTCACAATAAGTGGTAATCATCCCCCATATACACAAACAGCACCACCGAAATCACGTTATAACTTTATTGACACCCGTGATACCACTCCGTTTGCCATTCCGGAGGACGAAGATATCTCTCATTGATAATTTCCGAGTTTCTTTAATTGTGTAAATTGTTTTTGAGATAATTTGGTATATTTTTCATTAGTGTCACGATTAGTTTTCAATTTTTTATATTATTAACATTTTAAGTAATAGATTAAAATAACTAAAGTGAAACTTAAACAATGTGACAACCATTCATAAAATGTTATATCTTAACAAAAACGGCCTCTTAACAAAAATACATATATTTCCTTTAATAACAAACGTTTAAATCTATCCTATGAACCGGGTTTAGATAGGCTAGAGAGAAGTGTACAATCTTAATATACGCCATTATTTAACATAGATTACCTCAAAAATATAGTTTGGTGTTCTAATAGATTTGATAGCATCCACGACATGGAAATAACTCTTATTTAGGTACTCTGTATGGCTATGTAGCCTATTAATTTATACTATACTATAATACACATAGAAAAAAGCTATATTGAGCTGCCTCCTCACGTCTACAAAATATTAGCTAAGATATAATGTTATAGCCACGTAATTATTGTAATACAGTTATAATGTACGCAACATTGTAATAATTAAACACCGTCCGACTTGCATTGAATTTACTAATCTAAAACAGTCTTAAATATATGAACTTATAGCATAATATAATGAAACAATGTGCGAACCAGTGTGCATAAAAACATGTTCCATTCACGTGTTACGGTTATAATAACCTTCAAAACTATATTTACAGATAACAACTATAACTGACACTTCTAAATATTTAAAAATTGTGATTATCACTTATACCAAATACAAAAGGTTTGACAAACAAAATAATACATAAATTTCGTATTGAACAACATAACTATACTCATAAGAGATTTTAATAGCACCCTATAATATATTTTGCATTCATACAGATTTATTGTTACGTGATAATAAACAGACAAACATTTTAATCGACAACTTGATTGAATGAATTTGTACTATCCAATAATAGACAAGATAGATCAGAATGTAACATTTTATTCAAATATTATAAAGAATCATCCTAAAAGGTTGTTGTTTAAAAAAATGTAGAAAGATATCTCAGTCTTAAAAATCCTGGCTAATTTGGCGAGATCACATGTTATAATCCCATTGCATTACAATTTGGCATTCACGACATGGGTATATGAAGTGTTTTTGTGATGATAACGTATATAGAATATGAGCATCTACCGGTTGAAAGTGAGGTAGAAAGAAATGCAAAGGAAAAAACTTAAAGATCACTTCTATAAACCTAGTATAAATAGTAAACTACTCCTATCAAATAAATTTAGATAATAAGAAACTATTATAGCTATTAATTCGTACTATGAATATAATAAGGCTAATAATATTTATTTACAGGAATGTATTTTAATTGTATTACTAACGACGACGAAATTACACCGCAACTGATTTTATTTGAGCGTCATATCATTCAACCCTGACAACTCTTACCACAAAAGATGGCTTAATTTGAATTGTTAATTTGTAAGTAGAGTAATATGTATTTTATTTAAAATAAAATCTAAACGTATTGCACTACTTAAAACATAAATACTAATATGAATTTTATACTGCTACAATTTTCTAAATCATTGTAAAATCTCCACAAAAGTTTATTAATATATTAATACAACAGGCAATTCAGAGAGTTATGTATCAAGAAATCTTTTTGTGATAAATTATCTCAGTAAATTTTGGAAATGATTTGGTTATCCCTATAAATGCATGTTTAATGATTGCTTAAGCATTGTAAGTATTGGGAATAGTCGTGAATTATTTAAAATTATTATTATATATAAACTTAGTAAAGCTCAAATAATAGTACCTTAAGGTAGTCTCTCGATACTTACGATACGTTGCAATTTGACGCGGTGCGTTATTTCTAATGTTAAATATATTAGTAAAATTCCGCATTCTAACGCACTGCACCGGAACTTTCGAGCTACTGCCTTTACATATATGGGCCATTGTTTTTGTTACATAAGTTTACCTTCTGATTACAAGCTGCTGCTGCATCATTAAATTCATGGCACACATTCAGATTTACATAAAGCTTCGACACACTAATAATAGTTTAAAGAACGAACCTAGCAATACTATATAAATACTCGAGTCAGAATTTATGTTATTTAATAAACTGGATATAAAATACTAAACATGTATAATACTCATACGACAAATATTCAATCGTATAGTATATTATAGACAAAAGTATAAAAAGTTAAGTCAGACAAAAGTATTAAATTTAAAATTCGTTATCCAAGCTAGGTACAAAAAATAGAGAGCATGTATTTTGATTAGAATTTTCATTACATACTAAACAACTGTTTACATTACAGTTGTTTAGTATGTCACAAGAGACCTAATGCTTGCAACCTAGCCACGATTGACCGTGGCGGTAGGTAATCGTAAAGAGTATATCCTTCCCAAGTGTAATGAGTATTCTGTCAAGGCGATAGAATACCCATGACACTGAACTTTCTTGGTGAAAGTTTATCAAGAAATAAAATATTATTTTTATTAAAATATTAAATTGATCACGTGACGACACAGATTATAAAGATTATTGTAAATTATTCAAAAATGTTTATATTAGTTTTTAGAGACTATTAGTTTATTTCTTGGTATGCTATCACTGACTCGGCTTGGTATACCCTTTAGGATTAACCCTGTATTTATACGTAATACATTTATTAAGAAAATTAACAGCGAAAAGAAACGTATTGTGATGCTGCATTTATACGTCACGTGTCGCTGTGGTCAAGTTGTAATTTTTTACAGAATAGCTTTACGTATTAATAGTGTGTATCGATCATGCAGTTTAATGACACATCTGTATTATCCGTTAAAATTGTGATATAGTAATAACTGATTATGAATTTCTTTACATTTGGAGAAAAATCAGTATAATATTAAGTATCAGTTTGGGCATCGAAACTACAACAGAAAACGAAATTATGGTGAAAATTAGCTACTTAAATACATTTTTTGGATTTGATATTATTTTCTTACCAAAAATTTTGTTAAACACAATTAACAACATTTTTGGTGAGAAGAAGAGCTTATCTATTAAATGGTTTTGTTTCAGACGAGAATTAACAGAAGTTTATTTAATATTTTTTTTTCGAAACCTTTTAATATTGCAATTTTACAGATAATGCAGATTATTCTTGGCAAAATACAATAATGCATAAATATTGGGTGCTTATTGAAACATTCATAACAGACAGAATTTATGTTGGCGCTTTTATAATTTATCGTTGATGTAAACAATTATCCAATAGTCGTCGTATTACGTTTATCATAGGCAAATTACATACATTTTACTTTCTTGTTATATCGTGATGGGAAAAACTACGACATCATGCTATCCTATGATAAATTACAAAAACGCTATAAATGGCATCAAGAAAAACTCACACATCCCCTACATTAATAAGTCGTTGTTTCAAAATATACTCTTTAACGCTAGATATTATAGCCATTAAGTAGTTTATTAACGTAAAATTTAGTAATTTATACTAACTAGTGCCATTATAGGGGTCGTGTCTTAATTTATAGTAACATATTCGTTACGAATAAGCAGACTTTAGGCGTTCTCGTTATGTACACGTATTATACCAAACATATAGGTACTCGTCACTCGTGGTAAGTTCAAAATACAAAAAAATGCACAAATCAACCCTATAAAATTGATAGATTCGAAATACGTTACATATTTAATATTTCAATACTTTAAGATTTTCAATATATAACTTATAATAGAAAATTTGTATGTGGAAATAATTACATAAAAATTTTATTTCCTTTAATTTTATGTTTACTCAATCAATAACTACAATAATATACCAAACATCAAGGCTAATGACACTGTATAAATTAGAAATCGAACGAACCCGAGTCAACGTCTAGACGCATGACTATTTACATGGTCCGCCTAAAGTCTGCGGTGTGGAGTTACCGAGCGCCGAGGGGTGAGTGCGGAATGGCCTGGTGGGAGTGTCAGGCGGTCACTTTACGAGACTGGAGAGCGAGCGGGATTTCAGTGTCGGAGTGAGTGAGGGCGCGGCAAGCGGCGCCGCCGACGCCCGAGCACACGCGAGCCCGCCGCGACCGGCGCCGCGAGCTGCGACGCTCGCCACCTGCGCCGCACGAGGGCTAGTACCGGGACTACTCTATACCGAGCCCGCGCTGCACCAACACCTCATTATGGAAACTACCACGACCGTGTCGTTCGTTAGCTGCTTTTATACGTACGCTATTTCACGCAGGACAGGAAAAAATATGTATGTAAATGTAGACAAAAATACCGAAACTCCGCTATAGTGTGGAATCCCGCATTCTAAAATTGTGAGTGCTTTAGCGTCTTTTTGGAATGATTAATTAATATTGCAAAATGAAGTACATCTGACTATAGTACAAAGACATAGTTATTAATAATTTATAGATCTTAAACATGGAAAATTAAATCCGTGGAATTAAAAATTAATTTTTAAGAGTAAGTTTAATGATTTGATACATACGCGATATTACGCGCGCTAGCGCGCTAAATCGCGCGTGCTCCTGACGCGCGTGAAAGAATGTACCGTGCAAAGGCAGCAATTGACAAAAGGTTATGGTAGATCCTCACTGATCATATTATACCATAACATTTTGATAGCAAAACAATGAGTTTAGCCACAGACCATTTTGTGTAGCTGAGGCTCACACATAATTTTAATTTTGATTAACAACATTTTTTATTATACAAATTTGAATACAAAACATATTCTCGACATCATTATTTAAGGTCGATGGTATCGACATATTGCTTGTAGCTATCCTGTTTCTACATAACGGTTTCGAGTTTCCATAATGAGCACTGTTCGTCAAGCTTTAACTCTGTATATGTAGTCCTATAGTGCTAGTATTTGTCAAAACATACATCACAATGCTCACCAAAGTGGTGACACGTCGATGCGAATTAGAACATTCGTGCGTAAACGTACGTCAAGCATAACTTTACGTGCGTATAAATAATAAATTAGCATTAATAGAATCAATTGAGGTATGTTATAATAATGACATGCTACAACTTTCAAAATACATTAGTGAAAATTTTCTTCCAACATACTTCAGAACTGAAAAATATAAAGCTCTAAAATGAATCAAATTATGATACAAATAAATCAATTTTACATATAATGTGGACACTTGATCTATATTTTTATATTTAGAACACAAAATATGAACGAATTTTGTTTTCACTGATAACTACTAACACAAATCGTAAAATATTTGCAGATATTTTTCACAAATATATTTATGTTATGTAAGAATGTCTCAATAACTTGCATCGGTACATTAGATACATACAAATTCGCATCGACGTTAAAATATATATTTAAAAAAAAAAACAATGATTATTATAAAATTATACGAACCATTAATACCACAACTAACCCATATGCAACATAAAAAATATAAACTACACATTTAGAATTATGCATATTATGACTTCCAATGTAAGAGCTCATACGTACGATATAATAGCACATTTAACGGCGATAATCCTCTATGTCGACTAGTTTAAAACACGATTGAACATCAGCACACTAATATCTATGAATTGGTCGATTTCGCTTTCAAAAACGTTGTCAAGTCACTCACTCATCCCAAGTGCAGATTTTTTTAAATTTCTTTAGCTAAATGGAATGTGTTGGCCAGGTTTAGGGTCGTCAACGCGCACGGACACCCCTGGTGTTTCAGGCCATCGTCCATAGACTACGGTAAACGTTTGCCATCAGATGGGCCGTACGCTAGTTTGCCAACATGGTAAAGAAAAAAAAAATGGTAAATAAGCTGCTGACGGTTTAGCAGATAAAAAGTGATAACCGTCGATTATATACCTAAACTGCACTACAGTCTACTCTTTGACATCCGTGATACCTCAACTGCGTCGCCATTACGAGAACCTATGTCTGCCTATGACATGACACCATATTTTGCAAATTCTTTGGTTTTGTATTGTTATTGCATTGGTGTTTTAGTATACTATACATTACACGTTAAAATTTAAAAAATATGTGCATATGAGCTCTTGTCTATGACAAGACAATAAACAAACGAGCATTTTAAGTGCACACAATTAGTATAGTGTTCACATTTTCAGATTAAACTTTTTAGTAATTAAAAAAAATGTTAAACAAGATTCAGAGGTGAACTAATAACAGGTTTATATAAACCACTGAAACATTTGATTCCAAATGAACTAGAATTTGAAAATGCGAACACTAAGTAAATATAAAAAAAATTGCAAGATATGTAGACGACTGTGGAACATATTGAAAAAAAAATGTATACTAGTTCCATTCAGCTATTGCACAACTGAACATCAAAAGCATGAGAAACCAAATATATTATTCGTTTTAAGTAGCGATAAAAATCTAAATAATTATAATTTGGGACAAAAATCATTGCTCGGTATTTTTTACACTGACAATCTTCACAGTCGTGAACCTAATTAAAAAAAAAATTTAAATTGTACACGAAAGAGAACATACTATCGATAAAATTATTAAAAAACGAATAATATTTGCCTACCTATATAATGAACGATGCAGCACATATAAATAGACGACGCAATTATGGTATTTTTGATTCAAAACTCGAATGAGATTTGACATGCCCGTCTTTTGCTGCACATATACAATACAACAGAACATGCTAGGACGTGTTCTATTTCATGATATAAGGCTGCCATCAATTTCATATTCTTGCTAGTATTCAAAATTTTATTAAAAGAATTCATGGCAACCCTATTTATAAAACAAAAGTTGTTAAATATCATACCTCAGTCGCAATAAAGGCGATAAATAATATTGTTCGTTACTTACATTGAAACCGGTTTATAACCAAATAAATAGTATAGACCTATGAAAAAGTACAAACTCTAAAAATAAATATAATAAATAGCAACATTAATTAGTAATAACCCATTATTAATAATCAACATAAATAGGAAGTATCCAACGTAAATACAATAACGATACAAATACAATGCTAGCAGACAGTAATTCATGCTTCATGGTGGTGTGATGAATAAGTGTGCTATGGTGGACAAGACATGCTTGCGTAAGCTGAAAAGCGGGCCCCCATAACATAAATACCGTGTTATTTAGTAAAATACTGAATGCTCTATTCCTCTATTGTAGTGGTATACAATGATATTTAAAACATACAACATTTCATTTATTGCATGTAAATGTATGTGTAGTGGTTCTAATTACGATATTTATATCCCTATAGTGTACTATAATTATAGATAATACGAATATAATATATCTAACGAACTTATCTAATATCGCGTACCGAATGGAATCCGGGGTTGTGACGTAAAAACTTCGAAAAGTATAAGTCTAACTCTCAAATAATTCGAAAAAAATCAGAAAAACAAGAATTTTTAATGTAAACATGCGGAAGTATAGAAAGAGTACTGTTGCAACTTGGTTTGTTTCGTGATTATTGAACTGTTATACTGAAAACGATTTCGCAACAAACGCGGGCGTCACGACATTTACTACAAACAATTTAAAAAATTCCAAACGTTTCGATAGAGCGAATTACTTATTCAATGTCAAGGATATTTTTATTATATCTAAATCCCATCGCTCGTCAGCAATACGTAAACAGAATGCGTTGACCGCACAAAGAGGAAGACAGCATTCAGAAAGCCAGTGAGCCGGTTAGTCCGCCGCACCGAAGCGAACGATCACAAGAACACAGTACCGGTGCGCGAGGGCGGTCAGAACAAAAACTCTAGGCAGGCGACAAGCACGTAGAGAGCCGTGCTCTCGTCGCGGGGCCCCTGGGGCGCGCAGCGGCCCGCGGGGCCCGAGGGTCCCGTGGGCCCCGCGGGGGCGGACGCTAGGGGGGGGAGCGGCGTACCGGCGCGCGCGCGGGCCGCGTCCAGCGACCCGGCCGGCTGCAGGAACCACTCCGACCGCGTGCGCATGCGCGCGCGCTGCCGCTCGTGCACCTACGCACCACCACACCACCACCTCACCACCGAGTCTCCGCGCCACGGGGCCAGGGCCGCGCCACTATTCTATTTCTTTTTATCGCGAATCGCTCCATGACATGTACCTACTGTTAGTAGGAGTCTCAAAGTACCGGGTGGGCCGGACTCCCCGAGTGATTTTCTCCAAGAAACAATAAAAAGGTTGACAGGCGTGACTGTCCCTTTAATCATCATCATTTCAATTATGGTAATTGTACACTGGCGTATAAAGGATTCGCCTAACTACCTATATCAAGCTATATTTATTCGCTGGCATTATCATATCAGCTTTTTAGCTATTTTGTACTTTTATTACAGATGAATCTTTATTGCACCACTAAACGATAATATATCAATCAAGATATCTCAAATTTATAAGGGTACATGCCCTACTAATTATATTGGCTGTTAAAGTGCCCAAATTTCAACACGCAACTATATATATGATATCATATAAAAATATATGAAAAAATCGTATGACTATAGTAAATTGTATAAGCTTGAAGTTTATTATTATATTCCTACCGTCTGGCTACGGCCCTGCGCACCCTTGATAACAGCTGTACTGACGGATTTAATTAATAATAGCCGCAAGAAATGCATACGTAATATACCTATCATTAAATAGGAAAATTGACTATATATAGTTGAAAAATGTTCAGATACATGAAATTACGATTAAAAATGAAACTTGTTGGTTGAACGTAGACATGTAATTGTTACAGTACCCACCCTTGTTACTCAATATGTATTATTATGTAAATTGTTAGAAGATTAACATGAAACAAGAATGTTAGATTCATTAGTACTCACTCGTTTCTACAGTTAGTCACAGATGATGTCGGCATACCAATATATAATAACTATACCGTAACCATAAATGTCTCTTTTAATTCATAACGGCTAGTACCAAGTCCTAGCCTAGTTTTATATAAATATATAACGTAGTGATGTACGGACAACAGCAAATCCGATAATTTGATGCGGTATGTGCATCCACAAGAGTGCAGCTGAAAGCTTGTGTCGTCCAAAACACCCAGTTGTGCTCAACCCTACTTACAAGCAACTGTGGTAAACAGTCTAGTTGACTGCGCCATCACTCCTGTATATGGAAGTACAACTAAATACTAACAAAATAGCCAGCCCTAACTATTTACCAAGAAAACAGACATTGGGTCATGCATTTTGTAAGAATTAGACACGGACCGCTACTAAATAAAACATATGTCATACAAAAATCAATTTTAAGAAAATAACTTAAAAGCATCATATCTCATAACACAGACAAATCTACTATCTATGGTAAGGGAACAAAAGGTTTGAGTGTATGCCTTTTCTGTTGGAACATACGATTTATTTTCCAGTGATCCGTGTTTCAGAGACAGTATAAAGGTGACAGACTGCCCGACAGTGTGTGTAGACTCTACAGGTGGATACTGAGCGCACTCGTGTCACCATCACTTAGAGATAACATCCTTTAGCGAGCGCTAGAATTCAAATACATGTAGTTGTACACATAACTTAGTATAACCCTATAATCACACTTCAGAACAATTTGCAATTTGAATATTGATGTGAGAATACGTTTTTAAGCAATCTATTACAGAAAATAAAAAAATATATATAAAAATATTACACACAATTAATTCGAAATATTGAGCATAAATGGTATTAAATATACTCATAACAATTATATATCACAAATACTTAGAGCTAAATTACTCAAGCACACTAGATTATTCCAATCCAAGGTTCAATCATAATGTATGTAATAATAAACTTGTAAACAACTGTTACACAGCGACGCTATATTTCTCCGTTAGAAATAAGCAGTTAGACATTGTAGAACGCTATGTAATATTGGCCTAACCTAATTCGAATAAATAGGGATTGCAATTATGCTACTTAAGGAGCTGGAGGCATGTTGATGTAAAATTTAAATTATCTAAATAATAAATATATCACATCAATAATTCAAAATCACCTACATCTGAATGTGTATTACCTAAACGTACTAAATCTAAATATAAAGTCGTACCTGGGGCAAGTAGGAGAGACTCTTAGTGCTCTCGGCATACTTGTTGATAGCCCGCAGTTCCTCTAGTGTCATGTGCGGGCTGGAATTACTGCGAGATGACTGAGACGACGAGCTGACGGATACCTGAAATTATTAATAAATCTAATAACTAGAGAGAAATATAAGAACTGAGAGCGTTGTGTCCTAGCAGGACTAAACTACCCGACTTCAATGCCAAAGGTAATGAGTCCGTAAATCGTTCAAGAACGTCATATATAGACTATTTTTTATATCAAAAAGATAAGGACGAAATCGCAAGTCGAAAACCAGCTAGTCGAATTATATATTAAGATTTTAATCTTACATTGGTTAGACCAAGTCTAAACAAATGTGTAGTAAATAGATTACAAAACCAACATTGTATGTTTAAAAAACTTACAGTGGAAAAGACGGACACATTATTTGCAGTGCTATTTAAATCAAAGTTTTATATGAAGAAATTTTGTATCCTGTAAAAGAAAAAGAGAAGTTGCGTGTCACAACTAGTGTTACGGATATATCGATAAGATGACAACACCATATTATCCCGCAACAGTATTGGTTTGAAATCTCCAATTCCACTGCACTATACCTTGAAGACGCTCTCCTCGAGTGAGATAGAGAGGCGCGTGCACGAGTCGAGCAGGCTGTGCTCGGGAATGATCCCGAGCCCGAGCACTCCACCGGCCGCTCCGCCGCCCACACCCACCACGCCCATCAGCGCCGGCATCGACTGGCACTCCTCAGACTTTGTAAGACCTGCAAGTGGTATGTTTGTAGTACTAGCTGTTCCACACACACACACAGTTTCGCCCAGGTGATATTTATAGCCTATGTGTCATTCAGTATTTTCTGCGTGAAAGAGTATGAAATATCTATTCATGCATTCACACTTTCAAACTTCCGCTTTTATAATAGGACTATTTATTTTTTCATTATTGTTTTTAACGACTTACATTTTCATTAGCTTTAGTATATATGAGTGCTATTGATATCTACAATTACACATTTATTTAAACTAGTTTAGTTATACCGTAATAACACAAAAATAATTGAAAACAATTCTACTGCATATTTAATATACAATATAGTCACGCAAATACATACACAAAACAATCCCAAAATTGTATAGATACATTAGAATGATGTTAAATCCTTTTTATTGTATTCTAAAGCCTGGTTAATTTATATTATAGTGATGGTATGATTATATTATTGTGAATCATCTACATTACCAAATTGTTACCGCTAAGTGCCACCGAACCCCTTACGTATAATTTTTATATGTAGATTAAATGATTACAATGAAGTATATTGGATGTTACAGAAATAGTTAAATTAGCAGAAATCCAGCGAAAGAATATACGAAACTAAATAACTCTATCCTATATTAGAGAAAAAGATAGGCTATTATTTTATATCCCACCCTTCTTTGTTTCATTCTTATTACAATATTAAACAAGTTATTAACTTAAAAACAAACGATTTTAACCTTTAAGTGCATACATAAATATTAATTATTTTATCTTACCATTACACAAGGTAAGGAAATAGTTTTTAACGACAAATTTAAATAAATTAAATAATTTTGTATGCAATACAAACTACTACCATATGATAAAAGGACATCAGGTAAATTTTAAGAACATTATTCAGTTTCATGGATGCTATCGTTAGGTTTCAGAATAATAAACACTATCTGTAACATCTTATATTCATATAGGTCAATCGATGACAAGTGTATTAATAACCCGTACGTTCATAACTTATTCATAAATTATTAAGACTCACCAACTAACAATATTGAAATAAAGTAACTTGACTATATTAATAACTTAAACGATTGTCATTCAGAGGACCTGCGAAAGATTTGCTTCATGTATTATTTAATACCTACAACTACGTTAACACAGAACAGAAAAAAAAGTGTATAATTGCCAAAATTCTTTGAAACTACAAACACATTGTTTGTGCAGTACAATTTTCATTAAATGAGAATACAGTGTAAAAATTTCTCGAAACTATAAACATAGTTTATTTATTTACTTTTATTATGCCTATATACATATACCAGTGTTCTTCAAACTTCCACAGCATGATTAAAACTACTATATGAGAATAGATTGTTAACTATTTTTCATACCTCTAAGGCAGGACAAGAGGTATGAAAAATAGGTAAATAACAACATATACCTACCACAATACCTAAAACATATACCTACAATACTAAACGCTATCACGCTAAATTTGCACTCTTCTACCATAGGGGTTCAATTCGCAGTGTAAATAAATGTAGTGAAATACAAAAGTAAAATATGGTAAAAAGAGACCCATAACATGTTAAAAGCGAAAATTTTCAAAACGCATAATAGAAGACAAAAGGTTTAATTGTTTCTAAATATTAAATTCCAGTCGTAATATCTTCTATTAATAACGGCCAGAGTTAAATTTAACAACAAAGTTCCAATAGGGTAGATCAACCCTAATTTTTAATATTGATATTAACTTATATTCCAAAACAATGTGTGTAGAGGCAGCTAGTATTATATATATTATTATTATTATATAAGTATGAGATGTACTGTAATTATTATTAAAGATAAACAGTATAATGATACACAAATATCATGTACAGTTTAAGATAATCATGCAATACTTGCACCTCTTTTTTCTGTTCTGTGATATTGTACATAATAGTTAATATATACCTTCTAAGTTGAATTTGTTTCCCCATCTATCACATTCACACTGCAACCAAGTTTTTTCCGCTTCTAAAGATAATTGTCCTGTAACAAAATACAAATGAATTATGATTTACTATTGTCTAGTTTGAAATATAATTTGTATATTCTGGAAAAAGAAATACAATTAAATGTAACGCAACTAATCTAGTTAGTAAATTAAATGTAGATTGTTAATAACATAAATATGTAAATTTTATTAACTATCGAACTACATTTATCACCTTAGAGTATCAATGCACTAAGGTAATCCCTGGCATGTGGAGATTGCTAATAGCATTAAGCCCGCCTATTGTACAATTCAATAACTTTAAATAAATAAATAAATCCGTATCGTTGCAATTAAAATACAGTAACTAAGGAATACATTTAATACGTTACCTTATTATACTATAGACCATATCCTTAATTACCAATATCGTGGAATAAAAGAATTCTTGTGAAAACTTAACTTAGATATTTTAATCTCCGGATTATGCATTTGATCTGACAAAAGCAATTTTACATTTACTAATATGATGCTAAAGCGTTATGGTAAAATGACAAAATGCCATAATGACCATCCCAACTGGAATTATAGTTGTAACCATATGTATAGTATTGTATTTAAATGACAATGTATTAATTAATAGAGACCTCCAATTAAGAATAGAATCAGTCTAAATATAGTCTAGAAATCATTTTCAATTGTCGGCTCTTTATTGTGCTATTGCATGCGCAAATAACACGACGACGCGGGTCAGCGAGTAATTACATATATAAATATAGTAAACAATATCAGAATTGTATTGGTTAGTTACATAAGATGTTCTAACTGTAAAAATAAATCCAGAAGATATAAAATTTATGAAGCGAAATGTAATTATTTACTTCGATGAATGTGGTAGTTATACAGATGGAGATGTACTTTTTTGATGGTAGTCCTAATATTGAGTCTATGCGACTTGCAAATTAATATTAATGAATGTCTTTTGAATGAAAAATTATTTTGAGTAATCTTCACTATAATATTAACAATACGAATTCCTATAATGTCAACTATATTACATGTAAAATAATGTTTTAACGAGTAAAAACACTTATTAATCAGCCATTTCATTAGTTTGTCTTTGAACTATTTTAAACAAAGATTTCTAACGGCAGTAGGTAATTTATTATAGATATTGATACAAAATGTTTATGAAAAAAAAATGAATAGACTTACTAGCATAGGCCTCTTGGTCCCTATGGTGACGAGGCGGCGGCGGATCCCTAAACGAGCATATCCATTCGTCTTTTACACGCAGTATGCGTCCCGTTACACGCGCATAATACTCGTAGTTTTCTCTGCCGAATAGATCGCCTGCGCTGAACTGCTCGATCAACTGCCGCATGATACGTGTGGCCACCTGCCAATTTTACAATTGAATAATAAAATGTCATAATAATATGAATAATATGAAAAAGAATAAAATTAATGTAATAACTCGTTAAAAACTGACTGACGATCCACTTGTTAATAACTGGTGACCGTGGGCTATCGCTGCCAGCTGACACGTATGAGTTTGTTATGAATTAGTAATGCGTTCCCAGTTTTATCGACTAACGCAGTAGTGTATTCAGATACAACTAGTTATATATGCAATTTTCAGTTTATACTTCCATCATGTGGATCGATAGCATATTTTCTATTTTACATAAATCAGACAAAGCAAGAACCCGAATATATAACAATCTAACAAAAATTATATGAACTTGCATATACTATTATGATATCTATTTTCGGAACTTTATTTTTATTTTTTTATAAAGAAATATAAATACTTGATCAAAATAGACCTAGATTTTCTCATATTATAATCATTGTGCATCAAATTCCATAAGGGCTTAAATAAGATAAATTTCATACTACATATTACATATATCATAAAATACACAATTAATAAATCTGTACAACATATTAGATATATGCATTAAAAACTAACTAAAGTTTTAACATTTTACATCCAGATTATCTACATTATAATAACAGCCCTAGATAATACATACAGCGACATCTAGTACTAAATAAAGAGCTTGTTAAATAGAAAACACAGTTACAGTAGTAATACAGGTAGGCAATACGTTTAACTAGACATTAATCACATACATTACTAAGCTACTGTGGAATTTCGGTAAATATTTCTTAATCAACTTAAATTAGAGATGAGTCAATGGATAGGATATGATTATGAATGGGGAGTCAATGAATCAAGCTGTTATCAGTGCTGCTAAGAATTGCAAAAGAAGTGTTTACAATGCGTAAGTGAGCCAAACATGACAAATATTTCTATTGTTTATAATTCATATGACTAATAACACAAAACAAATTACCTATTAAATCCTTTTAATATATACTGTACTACTTATGTCAGTACACAAGCACTGTAAAAAGAAAGTTAGTGGAAGTAGGACATACGAACAAAGTAATGCCAAAATACAGTCGCTGGATAGTTCAGACATGTTTTTTTTTATAATTGGAATGGGAAACAGCGGTCATGAATCAACTGATGGTGGTATCACCACCTATTTAGATGATCAGCATCATGGACATCATTATCATGATGCTTGTAATACCACTCCTGCATTGGGAACTTAGTGGACTGAAATGCCTCAATATTTTCACACAAGTGTGATGAGGTACCCATGCAGACGACTTTCTTCAAAGTCTACATTGGTATTTAAATATGTATCATACTTGCCTTACCAATATTATAAACGCAAAAGTTTGTGAGTATGGATGGATGAATGAATAGATGGATACTCTTGATGGTAGTTCTTTCATGCTCTGCTCTCTCTGCTATTCAAAACTACGCACTTGATATAACTTTACAGTAATATAGCACCTTATACATCAGAATAAGACACAGGCTAAAATTTAAAAAGGTATCGCTTAAATTGGACGAAATAATGATAAAAGTCAGGTAAGTGTGATGCAGTCGAAGTTGCGCGGGTCAGGTAGTGTAATGTACATGGAAAATTCTTACCCATTTTGCAACTTATGAGGCTAGAAATTTCTATAGTAAGCAACAAAGTACCTATTGTTTGAAAGTGGGACGCAACATTCATTTAAACATGTGCTCATATGAAATTTATTATACAAAAAAAAACACAATAATGCGTCATGAATTCACGATTAAGTATTTATGACTAGGTTAAATAGGCAAATACAAAAATTATAAACAATAATAAAATATAGAGGTGTAAAAATGGCTGCCTTCCATTAACCAGTTAGAGTAACCAACTCATGACTCTACATTATATTTTGAACGAGATCAGTAATATGAAATTTCTTATAATTCGTGTATAGCATGCCTTTTAACCAACTAGAAATTAAATTAAGTAAAGATCTTGGCATGAACTAACAGTGGTAAAATTCAACAAATAGGTATATTGCAAAACTTTTTATAGCACTATAATATTATTAATTAATTTCGATAAAAAATATGTCATGATGAAACATATAAACACTATTCTAAAGCATAGTATTATGAAGCATATATATCAATTGCATTACTAATATATAATAAAACATGTACTCTGCATTATAATCGACACTATAGTAATATTACATAAAGCATAGTTATCTAAGAAGCCGATAGGGAGAGCTTGAAAGACAGCTATAGATTTTCATTGTGCTTCTAATTACTACTGATACTTACGCTCACTTCAGCCTTTAGCCGCATGTTTTAGACATATCAAGTAATTTAAGCTATATACAACGCCTTTATATTGTATTTATATGTTTTTACATTATGAGAACAACGATCAGATGTGACACCATCGTATATTGCATATAAATATGTAAATAAAATATTTAAAAAATTATCAGCAAATAATGCTCCTTTGTCTCAGTGATTATTATTTGTCATTTTACAACGTCTATTACACCAATTCTTCAAAATTTGATAAATGATATTTCATATTTATGAATTAACATTAAAAACTGTTTCACTCTATTAATGTATTAAAACCGGTACGTTTAATGTCAAGTCTTTTGCAGCGTACAATCGCAAGCCTCTGACTACCCCATCCGCGATAAAAATCACGACAATATGTTTCAAACAATTATTGTTGTACTTATTACAAAAGAATTGAAAATTGTAATGTTATATGTTATGTATTATCTATAATAGCATTGAAATTGTATGAAAATAAAAAAATATAATGCTTTTTGTTATATTGCTTTGTAATCAGTGTTCCAGGTACAGAGTTTAATCTTCGGAAATAATAGTGGACGAGGGACTAAGGGCGTATTATTTTAAATTAGCTCTGTCCTGACCTATGGTTTCTCAGTCGTATTATACTTAAATGACTGGATAAACCTATTAATCTATATAGTTTCTACTCTTAAACTTAGACCTAGTCTATGGTTTCTCAGTCTAGTCGTATATTAAGAACGCGATAAATCTATATCACAACTGTTCATAGCATTTGCAAATATTATTGTGATAAGAATTATAAAATGGGTTATACCTGTATGTTTAGATTGATATACGAGTTACTTATCTGATAAGAAAATGCAGTTAATGTTGTCGATAAAGAAAATCACTTGTTAGCATTCATCATAGATTAACTTTCGATTTGATAGAACATGACAAGTGGAAGTACATAATGTAAACATAGAATTTCAGAATACGCAGCTAGAGAGAAATTCCTAAATAATATATATGAAATACAGAGGGTACGTCATAAAGGGTGTAACGTAACGTACATAAGTCAAAGTAAAAAATCAGTGATATAAATCATGAAGTTAAACAAGTTAATCCAAGAAACAAAGTGAAAAGTTGTTATTTTTAACACATGTACTAGTCAGTCTTTGCTTTTGAGACTAATCTTTTGAGAGAATTAGAAAATGGTGAAGTATTATGCCGTTATTGCCGAAAGCTATGTAAATACCTAGGTTTCGGCCTAGTATAAATTTTACCTTCATCCCTACATATCCCTATTTCATGACATGTACTAAATTAATCTCTTGATAATGATATAGCCACTATCACAATATGTACATATTATTATACTATTTTTCGTTGTAAACAACGTATGTTTTTATACATAACAAGTCTTATACTATTTGCATAGTTAATGCAATCTGTATTAACATAAAATAAAATATCGTTTAATGTTATTATCTATAAAAATAAATAACATTGAAGTGTCTGTTTGTAATTTCAAATTAAGAGCTTTTCACTAAATTCATATGTAAGTATATATGTACATGTACGCTACTTACATCAAAGAATTATTTTAAAAAGATTCTCTGTGTTTGATCTTGCTAATCTCTAAAACAGCTGGACCGATTTTGACGGGACTTTCACTCACAGATAGCTAATGTAATAAGGAGTAACTTTGGCAACTTTTATTTTATTAATAAAAAAAAGTAAAATTCCACAAGGACGAACTTGCCGATAACATTAAGTATCAAAATAAATAGAATATTTAATTATTATTTATTTCATCGTCTTATATTAAACTCAATTTCTACTGTAGTTAAAAAATCTTCTATTATTTACTTTAGATAAATTGTAATTAACTTTTTTCTAACTTCTTAACAACGGCTACTTTTGGCAACATATATTTCAGTCTATATAATAAATAAAAGATATTCTCAATTCGGTATTTGTGTTGCAATCGAATGCAAAGTAGTAACGGCTCATTAAGTACTATAATAGGCGTATGATATATTTGGACTGTGATCATAATAGGTATGCTGACCTTGAACCGCTGCACGTCCTCCATTGTGGCAGTCTTGCCGTCCGACACGCAAGAGTGGAAAAACGATGGTGCCACCGACACGCCCAAAGCCTCAGATGTCATACCTGTACCTAAAAATGAAACAATATCTCGTAATCATACCCATTTTACAGGCGAATTGAAGATGATTCTCTACTTTTTTTTGTCCAGTACACAAAAAATTAAGAACAATTTGCATAGGTACAATACAAGTTAAAAATAATTATGTTGTTTACAATGATTACAATGCTATGTTATGTTAACAGCTTCTTAATATATTTGACTGAAAAGTTTAATTAGATCTAGAGTCCATATTATACCCTACACCGTCCATCTATGATTTTTCTCTATCATTCAAAATTTTAGGGTACAATGGGACTAGCATGTACTTATAATTCATACAAAAGTACTTAAACTTCAAAGAAATAAAAAAACATTCAAAACATTATACATCATATCGCTAAAACTATTCTCCATAATTCAATTTAAAAATCGAGCTGTATTTATGTAATCATGTAGAAGTTCATTTAAAAAGAATAAGAGCTAAATTTCTTGTCATGTCTCGATAGCACTCCGAACTGACGGTAGATTTGACATATCTTAAGTAGTCAGTAACATGAATAAATATATTTTGATTCGATAAAGATCAGTAAATCAGATGAGTATCGTAATAATTATCCATAATTGAGCAATTTAAAGCAACTTCCCAAAATAGATATCATTACTATTGTTTAGTATCTTAATTTAAAAATGCTGTGTTGTAGCGATTTTGTCTACCGTCATCCAATTACCAGCGACCTCGATGTATACGGCGGATTTGCTCGTTTAATATCCATAATATACCATCCTCACAATTTAGATAAATATTTTCTAATGGATATTTACAAGCACACCACAAAAAATCTATATTCAAAATTTTTAGCTTCTAGCACCAACCGAATATACGGTGTTTTAATAATAGTCAATCAGGATAATCCCCTTTATAATTATACATGATTTCTAATCAGTTACGCTAATGCACTTACACTGTTCACGCGAATCGATAAATTAGTCAATATTGTAGCAAAAACGGACAGTGAAACGAATAGAATGGTATTGTCTAAAATATTTTTAGAATCAAATTAAAAGGCAATTTCACGGCGACTAATCTGTGTACATAATAACTACTTGTCTTACCAAGATATTTGTAATACAACGCATGCGTCAATGACAAGAATATATAATTTATGCGTGCGTTTATGCACATGCCATACAGTCATAATACGCATACAGCGAAATTTATACGTTAGTCATATCTACATATTGTTAATGGTTAATGAGATTTTATCGTTGAATTCAAATGTAATAAGAATGTTCCAATTAGGCACCGAAGTCGTACGTATGGCATGTTACGTGTTCATCATTGTTCTTTTGTATACAAATAAACTAGATTTTAACCGACATCAAAAATAAATGTCTTTCAACTATATTTTCAAGGCTAATTGTAATTTAACGTTCAAAATAGATGAAGAGTAATACGATAAGATACAAGATGATAAAGCTGATCATGTATATAGGCGTCACTTATCATCAGGTAGCTCGTCACCTTGTTTGGCGTTCCAATTACAGAAAAAAATCTTGTGAGAGAGATTTTAAAGATTTTGTACACTACCAGACAAAAAATACTAATTGCTAACAGTGATTTCGTTTGGTTATTGTGAAATAAGAGATAGTGTATGTTCATCCTCATAATACAATACCGAGGGGGGGAAAGGGGATTGTTAGTAACGTGGACTGTTGATCTCATTGCTAGCAATGTACCTTGTCAGGTTGACCTCCACGCGGTTCCCCCTGGAAACCATCGTGATAAATTCTTGGTGAATATGTCACGATGGGCTAACTGACCTAACCTCAGGCTCATCTTATCATGCTCCACTGGTGCCCCGCCAGCGTAAACCGTTAGCGCAGGCGGGTGCACTATTCCATTGTCATCCATAAAAAAAAAATACAATACCGCATAATATATGTGTGTTCACTTAAAATTTCATTCAGTCACGTTCAGCTATTTAAACACGAAAAGGTGACAGACAGATTTTAGAATATATTTGTACGACTAACTGTTACCGACGACTTTGTCTACTTATTTTCAGAGAGAACCTATATCATCCTCGTGACACGATTTATTCACGTCTAATTACATTAATATTTGTCCATTTTATTAACAGACAGACAAGCATTTATGTTATTAATACGGATATTCAGTACAGTCTAATAGCCTATTAAAAACACGTTGGGAACAGCAAATGAGCACCGGGGACATTGTAAGATTAACTAATCGTACAATATAAAGTGTTACGATTGCATCATAAACTGAAGCGTGCACACCCACGCAAGCCGCGTGTAATTGGCATAATTAGCAGTCATTATTATCAGTTGGATAATGCCGAATGCCTGTTTTGTCAAGTGTGAGATTACCTTGTTACAGTCAGCGACTCGTTTTTACAATAAAACCATCAATTACTATTATAATTATGTTTAGAACATTTTTCTACTGGGTTAAGTTCATAGTTCGAAAAACAAAATGTTTGGTGACTCTTTTTAGTTGTTAAGGTATCGAGCATACCTACATATACAAATTTTATCATTATTAAAATTCCTCTTTGTATACCGAAATATTAACTTCTTTTTCTTCAAAAACTAAAACATTAAATACTAGTTCATTATTTCGATACCGGCAAATTTATAGGAGACTAGGCCACAAACTAGATTAGAAATCGGTTACATAAAAAATTCAAATTAGAAATAAATACTATTTCATAAACGAAATTATTTAAATAGAATAAAACACCGAGTAAAGCTCGGTCGCTTAGATTACTGTAGTCAAATATAAGAAATAGTAAAAACTAACATAATATATCTTTGTTTACGAAAAGAAATGACAAAAAAATTGTTGACCACTGCCAACCATTTCATGAAATCGCCTACTGTATAATGAAATGATCGAATTTACAATTTTGTCACGTAGGTACATAAAAACGAGCTGGCAATGTAATACAGTTAGTAACAGTTTAATAGGCAACTATAATTATAAAGGCATTAAAAAGTCATCATTATAGAAAGCTAGCGAAATTCAACTTTAGTTTGCTGATATTAAAACAGGTTCGTTGCACTACTGTAATTGAGAATGCGTTATAATTTCCCTAGAGTGTGATATGTACCGAAAGAATTTATTTCTTTATTAACATAATTAGAATAAATAGGTGAAATGTTTTTACCTCGTCACTAAAAAACGTAAAAACTTAAAACTAAAAAACATGTAAACTTTTGAAGAATTAAGTTGCAATTTTAACAGAATAGTTGTTAAATATAGCTCAACATATATGCCAAAGAAAGCTTAAGTACTTAAAATTTTCTATAAAGTATATCTCAATAAAAATAATATTTTGATGTCGTTTGAAGACACTCGAAACTCACCAGCTTTATCAGCATTGGAAGCCATCACTCGGAAGGTGCCGAATAGAAGCACTAACAACTTCTGCGTGCAAACGGGCAGCGACATCAGTAATCTGCGAAGAACAACAATTTTTACCTCACATCGATTTTTATTTGTTTACAGGCAACCTGTACTAACTTCGCTATTAATTTGTACCACTAAACCATCCTCAAAACTCTGTTGATGTATGAAAATTTGTATAGTTCTTGAGATTGTCTTGAATATGGACATCACATACAGACGTGGGGACTTTAATTCATAATATATTATTCTATAGTAGAATATTATAATCTATGTCTTATTATTAATATTATAAATGCGAAAGTTTGTAAGTATGGAACTATGGATGTTTGTTACTCTATCACACTAAAACTACTGAACGGATTTTGATGAAACTTTACAGTAATATAGCTTAGGCATCAGAATACACATATTTTTTATTGAAATTTTTAAATTAAAATTTAACGCGAGTGGAACAGCGAGCATAGCTAGTATATTATAAATCATACTGCTCTCACCACGTCTATACTTACTTATACCTCGATTTTGGTTAGGTGTACAATGTATAGATATGAGAAAACTTCTATAACTATATGTATTTAGAAAGAATAAATGTTCAATGATAAAATTATATAGATGGATCTAACATTGATATCTCTTAGCCATTCGCTAAGGACATTAAACCAAAAACAACTTTTAATATTTTTTTAAATATCCATTGACGAAAATAAAATAGGACTAAAGCATCTATTTCTTCTTTGTAATCGACCACGACCACGTTATGTATATAACGTAATAAATTATGTTCATGTTATGTTCGTGTTCGTATCAATATAAACTTTCCAAAATGTCTTTCTTCATGTCGCCAAAAACTTATCTATTCATCAACACCATAAAAATGGAAATAACTCGTTTTTCTTAATAAATAATATTATTATCAGATAACACCTATACTGTTTAAATAGAAATGGTCATACATAATTCCTACTGCATAAAAACTATTATCTGATAAAGAAAAAATTTGTAATTGTATTTATTTAAAAACGAGGTATTTACAAGTCGATGGTGATTATGAGTAGATAATAAAAAAATATAAACGACCACGTTAAAAAGGAAGAGAAATAAAAATGCGAACATAAAGCATTCACACCCAAGGCAGGACCATCATTAGCTCCATGGGAACGAGAGACTGATTAAATCAAAGAATGAAGGACAGGCTCTGTTTAAATGATGGGTTACACTTGCGCATGATTCGGTCGGCGTAACAGCTCGCCGCAATATTAGTAACGGGCTCACTCTGACCGCCGACCGTGCAATGCTTCCAATCTGATTCAACATTATGATAGCATGCAAGTTACAAACAGGAAGGGCTTGTATACTGTAATTTCAACGTGCATTCATCGTCAATAAACCACAAGGCATTAAGTATTGTACCTACAATATATATAATACATATATATATGTATTTAAGCGGATCGGGCGGTACGAGTGCAATTATTGAACGAATTTCTATTTTTTTTTTAATAAAATATAGTTAATGTTACTGAATAGTAATGTAATTTATATCGGTGAAAGAATTATTAAAATCTGTTTAGGTAAATTATGAATGAATCTCTTACAAACAAAATAACAAATAGGTTTAGATTATTTAAAGATTCGTAACCCATAAGTCCTGACGACAATGTATAGCATCATCTGCTTTTTATATATCGCACATTTAGTACTATACCAGATAATTAAAAAATTAAAAGTTTTGGAAAATTATCTATTACATAGTATAAAACAAAGCGCTGTCGCTGTCTGTCCCTACTCCCTATGTATGCTTGAATCTTTATAACTATGCAACGGAATTTGAAGCATTTTTTTAGGGTGATTCTAGAGGAAGGTTTATATACATATATTATACATGTACACGCGTGTGAAGCCGGGGTGAGTAATTAGTAAAATTTAAATGATAAAGTCTAATTTAAAACAATTTCTTTTTAGTTAATTCAGTACCATATGTTATACAATAAACAAAACAGTTCAACTTATTCATCGTTTGGTTTCATATATTACAAAAAAATACATTTTGTCTTGACATGCTATTGTAACACGAACTATCTACACCAGAGTGCAGTGTCGTATGATAACTAACAAGAATATCCGTATGTACTGAAGCGCTTCATGCATCATAATGCAGCTTGTAAACATGCATTGTTAGTATCCGTGATACTGGTGATATTGTGAAAGTCCAATAGCTTTCTCGTGTTACAGTAAACAATGGCGCCATGGGAGTGGCGTGGGCGGGACGCGCATATGGGATACTAGTATACTACAGACTACTCTGTACCACGGCTGCTCCAGGCGATGATGGCGTGATGATTAAAATATAATCAAATCAATTTCAATATAAAACTTATAACGACAAATACTTGGAATTATTATTTTGGGAGGAAAAGAAATATTAATAATTACCACAGATTATATGACATTTGTTAGTAATTGTCGGAATCAGCGGTTATGAACTTATAGCGTTTTCAATGGGTATAGTGAAAACTATACCCATTCAAAAGTAAGTAAGCACTATAATAGAAATATTATAATACCTTGAACCACAATGCCCAACATTATAATAGAATAAAGTTAAAGAATGGTAACTCGATATAAAACTATATACCTACATATATATACTATATACCAATAATCTGCACCGTTCAACCAAACAACAAAAGTCTTTTACTAGAAGAGTTTTGTTGTTTGGTTGAACGCGTTAATATCTAGGAATTACTAGTTACAATTTAAAAAATCTTTTACAGTGTTAGATAGTTCATTTATCGAGGCTAAAGGCTGCTACAGCCAATAGAGACGGACTATCAGAGAAAAATGTAGGAAAAACAGGAAATCTGATCATCTACGGGTAGTCTAGGTATACTAAAAATGCATTCTCTTTTATTGGGACTAATAGTACACTTTACAAACAAAATATTTTGATAACCAGTTGTGTTACCAAAAGGCAATAGACCTGCTAATACATGCTAATTAATACGGCACGCGTTACAATATTTGTCTGACTCACCTTTGTTGTTTAACCGTTAAATAATAACTATTGATCGTTGTTATCGTTTGATTAGGCAATCTATGTAACAAAAACCGGGTTATGCACGAGTGTCAAATGACTTTTGTCGGTTCCGTATCGTAAGTTAAATTATAATTACCTAAAAGAACCGGTTCATAAATGGTTCATAAATCTTATAAATTCACAGTGGTATAAACCGTGTAATTTTGTTTATACAAGTTTCTATCTATTAACATTTCAGTTCTAACAAATATATATATAAACTGATTCTCAAGGAATCATTTGTGTATAATTTGTATTCATCGGAAACCGGGCGAGTATGATATTTTTAGATAAAGCTTGATAACTCAGAATCAGAACTGAATTTACTGCTGTAATCCTATTACCATATAAATTACAGTCATGACATCACAGTTTGTGTTGTATGACATCATAATCTAATAAGATATATACCTATTTATTTATCACTAGCTAACCCCGCTACTTGATACCGTACATTTTTATTTATGAACCAATAGGAAAAAAACCTTTTGCTTATCAAGACTATTGTGAGCTAGGTAGAGTAAACTGTACTCTTATAATTAAACTACTGAAAAAAGACATAACAGCTAAATTCTCAGGAAAACCAAATTTTAAGAAGGATGTTAGTCTGATGTAATGTATTTGATGTATATATGAGTATTATATAATATTTCTTATGCCGTTCACACTTCTGGATACTAGGTTACTATTTTCTGTCAACTTGTTTGCAACTCGATTGCAAAACTAAATGAAAAGAAACTAAAAAAATGCATGTCCTTTTCCAATGAAAGGATGTAGTGTATTTGATCAATCTGTTGTATGTGTCTAGTCTCAAAGATTGAATCTGTGTCTTATCATTCAAAAGATAAAACGTGCATTGCATTCTTACAGCTGAAATAAACAGGTTTTAGATATTTAAAGACACTTCAAGGACTCATTGAATAAGTCCTCCAAATTTTTGTTCCAGAATTTATTATATTTATTTAAAATAAATTGCGCATCAATATAGAATTACTAAAGAAATGCTGAAAATATTTTATATTGGCGTACATAATTACATTGTCAAATAGAAGACTGAACAGATTTTTATTGTATATATAGTATGGTAAGTATTAACTAACCTGCGTATCTCAGTAACTTGCTGTTCTTCTGGTAATTCCACAGCAGAGAATAACTGCATCTCACCATCTCGACCAAATACTCCACCAGGAATTTTTCTAACAACATAACAGATTCACATAATGAAGTTTAATCATCTAATTAGATATATGTTTTTTAATGTATGTCATTGGAATAATGCACCAGTGAAGGATATTATGATGACCATGAGATCAAGTCAGTTAGCCCATAGCAACATATTTGTTAAAATAAACGACAATAAAATAAACAAGGGGATCTTGCGTGATTCCAGGTTTACTTGACATGTTAAATTGTTAAGATATGAGGTAACAATTTCCATTACTAACAGTCCCCTTTCCCCCTTCAATACTGTGATAATACTGAAGTTGAAAATTTTTGATGTTTTTGATCTTTTAGTATTTATAATATATGATTTTAATGCTGCCTGAATTAAATCTGAAGACCTGAATTGAGTTCATTCTACATTTAAATTTAGGTATAAATGTAAAATGAACCCAGTTCAGCTACTTATTATGTATGTGTATGTCAGTAACTCTTTATAGGATAAGTCTTCACAATCTACTTATGTAAGTAAGCAATAGTTGCAGTTACAAACAATATATAGTTATCAAATAGGGTCTTCATACAATATGGGAATTCAAATTTCTCATATTTACATAACCAATACTGATAAAACTTGTACAACTCTGTGATGAACTTACACTAATACCTACTGATTTATGAAAATTGATTGAAATCCATTACCTTTTCTTACAATGTTGTAATGAATAGACAGATGAGTTTTAGAAAAGGCTTGTCTGGTTATAGTCTAATCTATTTGAAAATTATACAGATAATAATATATACATATGTTTATTTTCATGAAAATTAACTGAAGGCCCTATAAGTTTTTATAAAACAAATCATACACTGTACATCATTATTCCACTCTGTTTTGCACTGAACCATGTATTACATATAATATGGGCTATTAGTTTTATAAATTATTAGTTTCCTATATAGGAAAGTTGCTGTTGGTATCGTCTCTGCCCCTAAAAACACCTAAAACTTTTTTTTTTACTAACACTGTGTTGAATGTAATATCAATATATTAAAAATATAACAAAGATTTACCTCAAAAACTTTTTAAGAACACTAGCAATTGTGTACACTGAATAATTATCCACGTTGACAAGTCTGCCGGTTTGCAAGAAATGTATTAGCTTTTTCATAGCGCCCTGATGACCAGGCGCCCGGAATACGTCGCGACGAAGGGGTGCCTCCTTGTTTAACTTAAGTATCAGCACCTGAACATCAAATGAAGCTTATACCACTGATCATAATAATAACAGATAAATAATAATACTTTTGTACTAACAAGCAATGGCCCAGGTATATCATCCTTACAAACTTCGTGCAAAGGTGCACCAAATTTCACTTTCTCTAGTCTCCGCGGATATGGCAATGAATTAGGATGTCCGCAAGACGTAACCACATTACTTAATGTAGCTGCTCGACGGTGCATTCTTCTTGCCCAGTTGCTCATTTTGTTCTGACTATTACTCCAATTAAACTATACGGACATATCTATAACCTAATTAGTAATTATAATATCTCAATGTGATGAATAGCATTTTCAATCGTCGTGGTATCAATTGCAATTCATATGGTAAATAAATTATTTTTAGTCTAATAAAATTATGTTAAATAAAACAATTCTTTTGGTAAATATAACAAGAATTGATGGGAGAGAGAGAGATACTAATAAATTGTTAATTTAGTATACAGAATAACACAACAACCGCAGAAACGCAAATCAGTTATGCCAACTTGATAAAAGAAATTTCATGTATTTTCATTTATTTAATACTCAATGTAAAAGGAATTTAAATGTCACGCAATAAAGTTACTTTTAGTTCGGGTTACAAATTAATGGAATGACTGCTTGAAAGAGACCATCGCCGTTAATATTTTATCCTATTCGTACAATTTATACAATTCAAGAAGAATACTAGTAGGACAATGTTACAGTTAAGCAGTAATCGTAGTATATATACTAAAATTATACCGCGGACATCACATTAAAGTCATCTAAGTTTTATAGGTTTATAAAATAACTACTCTTGTTTTAATTATTATATATATATATATATATATATTAGACTGTAAATTTAGACCATTAGGGTACAATGTTGTGTAAAAATATTCGTCTTTTAATATATCTGCAGCCGCTAAATCAAAATGTACAGAATGGAATGTCTAAAGACCATAGAATATGTATATTAAGTTCATGCTTGACAATTGTTGGACCAAAATCTTCAGCTAAACTGTGCATAGAGAAAGTACATAAATTTACAGAACCCTACGACTATAATTCTATGTTATTTACGCAAATGAGACTCTGCGAGTGAGAATAAGAGATAGCAACATTTTTGTAAAAGGAAAAATATCTACTACGCATGTAATATGTCAACCACTTTGATGTGCCATTCGCACAGATAAATGAAAGAATATTATTGATTGTTTGATACTGTCATATACATAGTTTACTTTTGTTGTATCGTGGCGGTAGTAGACAAAAATATAAAATATTTTTTTCTTGTTTGCTTGTTCTTCTTTACTACAAAAAACAAGTAGTAATTGAGACAGAGTTTAAGATTATTACTATCAAATTTCTAAAAAAAATCCAGTAACAATGCATAGCTTTGAAGATGAATGGCAAGAAAGTGAACCGGCAAATGTACAACCTACGCCGAGAACAAATTATTCCGCTCGAGTGTATCACGCGAGTACAAGCCGAGGAAACCGAGGCCATAACAACGAAACCAATTGGAGATCTCGTGGCGATGCCTCTGGCGGGGATCATCAACGAAATCGAGACACCAGACGTGGTCAAGCCGGTTGGGAAGGTAACAAGAAAATTATCAATGTTGTTTCTAACAATGTTGGGCGTATTATTGGTAAAGGTGGATCAAAAATACGTGATCTGCAATTTGAATCTCAGGCGAAAATTAAAATCGGTGATTCTAGTGGTGCTGAAACTGCTATTACTTTAATAGGCACAGATGAAGCGATATCTAAAGTTGAAGATATGATAAAGGAACTGCTTGAAGATAGAAGAGGTCCAGTAAAGGAAACTCTCAATAACAGTGACAATACTTCTGAATTTTTCAAGCAAAATGATTCTGGTGTGCAGGTTATTGATTGGGATAAACTGAATGCTTTCTATGATGAACAACAACAAAGTAGATGGCAAAATTTGCCTCCTATTATTAAAAATTTTTATAAAGAGGATCCTACTGTTACTAACATGACACCTGCTGAAGTTACACGTTGGCGTCTTGCTAATAATGATATACAAGTAAAAAGAACTTTTGATGATAAACCAGATTTGAGTCCTATTCCTAATCCAGTTGTTACATTTGAGCAAGCTTTCAAACAATATCCAGAAATTCTAGATGAAATATATAAGCAAGGTTTTCAAAACCCCTCTCCAATTCAAAGTCAAGCTTGGCCTGTCCTCTTAAAGGGTGAAGATTTAATTGGTATTGCTCAAACTGGTACTGGTAAAACATTAGCTTTTTTGCTTCCTGCCCTCATTCACATTGAAGGACAAACCATACCTAAAGATAAACGTAAGGGCCCAACAGTATTAATAATGGCACCTACCAGGGAGTTAGCTATACAGATTGATAGAGAAGTTTCAAAGTATACTTATAAGGCTATCAGGTCTGTTTGTCTGTATGGTGGTGGAGACAGAAGAGAGCAAATAAAAGCGTTATCTAAGGGAGTAGATATAGTAATTGCTACGCCAGGAAGGCTTAATGATCTTGTTGTAACTGGCTACTTGAATGTAATAAATTTTTCTTACATAGTATTAGATGAAGCTGATAGAATGTTGGACATGGGTTTTGAACCACAAATTAAGAAGTCTCTATATGATGTCAGACCAGATCGTCAGACAGTAATGACATCTGCCACATGGCCTCCAGGAGTTCGGCGCCTTGCCCAATCGTACATGAAAGATCCGATCCAAGTAAATGTTGGGTCCTTGGACCTTGCTGCTGTACACACTGTTACACAAAAAATAATGTTTGTAGAAGAAGATGATAAGGAAGCAGCTTTAATAGAGTTCCTCATTAACATGGATGAAAATGATAAAGTGATTATATTTTGTGGCAAAAAAGCTACAGCCACTCATATCACTACTGAGCTTTGCCTCAAAGGTATTGAATGTCAGTCTCTGCATGGGGACCGTGATCAGATTGATCGTGAAGAGGCCCTCGCTGAAATGGTAGATGGTACTGTGAATATTCTGGTGGCTACGGATGTAGCTTCCAGGGGTATAGATATCAAAAATCTCACACATGTAATAAATTTAGATTTCCCTCGTCACATTGAAGAGTATGTTCACAGGGTTGGTAGGACTGGACGTGCAGGGAAGACTGGGATTGCCTTGTCCTTCATATCTAGGAATGATTGGGGCCATGCAAGAGAGCTTATAAAAATTCTTGAAGAAGCAAATCAAGAAATACCTGATGAATTAGAGCTTATGGCTAAGAGGTTTGAGGCTATGAAACTAAGACGAGACCAGGAGGGGGGTGGAGGTCGCGGTCGTGGCGGAAGAGGCGGTCGCGGACGACGTGATAGGTGGTAAAATACCATTTCTAATATTCGAATACTAAATTAAATTTAGTATTATACTAATACATACATATATGTAATTGTGCAAGATATCCAGTATCTGATTAGGTTCTTAAAGGTCCACATTCATGTGGAAAGAAATGTATTTATTCACTGTGATATGATTTGATTATTACAAGGTGATGCTAGTTTTGGATAATAAATGTGACTTTTTGAAAAATAAACTACCTATTTAGTAATATGCATGTATTTTGTTTACAATTATTTTCAACCATACAACAGTTAAAGCATAACGAAGAAACAATTTAAAATAATTACATTTCATAATTTTTATTGCTTAGCTTAAAATGGAGATTGATAAATTTCTAAGTAACGCTTATATTTAATATTGAATAGGACATATTTTTTACCTATAATAATAGCGCACTGAAAACAATTTAATAGTGCATTACACTTAAGAGATTTTCATTATTTTTTTTAAATAAATAGTTAATTGTATAGGACAATTTATTTAGGTAACAGATTTCTTCACTACATTAATTATCCAACCCTATTGTTGTTGAAGGTACATTAGTAAATTGTCACAGAAACAACAACGAAAAATAAATAATATCAATATAATTACTAAAGTCTATACAGAGTACGATATTGTATAGTACATATAACCAATGTATCTACTATTTAGACAATTTCTAATCGTTTCATTTCTTTGAGAAGTTCCACTCCCATTTTGGCTGGAGAACGAGTGACAATAACGTTAGCCTTTTCTAAAGCTTTTATTTTATCCATGGCGCCTCCTTTACCTCCTGAAATAATAGCGCCGGCGTGACCCATTCGCCTGCCGGGCGGAGCAGTCAGACCCGCGATGAAGGATACTACAGGTTTTGCTTTTTGACCCTGGAATTGTATATAAAAATAAAAATGTCAGTAATTTCAATGTTTTAGATTTAGTTAAATGTAACTTTTAATCTCTTACATGACAATGAGGGCAAGGACAAAAATATCAAATGTCTTGGATAATTTAATTAATTTCATGTGCAGTACAGATAATACTCTCTGAAACTGAACATGAAATTAATTAAATATAAATTTAACATTAAGGTAAATGGACTATCAATAACGACGTAATTGTATAAAATATCCATAAGAAATAATAATATCCAAAAATTACACAATGATGTACAACTTTGACTTTACAAATACAACTAAAATAAATAAACTTTGTTCAATAAGAATAAATAAACACAAGGCAAACATTACAGCCAGATCTTTGAATACATCAACTATTTCATATGCATAAATAAAAAAAATACCACAATTAATTAAAGGTGATATATGAAACTACTTGCGGGCTGTAACCCGTAAATTCTGTAGAATTTACATCCTTATTGACATTACTATAACAGAGAGTGTCATTACACATACTGTGTGATGACATGTATCATAATACTACATGTCATTGTACTACTAGTAACTTGTAACATTCCAAAAATTAAACACACCAAGTAAAAATGAAATGGATAAAAAATTCATGGATGCATTCTTTTTAATGTATCCTTTAAGTATTATTCTTAGTGTAACAAAATACATATAGTAAAGATTACTTAAATTGAGTAGTTATTCTATTAACAAATAAAAAGGGTCTATAAGTATCACATCTACATACATACTGCTATAAGTTACGGAATCAACTTTTTTAGGAGAGGGAGGGGACATGACAAGCATTTACCTTTTTGGCCTGCACAGAAACAAAAGCAGATTTTGCAGCATTTTATAAAATTCTTACTACAGCATAAATTATACTTAAGTCATAAAAATGATCATGTACTTAATAATTCTATAAAACATGTTAAAATTGAAAAATACATGTACCTATTGTTTAAAAATCTTCAAGGTTCAAAAGAAACTTTTTTTACTATTAGCCTACTTAAAAACAAATCATACAATTTAATAGAATATATTTTACTCACAGTGTTATATTGGGTAAGATACTCGGAGGCAAGCTCTTCTGCGTTGCCGCCAATTTCACCAATAAGAATAATGCCTTTTGTTTCTGGATCAGCAAGGAACACCTCCAAACAATCGATGAAGTCTGTACCGTTGAATGGATCTCCACCGATACCAACGCAAAGTGTTTGGCCCAAACCAGTCTAGAACAGTATTGTAACATTGTTGTAAATTTAAGTTCTTTATTAGCCCCCCGCGTACAAAGAGGAACGTTTATAAGTTTGACATGTCTATGTGTGTGCATCATACTGCATTTGTATTGATTGATTATGATACTTTTTTTATAATTGTTTTTTTTTCAGGCGTTACTTAAGATAGTAAGTGGTGCATATACAGGCAGTTAAAAAGCCAGAATTGGTTATGAAACATAAGATTTCATTAAAGGGAAATTCTAAAAATAATTTATTATCTTTTCGTACTTATAAAATTGATCATGTGACCACATGACTATTTCTAAAAATATTTCCTTGATCATTGATGACATTCAATTCAATACACTGGATTTTGGCTTATATACCCTTTACATCGGGAAACATCGCCGAAAAGTGGCAAGAGCTCCACCGACAAGAGCGTGGCTCTTAAATTATGAATGAAATGAAATGAAACCCTTTACATCTAACCCTGTATACACGCAAGAAAGCTCGTTTGCCACTAAGCTATACGATGTCCATATAAGTAGGTAAATAAAAATTAAACTTACTATAGTTGTTTGATGGCAAGCTTCGTAAGTGAGAGTACCCGAACGGGAGACCACTCCGATGCAGCCGCGCTTATGTACTGCAGCTGGCATGATACCAATTTTACACTTCTCCGGGGCAATGATGCCAGGGCAGTTAGGCCCAACAAGGCGCGACTTGTTTTGCCTTAACAGAGCGTGTTTCACACGGACCATGTCCTGAGGATGTTAAAAAATTTACAGTAATTTCACAGGACTATTTTATAATTTAGTAACTGGCTGGATGCACAAGTAAATTTGTGTTTAAATTTACTTTTTTTAAAATTCATATAATCACTTCAGCTCAGATGTCAACATTTACTTAAAAAACCTTTATTAAAGGGTTCAGTTTGAATGTTCTGTCAGATTTGAAGATTTAAAAATATAATATTAGGAAATTATAAATAAATAAATTTTTGATGAAACTTACATGTTGAGGGACACCTTCAGTGATGCATACAATGAGGGGAATCTCCGCTTCAATCGCCTCCAAGATGGCCTTTGCTGCGCCCGGAGGAGGTACATATATGACGCTGGCTTCAGCACCTGTAGCTGCTTTGGCTTCCTTCACCGTCGCAAAAACGGGTTTCCCTAAGTGCTCTGTTCCAGCTTTCTTGGGTGATACACCACCAACGACCCTGGTGCCATAGTCAAGTGCCTGTTGACTATGGAATGTACCTTGTTTACCAGTGAATCCTTGTACAATGACTTTGGTTTCACTAGTAAGCCCAAGATTCTTTCGGGTCTCTGCATAAGGAGTGCCAGATTGGAATCTGACATTGCTTAGCTTTAAGCCATCTGAAACAAATATAAATGTATGCATACTTATTTTTGTATTGTTTTTTCTTAATGACATCAGTAAAAGATGTTTTGTATGTGAATGATGTCAGGTCAGATAGCCCTTTGTGACAATTCAATTAGATATTTACCACAATGCTTTCCAAGGGGGGCTGCAAAGAGTTTGACTTAACATGGTAAATTGCTAACAGGAGAACCTATAAGTATCTATAACATAAATTGTAAGTGAATAATAAGAAAAATCTTATATGCATAGATCTTGTTTAAAGAACAGCTATATAAAATATCAACTGGACTAATAATAATGTCAGATAAAAAGTTACTGAAATAAACATTGATATTGTTATATTGCATTATAGATACAGATAAGGCCAATACATGCTCCATAATAACTGTATATCTATAATTTTTTTCTGTCTATCTGTAATTTTTCAATAATGATGCATCTGATCTATCTTAATGAAATGTAGCAATTCTGTATGTATCCACACAGAGGCAATCTTCATCTCAGGAAATTGTCCATATGGGAGTGAAACTGGGGATGAAAAGTTTGTGTAGTCATAGGATAGGAAGAAGGTATGACTTAAACTTTTTTGTATATGATTATAAAGAGGCTTTTCCTGGTGTTGCTGATGTAATCAATCAACATAGATCTTAAGTGTTAGATAAAAAATTATAAAATTTTGAAGAAAAGTTACTCTATCCTTTAGGCATTTTAGTCAAGAAAAAGCTTCTCGAAAATCTACACTCAAGAGGTATGAATCACTAAAATTTTATGCTTGGATTATTTGTTAAAACACAAGATTAAGAATTTTTAAAATAACTCTCCTATAATTTAGAAAAAAAGAGGATCAAATTTTGTCACAAAATTCACTACCAATATTAGGGTTTGTGATTAAAAAATTCATTTTTATATTTAGAAAAATAATAATTATTTTTATGTCCAAAATAAGTCTGGGCAGATATTATTTTTATATTATATAGAAAATGCCTCGCTTAATGCCTATTGCCCAAAGCCCTATGGGCACATAGGGCATTGTTCTTCACCAGTATTCTCACATAAACTTAGAATCAGAGATAGCTCCATTTTTCGATTTGGACATGACGAAGGAGATGTAAACCATATTGTCTTTTCTTGCTCCAAATCAGTGTAAACACAGCTCATTAAAGAAAAATTCTCCATTCTGTTAATTTCTTCCTTCAAAATTGTAATGTTTCATGGATGAATGTAAAAGTACTTATATTAAAGTCTAAATAGATATCACTGTCTACTAACAAAATATATTTACTTATATACATATATGTGCTCACTAACCAAATTTGTATTCTTTTCGAAACTCTAAGGCAGAACATGCTATTTTGGATATACTTTCTATTTCCAATGGAGATAGAAAGTATATCCAAAATAGCATATGATTTTAGTCCTTCTGCTGTAGAGATTGGAAAAGAAGTGGTTCAGATACATTATTCTGGCATAAATAGTTATTAAAATAATGACCAATTGCCATAAACAAAGTAAGAAGCCTGGGCAGATCAGCTGATATTCATAATATTTGTTTAAACATTATTATTTTAAGATAATGCATACTCAGATTATCAACTCTATGTTTATTTTATTTATATCTTCTTGAGTGGGGAGCAGGTCAGCTGGTATTAGTAATATTTGATTAAACATTATTACTTACAAGATAACTCATACTCAGATTAACAACTCAAAGTTTATATTATTTATGGTTATATCTACATGTTCCAAAGGTCATGATTTGGTTTTATTATTTTTAAATATGAAAATACTATTGAATCCTAGTTGGTATGTATAACAACAGAAAAAGTAAAGAAAGGTGATGATTATGACATAAGCAACATATTTTTGGATGAAGGTCTTGGTTATTAATAATGAAACAAGATTAACAAGTAGGTACTTAATGCATCAATAAAATGTTTATGAATGGACAACTTATAGAAAGTAGGCTATTTTTAACCAGTGGATAAGGCAAGTGCTAAATGAATTACAAGGTTAAATAATAACCAATGGTCGGTTCATACAAAAAATATTAAATAACCTTGTTTCACATTTGCAATTACAAGTTCAGGGTGGAATAGTCTTGGTTGACAATCTAATATTAGAATGTTCATTGTTAAGTGCTTTACAATGTTTGCGCTTACCTTTAAACCGACATAAACCCCTTACAGACACAGCCATTGTACACTAAAATGTAGGGAATCGAAGGTAAGAAAAAGGAATACCTATTAACTTTGTGACAGTGACAGTGTGCCAGCCATTACATAATTTTAAATTTTCTTATTCTAATTTTATTTGACAAAGATGAGTTTGACGTACCCATCGAGGGTTGACAATCCTGTATAAAAATTGTGTTGTCAATGTCAATATGTCAAAGTCAAACTGACAAAGCAGTTTGTTTATTAGTTTTGCAATCTTACATTGCATTTGATTGGACAATTTTGATAAAATTTTGACGTATCAATTTAATTTATCGAACGACTATAGAAGTGTACGTGTACTATGTTATTTTATCGTGTCTTTCTGTAAAATTATTACTCACGTTCTATAGTAAGAACGAGGTTTTCTTTTGTCTTGATATTATTCGGAAATATCTACAACTTTAGTATTATTAAGCTCTAGCGTAAATTCTGCATAAGTTAAATTAAAATAGTTCTTTAACTCCGACTAGCACTTGTTTGTTTTCATCTACTCTCGTTAGGATGTGCGGTTCCGATAAGAAATTGGGTGAAATACGTGCCCTCATCCTTGTTGGTGGTTATGGAACTCGATTGAGACCGTTAACTTTAAGTAGGCCTAAACCTTTAGTAGAGTTTGCAAACAAACCCATTCTACTACATCAGATAGAAGCACTTGTCGACGCTGGCGTAACACAGGTAAGAACTCAGAAAGTACGAATTTATATTGAATGTTCAGTGAGTCACCATCACACTTGTGTCTGTACTAGACATTATTATTATTTATATGGTTATATTGATTATTATATACTGTTGTAAATGTTTCTGTAGTGAAGTATAGGAAGTAACTCCTAGGTTGAAGAAGAATTATATAGAAGAGTTATAATAATAATATCTTAATACACATAGCAAGTATCAATGAGTATTTTAGCATTTATGGTTTATATTATATTTTTCTAAATAGGTTCTAAATAAATTCTAATATAAATTAGGAAACAACATTAAATATCTTTTACATTGGAATAAAAATGTTTAATATTCCATCTAAAGAAAGTTGTAAACAAGATAGCTATTCTTAAAATTTATCTATGAACTTATATTAGCATGAAATTTGAGATCCAAATGTATATTAATGATCTAAATTAATTAATAGTCTACCTCCTATAGTTTTATCTATAATATTTAAAAATCACATTCTTATGTCCTTTATTACTATTCTTGCTAATAGTTTTCTGTTCTGACCTATCTGCTTTACATATGTATTATTGAAACTTTCAGGTGATTTTAGCGGTTTCTTATAGAGCAGAGGATATGGAAAAGGAGTTGACTGAAGAAGTATCAAAACTTGGAGTATCATTAACATTTTCTCATGAGACTGAACCATTAGGCACTGCAGGTCCTTTGGCATTAGCACGGGAACTGCTCAGTACTAGTCCTGAACCATTTTTTGTATTGAATTCTGATGTTATTTGTGAGTTTCCATTTAAAGAACTTGCAAGGTATCACAGGAGTCATGGTAAGGTATGTATAAGAACTAAACTATAATGTTATATTAGGTTCTTTGTGTGGAGAGTGACTAAAAATATCAGGTATCAATAGTTTGTATCCTTATCTGTAAAGATATTTGATTTAGTACTGTCCTAGTTTATATTAAAAGATAGACATTATTTGAACAATTTTATTCAAGTACTTCTGTGAATGAACAGTTAAATATAACATTTATAAAGACTACTATATCACTAAGAAAGACTAGGTATTGAAATACAATGATATGTTTAAATTTTTGTTATTATCATTGCAAGCATTATATATATTTATAATTTTTAATTACTAATTATGCATTTTATTATAGGAAGGTACAATAGTAGTCACAAAGGTGGAAGAGCCATCAAAGTATGGTGTAGTTGTATATAAAGAGGATGGACAAATTGAAAGCTTTATTGAGAAACCACAAGAATTCATTTCAAACAAAATTAATGCAGGTAAAGCAATATTATATTTTCATACACCAAACTACAATAATAAAATAAGAAGGTCTAAGAAATATATAGAATTCATAATATAATTTATTTTGTTGTGTACAAATCAGTCCATATATACCCTAGATCTTCCTGGGGTCTTTTATTTGCTACTCTAGTTAGCCTTAATTCCGATTGGATTACAAGTTTTTTGGAATGTAAATTGTAAGTGTGGAGTACATTAAGAAACTTCTTATTAGTTGTATTTTGTCAGTAAGTTTTTTTAATGTATATATTAAAATTTTCATAGAACATTCTATGAAGCCATGCTAAATATTACGGGTATGATTTGTGGGTATACTGAGCCATCATATACAGCTATATAATCCTTGTTCAGGTAAAGTCGACTAAATGATGACATCCCATTGTATTAGCGCAATGGTTTCGTTACCCTGTTTTGGCAACAGACCTCTTTATAACATATTTTTAAATTGTTTCATGTTTTTTATATACAATATTTGACTTTTATATTTTTATTTTGTGTGAAATATAGTCTCTACAGAAAAGGATTCGTTATTTATTTATTTTACAATAAAGAAATAATTCTGCCGTTGTCAGTCCTGCCTCTTTGGAACTGCACAATAATAGCAACACAGCATAGGCAACACAATTACTATACTAACCTCCATTTGATAAAGTTATTTTTTGTTTCAGGAATGTATATATTGAATCCCTCTGTTTTAAATAGGATAGAACTTCGTCCAACTTCAATAGAAAAAGAAGTATTTCCTTTTATGGCTAAGGATGGCCAGTTACATGCTCTAGAGTTACAAGGATTTTGGATGGATGTGGGACAACCTAAAGACTTCTTAACAGGTAAAGGTGTAATTATAGTATCAGATAATATTTTACTGTGTATGTACCAAACAGCTAATGCTATAGGTACGAGTATAATATGAACTGTTTTTTATGTAATTAGAGTGGTAAACAAGGTGACGGCCCACCTGATAGTAGGTGATGGCCCACCTGATCATGTGACACTCGTGATACGTCATGCCTCATGTCCTGTAATTTCATAGCCTTATCAATTCACACAATGCTATCTAGTCCAAAGCTAAGCAGAGCTTGTGTTATGAATACTAGACAACTAATATAAATACTTAGATACATTTCTTTTGAAAAAACATTCACAGAAAATACCCAGATCCATACAAACAATATTGATCTATGTATATATATTTATACCAATACATAATTTTTTTTAGTTGCAGTTATATACTGTACAATATTGCTTGTAACTGCAACTATTGTATATAATAATAATAATGACTTTCGATAAATGATACAATACCATCTAGTCCCAAGCTAACCAGAGCTTGTATTATAGGTACTAAATAATTTATACTTGCATGAGTATACACTATTTAGTACACATGTTGTTACAAATGTTTGTACCGTACGAGGAATCGAACTCGTGACCATCGGAAGTAACGCTGTGTGCTAAACCGCTACACCATGTTGTTATGTAAAGTAAGTAAGAATATAATGGTAAGTGTGGGTCCATTTACCTTTATGTTCTATGAACATTTTATCCTACTTCCTACACCCGTTTTATCGTAAAACTATAACACACGAGTTTTACCTTCATCACGATTTTACAGGTTTATTATATGTAATAAAGGAAAGGACGTAATAAAGATATTACTCATATTAATAGTAGGTGTAGTGCAATCTATGCTCTTTTTGCAGCTAAATGGCATAGTCTTATGTTTACAGCTATTTATTTACAGTAATAAGTATAATTGTAGAGAATGGAAATGCATTGAGTTCAAAACTGGCTGTTAAATATAATAATAAAATTTATACATTAATCACAATATTTAGTAGTTTTCAAAATAATGACATAAGGTTTACCTGACAATTCACACAGCCCCATATAGTCCCAAGCTAAGCAAAGCATGTGTTATAGGTACTAGACAACTGATAGAAATACTTAAATATGTTTTGTTGTAAATACAAGTATAATACATATAAATAATACTCGGACAGAAACAAAGAATCATACTTGGATAGAAACAAACAATCATACTCATGAATACTTGCACCAATACATGTATGCACAATATGTTATAAAGTTAATAATAAACATGACATTTTATTTCAGGAATGTGTCTATATCTAACTAGTTTGAGACAGAAAAATTCAAGTCAACTCTATGAAGGTTCTGGAGTAGTAGGCAATGTATTGATTGACCCCACAGCTACTATTGGCAAAGGATGTCGTATAGGCCCCAATGTTACTATTGGACCTGGTGTCATAATTGAAGATGGTAAGTTTATTAAAAAGTTCCAATATGTATTTTTTTACATAGCAAACAAGCTTCTACAGCAAATTGTTAGACGGCTGAAATAGGTGAGACAGAACACAATGCTCAAAAACAATACAGCATGAAGATGACTTTATACAAATTGACCTTGGTCTCCCTGTAACTTCTATTCTAGTCTATCATGTCTATTTCATGGACTACACAAGAAATTAAAGGACTAGAATATGTAATAAAATTAAGGTACTAACTGAATATTGGATATATTTATACTTTATATATTATGGAAAGGAATGTAACTTCATTATTAGTTAGTACATAGACTACTATTCCACCTGGATAGCTTCTGGAATAGAGCCAGTACTCTCTACTTAATGGAAACAGAGAGCTGTGCGTTATCATGGATTGAACTATATATCAGGGTGAAGAGCATTGTTACTAATTGTGAGGTTGCCTTCCATGCAGTTTTCCCTGGAAACCATCGTGATAAATTCGTCATGATGGTCTAACAGCATTAGACCGGACATAAACATCTTATCATCTTACACCGTACATCTTACAGCGTAAACAGAAATCGTTGGCGGGTAAACCATTCCATTGTCATCTATGAAAAAAAGGAGCAAATTTTTATCAATAAATAATGTTTAATTAAGAATCAGTTACATGCACAACTCCGATATGATTGTCAATTCGGAACCCGGATAGTTCTATTAGTGCTCTAATGAATGACTACATTGCAACTAACTAAATGTTAAAATAATTCAACTTGTCCATTGATTAATTTACATATAATTTTTGTTCCTTTATAGGTGCATGTATAAAAAGAAGTACAATCCTTCGCGGAGCTTGTGTCAGACAGCACGCTTGGCTAGACGGTTGTATAGTAGGATGGCGATCTGTCGTTGGGCGCTGGGTGCGCATGGAAAACTGTACGGTCCTTGGTGAAGATGTTATAGTTAAAGACGAGATCTACGTTAATGGAGGCCAGGTACTACCACATAAGTCTATTCAGTTGTCAGTACCTGAGCCACAAATTATAATGTAAAGACTGGTTTTGTGAAGAGAAATATACAAGTTGTATCTATTGTACAGCTATGGTGACAAAATATTGTATTTTTTGTCATTTACATAGGAATCATAATATTTTGATTAATTTATCTATTTAGGAAGCTCTAAATGCAATTTTTGTGTTCACACTGGATTTGAATTTAAAACATTAATATGATCCTATTTATATGATAGCAGAAAATACCCTAGTGTATAAAGTAGTTAATTATGTAAGTGCAATAAAAATTAAGTTCATAGATGTATATACATTTTTTGGATGGGCACTAATAGATTCGAGTACGGTTTTTATCCACATTATGATCAGCAAGTACTGCCTAAGATTGGATATAAATACTATAAGTCAACTCTGTTATTTTTACAAATGCCTAAAGCACCCAAAAATTAAAGATAATATAATATTGCATAATGTATTTAACATTTTTTTGTTCAAATTTTTCGTTAAAAAGATAAGCTCAAAATCTAGTTTGATGCTCAATGTATCTATAATATTTGCAGAAGACACAAGTTTTTAAATAGTTTAATATCCACAATAATATAAAAACTTACTTCTAATTTTATATAAGAATTGTAAATAATATGTAACACAATTCTAAACATTATTTAAGTTAGTATTAACTTGTTAAGTAAGGCTTTTTTATATACACAGATTTGTTAAAAAAAATTAAATGTAATATTTATTAAGTTAAATTTCCTGCTGTGCAAGTGTTATTACTAGAACAGAAAAAAGTACTGGTTAATAATGTAAATTTAATACAACAACAATTGTTGTATTAAATGCCAGTGACAACATTATAAGAAATATAGATATGTGTAATATAATTTAAAAAAATTTAGAGTTTTAGTTGCCATTACATTTGTTGAACCGTTTCGTATATGATAATTAACCCTCAGGCTATTCATGACCTACATTAAATGGCGACAATTATATATGTTAAGAAGCATAAAGCTTTGGATATTGGTTTTAGCAAATAAATACAAAAAATACTTTGATAACAAATAGTCCAGTAGTCATTCTAAGTTAAGTACAATTACACTGTTGCACACTAGGATATTAATGTTCTGTGAATACATGCCAGTAATTTATTTTATTTTTACCTAAGATTTATACAGATTTATATTCGATAGAATGTAATATACTTATTAAAGAAATAAAACGTAAATTTTTATTTTGACAATCTGCTACCCCATAATAAATGAAACTACCATAACAATTGACAATAAAGAAATAATTAATGAATGACGCAAGGAAAGTATACTGTAAACTATCAATAGAGATATGTTAAACGAAATAGATATTTTGCAAAATTCAGATGGAAAATATCAAATTTAAAGTTTATTTATAGAAACTACATAAAATTGAAGACAACACAGGTTTTATTTTATTGGATGATAATAGAATTGTTCACCCGCCTACGCTAACGGTTTACGCTAGCAGAGCAACAGTGAAAACTGAACATAAGGTTTGTTAGCCCATCGTGGCAATTTCACCAGATTAACCTGATATGGTACATTGCTAGAAATGGTATCACCAGTCCACATTACTAACAATCTCCTTCCCCTAGACGGGTTTATAAATATATATAATCTTGTATCTAGTTATATATTATCTTAGAACATGATCGATGAATAGTCTTATTATTGTTTTTATTAGTTATGAACATTAGTATGATCTTACTTAATAGTACATTACCATTTATAGATGAGGTAAGATCTGATACATTTAGTAATATGTCAATACTTATCTCAACCGTAATTGATTAAAAAATAAAATGCACCGACATAATGTTGGCTGTATGATCTGGAATCCTTTGCCTGCCTATATAGTCAATATGAAAAAACAACAACTGTTGACAAGTTAGCCTCTGTGGGCTATCTATGTTTAAAAATAAAAATTTTGCGCCAAAAATTCATTACTATTTTGTCATTTCTATCTTCCCTATTTTTTATATTAATAAATCCTATTTAAAGCAATACTTATTATTCGGTATCTGTGAGGCGAATATAATCAAATTATGTCGAAACGAAATAGTGTAGGGAGTGGAAATACGCTCTTTAATTATTTCTCTAAAACTCCACCGGCTAGTAAAAAGATCAAGTCTGTCGAATCGGAATCCAGCCCAAAACTAGACACATCTATAAATAATTCTGGAGGTTCTAAAAAAGAAAGTAAGTATTTTTTTGTTACAACTCACATTTATATATTAAAAAAATAATATAATATTTTAATTTATGAGAACTACAACATGTTTACAATGCAGACTACACTGGATAGAACCAGACTGAATGCATTAGTTTTTTAAATAATATCCTAAAAATTTAAGGAAAATATTGAGAATAAAAATTATTCTGAATTTTTTTTTTATAAATTTGTAAGTTATCAATTCGTCTGTAATGGTACTCACTGATTAAGCCTATAAAGATATGTGTAACATTCAGACAGGTTTTAGATGCTCAAACACTAGAGCCTATATATTGTTACCCTTTAATAAACTGCTTGTTTATTCCCATATACTCTTGTAAGAGAAATTGCTATTTTTCAGAAAAGAAGCGTGAGAGACAGCCTACAGTGTCACCTGAAGTACAGAAACAAAAAATATATGACAGTGATGATGAGATCCCTGTGGGTCCAAAGAAACGAAAGCGGATCCGTCTAAATCCTATGGATTCAGATGATTCTGATACTGAAAATAAAGGTGCTCATAAAATAATATCACTAACATTCTCTGCTTTTTAAATACTGTAAGATATACATAGCCATTTTCATGAGCCAATCTATTTAATATAGCTGATATTAGAATGGTGCACCCACCTGCTCCAACGGTTTACACTGGCAAGACACCAGTGGAGGATGATAAGATGAGCATAAGGTCAGATCAGTTAGCCAATCATGGTAAATTCATGATATTATATATCACAATGTTTTCCAGGGAGAACCATATGGAGTTCAACCTGACATGATACAATGACATTCCGAGATATTAAATTCTATGAATACTTTCAGTCATTATGTCAGTATTATTTTGAAACTTTTAGGGAATACAACACTAATACAATAAAAAAAAAGGTGTGTAAGGTGGAAGTAGATTCTCCCACTGCTAAGTTGGATTAAAAATGTATATTGTAAAATGTTATATTACAGTATTGTAACACTTCACAAGAACTCATCAACATTTGACTATGCCCTTAGTATCCCATCTGAGATAACAGTTGTGTTGCTTTCAGAAGACAACAGAATAAGTGCACCAATTGAGAAGACACCATTAGAGAAAAAATTACATGACAGTTTCAAGTACACGCCAAATGAGTCTCCAAAGGCCAGTACTGTGAAGAAAAGCTTTAGTAATGGGTAAGTAAATATTTGAATATTCGTCCGTCTCCTTGTTCCCCAAAATGTTATGGTGTAATGCACACTATGCAGATAAATGAAGAAAATTAACATTCCATATTCCCTCTTGAAGATAGAGGTACACTGCCAAGATAGTGAAGGATGATAGGCTGAAGTCAGGTCAGTTAGCCCATTGCGGTTGCAGATGTCCCAGCGCACCTTCCCTTCTGCGGAGAATGACTGAGCTCCATAAGGGAGCCTGCACAGGTGGGGTCCGCCCACTGCTAGAGTGGGCGCACCACCATTGGATTCGCAGTAAACTGTACAGCAATCCCATGACTTCAGTATATTGCATTGAAGAGGGAATCTTAGAGTTTTAAGTGAGTAGCAGTCTACAGTACCTGCCTGCCTCCTCCAGGGTGGATGGTCTCCAAGAAAAAATTTCTCTAAGTAAAGTTTCTGCCCCTGTGGCATTCTAACTGGTAGGATATGCTGCTATCACAGTGCTACTAGTAACCATTGCTAATGACCACTGGATGGTGGTGGGTTCACCAACATAAATATTTTTTTACCATACAAAGTGAGTGCTTACAGGACCACACCAATAAAATCGTCAGAACCACAAGAGAAATTCGAAGTACCCGATGGCGACAATTGGGTCCACTGTAAATTGGATTGGCTTAAACCAGAAAAGATTCGTGATGCAGAGAAACGAAAACCAGATCACCCTGACTATGATCCTAGCACTCTGTATGTGCCACCGGATTTTTATAAAACTCAGACACCTGTAAGTTTATCATAACTATTTAATGATAGGACATATAATATTTATTATTAGTACTCAGATGTTTATCAAATTTAAAAAATTTTTGATGACTTTGTGCCTATTAATCTTAGAAATGTCTTTAGTAACTGGTGCAGTTTTCAATAATATATTATGGTAAGCCTCATTTAAAATGTAAGTAGTTTATAAACAATAAATCTATACATTTACGAAGTCGCTGGCTCAGCTAGTTTCTTAATAAACTTATCTAGCTTTAGCATATACCAAATGCAACAAATTAACATTCATAATAAAATAAAATTTGAGAAAACGTTGCACTGCTGCCTACTTATGCCTATTTATTTTTAATAATAATTATTTTTGTTTTAGGCGCATCGCCAGTGGTGGGAAATTAAGTCGTCACATTATGACTGTGTGTTGTTCTTTAAAGTCGGAAAATTCTATGAGCTCTATCACATGGACGCTACAGTTGGAGTCAGTGAACTTGGGTTCTCATATATGAAGGTAATATATACCTATTATTAGTAACAATCTTAAAACATCGTTTTTATTATGAATGATCATGGAATATATTATAAAGACAAGTTTGCGTGCTTTTTTACAAATGGTATATACCTACCTAGTCGGTAATTTTTTTTAATGATAATGGAATGATGGACTTGCCTGCGCTAACGGTTTACGCTAGCGGGGCATCAGTAGAGTATAATAAAATAAGCATGAAGTTAGGTCAGTTAGCCCATCTTGGCAAATTACAATTTACCACAAAGGCATCCAGGGGCAATAACATGTTAGTCCCATATAATAGTCACATATTAGTCCACATTATTAACAATCTCCTTTTCATCCATAAGACATGGTTCTTCCTACTTTGGCGCCTACCAGCTTGCTTTATAAGCTGTTGTGGTTGAAGGGTGAGATAAGGCAGAAATTATAGGATAAACGATGGAATAAGTCCACTGGAATGACGACGCATGGGAGCATTTACGGATGTCATATGATAATGTGATAACATAGGTGCCGCAACTGTAACCACTTACCATTAGGTGGGCGGTCAGTTTGTTTGCATTCTAATCACAAAAACAACATTTATTATATTTTAAAGGGTGAATTTGCACATTCCGGTTTCCCTGAGAGTGCATACGCGAGGATGGTGTCTACATTGGTGTCTAAAGGATATAAAGTGGCGCGCGTTGAACAAACAGAAACACCTGATATGATGCAAGAGAGGTGTAAACAAAGTATGTATAAATTTATTTTTAAACCAACTGTTACCCTCCTCTTTATTTGTTATTTTTTTAGATAAAAGGAAGCCTGTGTCTGTCCCCGTTATATAATCTTTATATTTAATTTCATTAAGATCCATTCAGTGGATATGAAAAGATAGACATATACAGTAAACAGACAAACACACTTTCGCATTTCGAATATTACTACTGATTTATTTTATAATTCTTAATAAGAAATCGGGCACCCGCCTGTGCTGACTGTATACGCTGGTGCGGCAGTATAAACTGATCTGTAGTTGGTTAATTAGCGCTGATTTCGCCACAATGTGTTCCAGGAGGACTGCGTTGAGGATCTCTTTCTACAAAATATAAAAAAACTAATAACACTTTGTAGTTACTAATGAAATAACCTTCGTTATATTAGCTGTACTTATCTCAAAAAAGATTAAAGTAGTCACTAAAAAAGGAGTATCTAAAGAATATAAAGATTTACAAAAATGATGATAGTCAAGCAGTCAGTAATAGCCATATTAATATTGTTTATAAATTGTATTTTCAGCGGGTAAAAACAGCAAATGGGATAAAGTGGTCCGTCGCGAGGTTTGCCAGGTGACAGTCCGCGGTACACAAGTCTGTGGACTACAGGACCCGGGGCCAGCCGAGTCCGGTGCCGCTTATATGTTGGCCATTGCTGAAGAGGTACGTTTGTAGTAATAATAACAATATCCCTGGACAATTCACACCAAGCTAAGCGGAGCTTGTGTTAGGGGTTCTAGACAGCCCGGAGGGAACCAACAGCCGCTTGCCATGAGTGCAACGACTGTAAACAGGACACGGCGCAACACACATTAGAGTAATGCTCGGCATTCGCCGAAGAGCGTCGCGTCCGGGTTGCAGTAATAGGAAATGACCTATCGTTGCCAGCAGTTATACGTGAGATGGTGAGTAATGAGAGCTCCTGGTCAGCCGTCGTCGCATACTGCGAGTCGGTAATGACCAAAAAGAAGGAGGCAGAGAGAGAGGACGTGAAATTGCTTCTTCCGCTGACCCAACACGTCGGAGACGAGCTAGACGGAGGAGGGATGTTGTTCCTCTCCCTCCGCAAGGGCCAGGGGCGGCGGCCGTTGGGTCGGCTGCTTCCCCGTTGACATCGCAGCCTTGAGAAGGTGCGCGCGTGTACCCGCGCTACTTCTTCTTAAGAAGTGAGTTGAGTGACCCGTCTACTGAGATGGGTCCCCGCCGTCGGAGCTGCGGAAGAATGCTCGCGCACACCCGGAGCTCCGGCAATAAGCAGTAGAGGTACACCTTGGGGTTTTAGCCGGTAGGAGACCGGCAGTACCTGCTCGTTACCTCTGGAGCGGGCGGGTCTCCATAAAAAAAAAAAGGGGGTTCTAGACAACTGATATACTTTGATTAATCTTTTTATAAAGACTTACATAATATATAATAATGTAAAGCGTTGTGCCCGCAGTGCTAAAAGGAATATAAATATAACTATGGCGACATTCTTGATTATAAATAAACATTGTAATATCGGAGAATGAAAGCCGCAACCATTGGGAGTTGACAGTGATAAAAATAATGTGAAATATTTAACTTCAGGAAAGTAACACCGGTAGTACATATGGCGTGTGTTTTGTGGACACATCCATCGGGTTGTTCCATCTCGGCCAGTTCAAAGACGATAAGCATTCTTCCAGGCTGCTTACTACGTTGGCGCACTATCCACCGGCATTGGTAAGTGATCATCATCACAATTTTGTATCATAATATTCTCTTATCAGTGTTACAACATTAGGCAACACACAAAATAAATGGTCTTTAAATAAATTTTAATTAAATTAAAATTTCACCTAATAATTTATAATTTCATTTAGCATAAAAATATTTATAGCTAAATGAAAATATTTTTTAATTTCACACTGATATTACTAATTAAGGTCTCATTTACGCAGATTGTGTATGACCGCAAAACTACAACGCCTCGCACTAGCAGACTCCTTAGTTCACACTGCCACAGTGCACGCAGGGAGCCCAAAGGACTCTGGCAACCAGAGAAGACTTTGAAGGTATTGGCTGAAAAGTATTACAGAACAAATGCGGATGGGGACTGGCCAGAAGGAATTAAACCATTTTTACATGAAGGTTAGTAATATTATATATCTTTTTAAATGATTATTCATAGCAATGCATAATATATCTTATATGTAATATAAAATTCTCGTGTCACAATGTTAGTTTCCATACTCCTCCGAAACGGCTTGGCCGATTTTTATGAAATTTTATATGTATATTATGTAGGTTTGAGAATCGGCTACTATCTATTTTTCATAACATTAAGAATTTTTGTTATAATGTGACATTAAAAATTACATACAACCCTAAATTTTCACCCTTCTATCACCAACCCGTATTGTTCAATAGTGATTTTAATTTAATTCCAATTAGCTAGTATTATGTGAAAATGTTTGACTCTTTAGTATACCGTAATTTTTAATAGACTTTGTGGGAATAGGAATTGAAGTCACATTAGTAAATTAGTAAAGGAATTACAATAGCACTAGTCCCGTTCATAGGAATTTCGTGATATATTCATATAACATTAATAATTTTTTTATTTATATGACAGGTGATACACTAGGACTCACTCCAGCATCAGACAGTTACTTGGCAATCAAAGCATTAGGAGGTTGCGTATTGTACCTAACGGAATGTCTACTAGATATACAAATATTAGGAATGTCCCAATTCATGTCCTATGTACCACCAGATGTACTAAATGAAACCTTATCGCAAGAAGATAAATTTGAAAATAAATGGGAAGGGGGTAACACTATGGTTCTTGATTCTATTACATTGAGAAATTTAAGAATTGTCCAAGATGCAGGTTGTTTATATGACAAACTAAACTTTTGTTCCACTCCAATGGGAAAAAGGTAAGAATACCAAATATTTTAAGGACTGTTTTCGTAAAAAAATAGTCTTAAATATTGTCATAATTAGTATGGGACCAGTATTACCATAAATCTTTCTCTCTCCCTTTCTTACTGTCTAAATGCGATAGAAAAATTCAGCCTGTCACGGCTCACGTCAAATTTCTTAATTAAACATGCAGTTATTGATAAAAAGTACCACTTACATCCACCCTCTCTACCACTCTAATACATGAAGAAGGAAGATTGCAGGACTTTTCAATCTTTCATGCATACTATTCCAAGCTTAATAAAATAATTAATGTTATTGCTTATTTTTGAGTCTAATAATAGTAAATGTTGCAGATGGCTATACCAGTGGGTGTGTGCACCCAGTAGCAACATAGAGGTCATAAAGGAGAGACAAGAAGCCGTGAAAGCATTATTTGAAGATCAGGAAATATGTCAGGACGCCAAAAATATTTTAACTACTTTGCCTGACTTAGAAAGACTTTTGGCCAAGTAAGTTAATATTCCATTCTTGTAAGTGATCATAATAAATATTCTATAAATTTTCCTTATCTGAAACGGTATTATGTAAAAAGTTATTTCCAATATATGTCGTATTTTCAGATATGAACACATTAAATCTGCTTTTTGGAATAAAATAATATAGCCATTCTCCTGATACAATCTATGTATCTTCACATTAAATTTTCTTAAGATCTATTCAGCCGTTTAATCGTGAAATGGTAATGTACAGACAGAAACACTTACACATCTGACTAATATTATAAACGCGGAGGTTTGTGCATGTGGATGGATTGATGGATGGATTGATTGTTACTGAGATGTTTGTTACTCTTTCACGCTCACAACTATTGAGTGGATTTTAATTAAACTTCACAATAATATAGCTTGCACAGACGAATAATACAGGATATAAATTTCACGCGGCTGATACCGCGGGCAAAGCAAGTGTAGAATATTAGTGTAGACAAATATATCAGAGAACAAGATGTGTGAATGAAAATTTGTGATCTATGATTGAGAAGAGAAGAAGAGGAATTTCTGATTATATTATCTTTCCAGAGTTCACGCCCTTGGAAACTTAAAAAAGTCAAAACTGCACCCCGATTCGCGTGCTATATTGTACGAGGAGAAAACATATTCTAAACGCAAAGTTCTCGATTTCATATCAATTCTGAATGGGTTCACGGCAGCGCTGAAACTAATTCAGTTATTCTCTAGTGTCGACTCTGTGTTGTTGAAGAGAATAACCCAATTCAGACCTGATGGGAAATTCCCTGACTACAGAGATACTTTAAAGTTTTTTAAGGTAATATAAAATGTAGTTTCTTTTTTTTATGTCGTAATTTTAGAAATAATTATGTTGTTGAATTGATTACCACAAAAAAAAAAAATAAACAAGTAATCAGCAAAAATAAGTATTACTAAAAGATTAAATGAGTTGGTTCTTAAAATACAAATGTAATATCAAATTGTATTTTGTAAGCAGTATTTATGGGAATAGTGAACAAATATTGCACATTTTAATTTTAACATCAATTTACACTTACTCTAGGTTAATAACAATGAGTATATACTCGGTAAAATTTTTTACTTGAACAGGAAGCATTCAACCAAACCGAAGCTGAGAAAGAAGGTCGTATAGTGCCGGGGGAAGGTGTCGATCAAGAATACGACAGTACTTTGAGGCTTATAAATGAAATAGGAGAAGAATTGGAAGATTATCTTAAAGACCAGGAAAAGTATTTCAAATGTAGGGTAAGTTGGTTTTTATGCTTATCTAACTGATAATAATCAAACATGTTAATCACAATAACAATCAGGCGAATCCACCACTGCCATCTAGCCCTTAAGTAAGCAGAGTTTGTACTAGGAACACTAAACATACAATACAAACAGATTTGTTTATAAATATTGTGATGTTTACTCAAAATACTTCTACAACTATAATCTTCGTATAAGTTTGATTTGAATTTTTATTAAATTTAATCTAATTTTAATATAAAAATCGATAAAATGTATTACTGAGAATGATGATGTTAAACACAACCTATGACGAATGTATTTAGCCTATTTTAAATCGGATATATGTCTTTCTAACTAAATTCTCATTTTGATGCAGTAGTTCAGGAGTTTATTTAACAAAATCATCTCTCTCATTATAATATTATTATACATCTTCTTGAAAAGAAATTTTACAAATTTATATATTTTAGTTAACATATGTGGGCACTGATAAGAAGAGGTATCAAATTGAGGTACCACAGAGTGCTGCTTCTAAAGCCGGTCCGGATTATCAGTTAGAAGGAGCACGTAAAGGTTTTAAGAGATTCTCTACTGAAGAAACAAAGGTGAGATAAAATAAAAATGGAAGATAATAAAAATGTTTCGGTTGAAGTCCCGAATTCTCAACTGAAATATCGATCTGAATGTTTCCGAAGGTATGTGATTATCCATAACTTGCGTCACAAAATTTCAGAGATTCGTCCCCCCTTTATGTCACAGCTGGTCATATATACATAGATTTCATGAATATTTATATGATCTTTTTGACTCCAAACCACTGTTTTTCGACCCTCCTCAGCGTGTGACGTAATTCATAAATAACCCCTAACCCCCCTGACGTAATTAATAACTTTAATCAGCAACCCCGGTGATTAAAGGTACGATTTATAAAGTGCCAGGCGTAAAGGTAGCAATGAAATGATTAGATTATCTTTTTGTAAGTTATATTATTTTTAGGATTTCCTAGCTCGTATGATAGCAGCTGAAGAACAAAAGACTAATGTGCTAAAGGATTTGAGCCGTCGTATATTTGAGAAATTCTCGTCACATTACGACAAGTGGGAGGCTGCGGTGCAGTGCTTGGCCACGCTGGATATTTTGTTGGCTTTTACGGAGTTTGCCCGCCAACAAACCGGCGATGTGTGCTTACCTCAAATTACTTTTGACAGCAATAAGAAGGTACGTACGTACGTCTATATATTAGACGATGATTGCAGCAATTGTTAATGAATCTCACTTCAATAAATAAATGGAATTTGTTGCATGCTTAACTGTTTTTGCAAGACTGGCCATAAATAGGTTAACGAAAAATATATACAATGAAGTATCTATGTCTATCTCGCTCTAACCTAACACATTGCTAATTTTTTATTATATGACTAAACTCCTTTTGTTGTTGTTTTTTTCTTATTTGTCTCTGCCTTACAATATATAAAATATTAAAGCTGGATAAAGAGAGTTGCACTTTTAATCCCATAACTTGTCATTTTTAGCCATATATAAACATTGTGGAAGGACGTCACCCGTGCATACCGATCGTGAACGAGTTCATCCCCAACGACACGGAGCTGGGCGAGCAGGGTACACTGCTGCTGTTAACGGGACCCAACATGGGTGGCAAGTCCACACTAATGCGGCAGGTGGCGCTGCTGACCGTCCTCGCGCATTTGGTAAAGTGTTATTGTTCGCGCTGTTCTTCTTCTAGCCTTAAACTAGGAGATTCCTAGTATAGCCATATACTTAAAAAAAGCGGGTCGCTTGTTCGCATTGCGCAAGTTCGCATTAAGAAACATAAAAGCTAAATTGCAAATTAAATACTAAAAAACAAATAAATCAGTGTTGTGTTCCTGCCGAAACTACTCGGGTACGAAGATGGTCCTAGTTTAGTGACAAAGTCACTGCATTTTTTTTATTCCTAGTGCCTATTATTAAATATTAGAATAAAAAGTACAGCATTGTCCGAACAGTTATATTCATTTAATACATGCATTTGTGTTAATGAGTATGTTTGTTTGTATTAGTCTAGCTGTTAAGTATGTATTTATATCAGTTGTATAGCTATATTACAGATATATCACAGATTCTGTTTAGCTTGAGACTAGATGGGGCTGTGTGAATTGTCGTGAGATATTGTATTTTCTATTTCAGGGTAGTTACGTCCCAGCGCAGGATTGCAGTCTAAGCGTGGTGGATCGCATCTTCACCCGTCTGGGGGCCTCCGATGATATACTGTCAGGACAGTCCACTTTCCTCGTCGAGATGAACGAAACAGCAGCTATACTCAAACATGCTACTGTGCATTCACTGGTCTTATTAGACGAATTAGGTAGTTTTTATTGTAATTTTATTATACTTTGTCATAAAAATAAAGTACAATTGTATGTACTTAATATAATTATGTTTATACTTTTGTAATATGTATTTATGTAACATAATAGATGTACTTTAGAATTCATGCTAGATTTTGTAAACATGCAAATTTTATGTAATAAGAATCTGTCTCTGTAATATTAAATAAATAATTATTATAATAACTCAATGTTATTTTAACAATTTAACATGTACGCTTTTGGAATAGATTTTAGAGTTTTTGTCCGCAATTTCGAAATTGCGGACAAAAACTCTATAATCTATTCCAAAGGCGTACATGTTAAATTTCATGATGATTGATTAAGCCGTTAAGGAATAATATAACGAACTATTTATATTGTATGTTAAAATAACATTGAGTTATTATAATAATTATTTATTTAATATTACAGAGACAGATTCTTATTACATAAAATTTGCATGTTTACAAAGGTCGTATCTGGAAGAGATTCCATTAGTGATAACCTTTTGTACTTAGTTTTAACTTTGCTTAAGTCCTTACAATGTTACTGTAACAGTGTTATAAATTAATAGAATAAAATATCTAGTAAATAATATTTTTTTTTGTAAGGTCGGGGCACGTCAACTTATGACGGCGCGGCGATAGCGGCGGCTACTGCAGTAGAACTCGCACAACGCGGCTGTCGAGTAATCTTCTCGACACACTACCACGCACTGGTTAGGACGCTGCAGCACCAGCCGGCCGTTAAACTCGGACATATGGTCGGTATAAATTTTCTTACTCAATGGATTTATACAATTTAATTTAATTCCGCTACCATTAGCATGTGAGCGATCTCAAATACACAGTGCAGAGACAAGGACATCACTACTGGTAGCATTACGACCTTCTCTATTGATGACTAATTCCGACCATTACCGTGTCTATACTGATATCACCCATCAAACCACACGCCGTTTGGTCGCCGAAACGTCAATACTGGGCTTTACAAGCTATATTAGAACTATATACAGTGTCATCCTTCTGGGGTACTAATAGTAATATAGGCATTCAAAAAAATCTGATTAAAAGCAAGGATACTCATTACAATAATAATCCAGGACAATTTACACAGCGGGATATAGGCCCAAACTAAGCAGAGTTTGTTCTATGGCTGCTGAACATTTTTTTGGTATATATTATCTATAAATACATATGGAAAACACTCATAAATGTCTATTTCAAAATTCTGAACCATTTTTTTTTTCTGTGATATATCTTAAATTATTTATTGTGTAGGCGTGCATGGTCGAGACAGACGAAAACACTGCGGACAGCGAAGACAAAATCCCGGAAGAGACTATCACATTCCTCTATAAACTCAGCCCGGGAGCTTGCCCCAAATCTTATGGATTCAACGCTGCTCGCCTTGCCGGAATACCCAAGGAGATCACCAGACGGGCTCATGAAATATCTAAGAAACTGGAGAAGGAGGCCACTTGCGTACGTGCATTTAGAGATGTCATGAAATTAGAAGACCCAAATCATCTCAGGGAATTGCTGGCAGCATTGAACATATAAATATGTTTGTTCGTTATGATCGTGTCACATAATGCTTTATGGTATCTCATACATTCTTAAATTAAAAGTATACTCAGTTACCTTAGTCCTGCGGAATGGCGACGCGATGACGTTATGGCCACATACATGTCACCTGAATACACAGGTGATATAAAAAAAGTAAAAGCAACTTAAATAGTACTTCTATTTAACGACGATTGTCCGTATAACTTTTTTTAAATGTAACTGGAAGGGTAAACAAATAGACATGTCAGTATCAATATTAAAAAAAAATACTGAACCGCATTATGTTAAAATCGCGTTCATGCATTGCATTTCTTAAGGACTAATGGAACTTCATTTGTCTATTATCTTTTATATAAAGTGCTATTGGAACGCAGTACAGGTGAGACAAACATATCCACACAGATAATATTGTAAAGTCTGTCTCTGTCTCTCACACACATGTTTGTTATTGTTACTGTACAGCTGTTATTACATTGTTCACTTAATGTTAATGCATTTGATTTGTAAAATCTTTATGAATCTCTTGTTGATCTATATTTAGGTATATCAAGGATATAATGTTTAAAACATCCAATTCTTTGAAGAAGAAATGTTTTCTATTTGTGGTCATTTGTTAGTCATTCGTTAGGGCCTTGTTTGATTGTATGCATTATAGCCTACTCAGACGAGATTATCCGCACAGGATATTTAATACCGTGATAGCCATGAAATTATTTTACCAGGTGTTTTACGCAATTCTGTTCCATCTATAGTTTCTGAAAGTGAATTAAAAAAAATCTTAAACGAAAGAAAAGTACTCGGTGCTTCGTTTCTCGTCTGTGGAGGCCCTTAATATTATAATGTATTAGGTAGATATATAGTTACTTTGCGCGTTTCGTTACTGTTATTAATTACGAATAAAATACATCATTACCTTTTATTATTATATTCAGCCAGACTTATCTGTGATTTTTAGTTGATCAAGATTTAATGTACCCACCAATTTATTGATTTTATGAATACTTATTGAAATTATCTGTTTTTTTATTACCCAAAATGATCCTGTAGACGTATCAGAGTTGTGTCAGAAAGCAACATTGTTGCAAATCAAAGAGTGAGAGACGACAATTTCAATCTCAAATTCCTAGGGTTTGAAATAGAAAGGCAATCCTAATCTGTTATCTCCTAAAGATTTACCATAAGTTGATAGTTGTACTGTCAAATAGTTCATAAATAAACACCAACTTTCCATCTGTATCAAATGACAAGTGTAATTTCATGTGGCTCCGTAATCAACACCCTACAATCATATGTGCAAAAATCTTTGTCCAAACGTTGGTATGCAGATATTCACCACTAAAAATATTAAACAGGTTTCTTAAGTTACAAATAATGAAAACCTAAATATGAGCCAGATAAATTTTATTGAAATATTGCAACCATTTTAGTTCAAAAACAATGTTGCTATAAAAATCGTCAACTTATACATTTAATAAAATTGTAGCTATAATTATAATCATTAAAAAAACCAACATTGTTGCATTACAATTAAAAGTACTGTTCGATATCAAACAAATTATTTCTTATCAACAATTATTATAAAATTAATCCTTAACAATAAAATTAGGAATGTCGAATAAATACTATTCACTAAGTTCCTAAAGACATTAACTACTAATCAACTAAGTACATTTTTACAGGACTTAAATTAAATTTTGAACCTTCCGTAATAACCAATAAGATTTTTAAATATATATCAAATCAAAGAATTAATAAGAAATGCAGACCGTCTGCAGCTGAACCGAACTTCAAGAGACTTCAATGCAGTTAAAAATGTGATGAACTGACATATCTGCTATATCGCATTACGACATTCTTAATTTATCTTGGTCATTTAAAAAACTAAAATTATCTAAGCAACTAAGCGTGTCGTGCTTAGTTTTTTTAAATACTGAATGGATCGAATAGCATCACTTCTACTTATTGGCACGTTGAAATATGCACGTATAAACTGCAAATTAGTAGTATATTATATTGATTAAAAAATATAAATTATTCTATAAAATAAAAAAATATGTATCATTCATTTTGTGATTATTTGAGACGAGTACATTATTTTATCTACAACTTCCAATATTTAATATAGGTAAATATACCTATGACGTGATGCTTTAAAGGTAACGAAAGTACAAAATTGCAGTATCCATAAAATGACAGACAATTCAGTAGTACGGTCAACAACAAAAGTTGGATAATATATATTAATTAAAATCTATTGGGTTATAATATTAAGGCCCAATTTGGCAAAATGGTTACATACAAGATTACTCGTAAAAAGTATACTAAGCCCAGAGCTAGCGATACTGAACAATTTTCCCGAAGAAGAAAAGTGGAATAGTCTCAGTTTCCTGATTATAACTGGCTTTTGGTTTGGTATACCATTTATGGCTAACCTTCTATACTCTTGTTGCTGGCTGTACATTACATTATTCCATACATACACATTAATACAAATAGATTTAATTAAGTACTATTGATTCACACATTTAAATCTATTTTTTATTGGTGTTAATACATTTAACAGTACATATAATTATTTTAACTTATACCCCTTCACAGCAGTCTTATAATAACTTTAAAAGCACTTTGTATTTACATCGCTTACATTATAAATAAAACTATTGTTCTTATTAGGTACGAAGACGAAAGTTAAAACCTGGTATGGTACTGGAGTTACTAGCTACAAAAATTTGTTACGATCTGAAATTACGGATTTTATAATACAAAAGAATAAGCGATAGAACATTTCGTTTTGGGGCAAGATTCTAATTTGTAAGGTAACATGTCAGTTGGCAAAATACAAGATATAGCTACAAAAAACCTTCAACCGTCTTCTGTGGTACAGTCACGTGTAATGATATGTTAAATCTTACTATATTATCCAAGTTACAAATGTGACATCTAATTTATTTTAACTAGTCATACATTAAACTATTAAGTACCTAACTGATGTAATAAGTTCCTTCAAGGAAATCTTTACACGCGACTATACAATACTGATCTTTCCACTTTGCAAAACTATATTTTCTACCCACGTACTGACAGTTTATTTGATAAATTCTATACTGAATGTTAATATCAATTCTTATTCCTGTCAAATGCAATTTTTCCGAAGTAGGATACGGGTCCAGTCATGGTTTGCTGGAATTTCATGTTTCTAGTATATCAAATACGTTAAATAAAAATAATTTTCGAAATGAAAAATTATATATAATTTATTTCAATCTTATCGTAAAATTGTTTTACTGTGATGGAGTCGATTCAAAGAACAGACTAAATAGAATGTGTGTACGTGACATAATATATATGTTAAAATAATTAATATCTTATTTGCGTACTATAACGAAGTAAATTATTTTTATTCTGTACTTGTGTTAATTCCAGTTTTGTTTTACTATTAATACTTGACACATTCTGTGGTATTTACCATAATGTGTCAAGCATTGATAACAAGAATAAAAGTTAATCTCTGGTCGATTATACAAGTTTTGATGTAAGAAATATCCTTATAAAGATAAGTTCGGTTTTAGACAAATAATAGTTTTTTAGTTACATCTTATTTTTGTATTGTGTCTGTGTGATTTAAAGAATTTTTCAATAGTTTACTAAAAGTATATTGTGGAAAAATCTGTCCCGTCTTTAAATTATTTTAGCGGCCCAATCTTATAGAAGTGGCGCCTCTAATTACAGATATACATATATATTCAGTCATATAAGTAAATAAATTAAAAGATTTTTATCCTTCAAGATATGAAATCACAAATTATTTATTACCAGGTACAGTCAAACAGATAAATATATAATACACATCTTTCAAAGCCGTACATTTTTTTATTATGTCTAATCTACTTACTAATTAAATGTAGAAATATTGAAGTAAACGCTTGATGGATGTTGTTGCTTACTGTACATACTCTCTCACACATGATGATCTATATCCGCGATTGGATGAAGTCATTCAGCACCAATATACCATGTCCGTAATATTGCAATGGCACTTTCATATACGGCCACATTATAATGTGCAGGCTTATAATTAACACAGAAATAGTTCTACTATACCCTATTAGTACTCGTCAATTAAGTACACAGTTCACACAAAAACATTCAACTAGATTTCATTCACGAAATTCATAGACTTTAATTGTGATGTGTAAATGTCAACACATTGAGCACCGTAATGCCCAGGTAATAAGGACTATTCAACTGATTTCATAATTTTGTTGTGTTCTATAAAAATTAGAATGTAAATACGTATGGTAAATTATACATGTATACACAGCTCGTTATAATAATATAGGTTTTATTTAAATATTATTAGTAACTTTGTTTATTAATTGAGATGTAGAAATTGTATCGAATTTTGTCAAGTATGTAGTTATTTTTTTATTACATTATTATTATTATTTACAAAAAAGGTAAATGACAAAAACATAAATTTGTATAATTGTTCAATACACATGTGGAACAAATTGCGATTAGAGTACGTTTTGTAGTGTATATGATTTTACATGTACTTATCGCAACTGTTTTGAAAATACAATACATAGAGTCGTTACAAGATGTTTATAAAAAAAATATACAAATTTATATTGTTGCAAATGATATGTATGTATGGTGAAAATGAAGTGTTATAAAACAGATAATCATACAAAATAATATACCGTACATATTTGTAGATATAATACATAAATGTATCATGAAATCAGAATAAACAATTTGCTATAAAAACGACTACGAACAAAAAAATCCAAATTTCATAATTCCAACCCAAGAACCAAAGGCTTAACGAGTACTCAATAAGTTAATTAAATGTATTTCATAGCGAGAAACAAATGTCTTAATTGGCGAAGCCTGCACCAAGCACTCGGGTGGAGGTGTTTAAACTCATAGTTCGTCGTATGATGAGCTCCCTCTTTCGTCGAAGGGTCTAGAACGTTCGCCCCAGCGATCCCATCTCTCCGAGCTTAGCAACGATTCCGTATCTTCGTCTTGTTGGGGCAGAGGATACACGATGCCGTCTCCAAAGCTATTTCCATAGTATAAAATAAAAGAATAATATCCATATAGTAACAAGAAGGGGATTATATTTTTTAAACAAATGACAAAACGATGTGATTTTAAAATATAGAATGACCACAGTGAAATAATAATAAGGAAGGTTGGGAGTGTACTGAGGATTTAGTTCACTCCGAGCCATCCTTCTACGTAATGTGTCGAAATGCAAGTAAATATATGTTATATGGATATCTAGCTAATTGTCTAGCGGTGCATATAAACTATTATAGCTGCATAAATAATCTAAATGAATTAATACTAATGAACAAAAGTAATTTTTGAAACAAAATTTTGAGTAAAACAATGCACATTTTTATTAGCGATATAACTATAGCACCATAATAAGTTCGTACATGATCTAGCGATTCCGTGAGCTCTTCAAGTGGGGAGGAGTCATGAGAAGCGAAATCAAGTAAACTGAGTCAGGGAGCCCGAACGTCTGTACTCTGTTCCGTACGAAATACGTCGACCAGTATAAAACGAATAATATAGCTGTGTAGTATTATAGCAACATTTAAATTGTATTCTATTATAATTGCACATATTATATAAACTGTATATTTACCATGATGTAATAAAAAAACAAAGCAACCAGTAATTTTTGTCAGGTCTTAATATATTTTTACATCTACCGACATCTCCAGCCGACCCAATACTAGGACCTTTGTAACAGCGTCGAAATATCAGGAGCTCATAAATCATATTATCATAGTATATATCCCATTTGTATCATATGTACAATTTTCCAACCAAAATTAAATTTAATATATAAAATATCAAATTATATATTAACTTTATTTCTTAATTTCAATTTCATTTATTAAGAATAAGTAAGTAATCTCTCTACGGTGAAGGGTAGGATTGTTAGTACAGAGAATATAGGGTGGACCTCGCCCATAATAAATAAAAATATTTCGCTTCCTTCGTACTTTGTGATATCACTAATAAATGTACGTTGTCAATGCGTCTGGAAATACCTACAATATATATTACACCAAATATACATGACTAGGAATTGCTTTAAGTTAACCCACTTAACACGTATAAAAATATATAGTGTATCAACTAGATTTAACGCAATACCAGTATACTAGCACTACATAACTCTTAAGCAACTACTAAAATACAATAAATTCAAATTCTGCCGAACCGAATTAGCATGCAAAAGGACACATCGCCGTTCAATTATATAGAGAATATTATTTTCTGTAACAGTAAAAAGAGAAGTGAATGACAACAATTTTGAATATATTTTTTGAATCCAAAAAAGGATGATTTTGCCGATGAATGAAAAGCATGTTAAGTCGAATATATTTTATTGTAATAAAAATATTGTGAAATTGAAATAGAATTAAATTTAAGTATGTTAAGCTTATACTATTTGCGGTACGGTGCGGCCCTTTCTGGGGAAAAGTCTCCATCTCTCAGTCTCGTAGCCCATCTCCGCGCTAAAATAGTAACACAATGCTCAATTTCTAATGTAACCCTGGTGTGTTATTTTATAGTTCATAGAAGAGAGAAGTTCATAATAAATATAAAAAACATAATATTTGAGTGCTACAGATATATAAACAAAGAATGTATAATTTCGTCAACATTAATAATAAAGTTAAAATCTTAAAAAAAAGTATGACGTATGCGACAAAAAAAACATAATACTGCATTTATATAACAGTATCGTACAAAGTTATTCATCGATTTCTGTTATTATGCGCTATATTAACCTTAATTAATATGCGGACGGTTTACTGTATATAAGCTTCTGTTGTACATATATTATATCTTTACTATTATCTTTATAACAATATACGTGTTACCTACAGATACAGTATATAGCATAGATGTTTACTCAGGCATTAATATTATATGCAATACATATAACAGACATTTTTATACATTACAAAATCTATATAAATATATCTCATATATTTTATACATAAATATTGAAGTAATAAAAACATCTGGAGCACTCAATTACATGCAATAAAAGACTGAGAGAGTAAGAGAAAATTTGAAAAGTAACGACGAAGTAAAATAATATAGAATATACAGCACACAGACATAGAAAGAAAAATAGCTATAAATTATTGTATCCATTTGCTTGCTAATCTCAAGCGTGTTTATTTAAGCTGTAATATATACACTTGTTGCTATTTAAAAGCAATCTTATTCTCATGTCAATTTCTGATTTCTGAAACTTGGATATAGCATTTCATAGCCACTTTATTAATGCTTTAAGTTTCCTAAGCATCGTTATAAAGATCCTCTTCTTCCTTTGCCAATTATAGTATATATTATTATATGTGAACAGTAAACCTTGACAAGATATAATATATACCTTGTTCATATTATTTATTATATATTTTGTACAGATTAGTCCTACAAACAAGCAAATATTATTTATACTCCTACTATTAGTAGTACCTATTAATAAAAAATATATAATAATATTTATTTTATTTCTTCAATTTGTAAACAAAACAAATGTTTTTATTTTTCTATGCAACCGTGCAAACTACAAACAAGGAGATGAATTGAATTGAGATGAAACGAATTTATTGCTATTTTATGTAACGAATATATATATATATATATATATATTAAAATGCGTGAAATTATCAATATGCAGTTAAAGCTGCAATTAAGAAGCTAGTGCGAAACGAATGGGTTTTAATCTTCTGTTCACTAATTATTATACAAACAAATGTTGACCTCCGGCGACTAGTGAATAAAATAAAAAACAAAACAAAAGAACAAAACAGTTTATTCTGCAAAAACATACAAAACATAAACAGAACTTTCTCTAACTTTATCAGTCTTGTGTGTTGTATATAGCTCAGAAATTATAAATGCATTAAAAAGCAATTTGCGAATATATAGTTATTTATATAATATAATCATTTCGATATTGGAATTAAAGTTTATTACAAAATTGAAAGACACTGTAAATTTAGACACACGTCAGCCGAGCATTCCCACATATCTTGAGCATAGAAATATATAGTTTATATATTATTCAAGTCTAAGTCATTTATAATGTATACAATGGTCAATGATACATTTCAAGTGTATACATCAAATAGAAAGATTTTCTAAAATTTAATAATTAGAAATTTTTAGCTGAATGTCATTCGTATGACAAGTAGTCATATAAAATTTTACTTAGATTCTGTATACATTCACGTGTATATTTCAAACAGACATTAGAGAATTGTAAATAATACAACAACTATCCCGTTTACTTAAGGGATTTTTTTCTAAAACTAATTATCAACTAATATTATACTAAGAATTAAGGATAAATTAGTAACATTTAATTAACATGTAATTACAATTAATTTTTAAAATAGAACCATAATAAATTTATTATCAAAATATCAACGTCACTTTGTGAGATATGACCCTTACGGACGGTAACGTTTTAAATTTAAATAATTCGTTTGTTTTGGCACGATTTATATGCGTGCTAATCTGTATTGGACATAGATTTTTGAGCGTAACTGTTATATTTATACTCAAGGTATGTGTTTAATATCGGCTGAGGGGCGTCCATCCTTATGGTCTGACCTTGACCGCGTGATGCCCATTGACTCGTACCCATTAGTCTCCTGGGGGGTCGTGAACGTCTGTAGTTGGTGTTCGCGGCGCACCGGGAATTCGCACCCATCCCCGAGGCTGATGAAACGATTTATATTGGAAATAGTTGAAGTATTTTTATTGCTTCACAATACATCATACAGAGACATTTAGTGCTTTGTGAATCATCACAATTAATTTTAGATATTCAGCTATAATAAAGTATATTTAAACGTATTGTATTTCTTATTATACTTTATCACTATACACAATATTTTCCTTTCCAAACGACGTATAAAAGAATCTTCTTGAATTTTATATGTTAATATATACATTGAGTTGTTATTAATTAAAGTATACATAAATAAATATATTTAATAGAAACAGGAATAGTATAAAATGTTGTTACCTTGGTGGAAAAGCGGTGCATGTGGAATTAAATGTATCGAGATGTAATTAGTGATTCAATTATATTTATATAGAATATAACATAGTATACAAAAATAATGCTGATTCTGATGAATGGGTAAGAATACTTCTCTCCTGTACAATAATATAATATTATATATACTTCATTATTCAGAAGCAGCACCACAGATGTTAAACAAATTGCAAATATTATGAATGATTTCGATTATGAAACTGGTGATTAGGTTTATGTTATATATACAAGCATATTTGAGTAGATATAATTATGTTAAATCATAATAGCATGATTGAATGTTAATAGTTTAGTGTATTAAAAATTTCATGAAGCAAAATTTTTTATGATAGATTCAAATGAAATTCTCGTTGTTTTTCTTAAAACCATTGTGTCGTTGGTTAGTGTGTCATTCACTTCTTTTTTCACACATTAAAAATCATGCACGCATCATTAAATCAGGGGCTGAATTATTTAACGCCGTTACTAACAATTCTCAGTTGATACAGATTAAAATCTACAGCTATGACATTATGTATGAACCAGTATTGCGAATAAACAAGACAACTTAGACACTGTTTTAAAATTTTTCACGTTTATTTACAATAGTATATATATATTATATAAACGGGCTATTTACAATAATGATATGTACAAAATATCCAGAGCTCTTAAATCATGTAAATGTCTCGTTTATATAATGAGTACATTTTCTTTAAATAACTATTACAATTCTCCAATGGTTCATACAAAATTGTAAACCAATAATTCTTAATATGTTAACTTGAGAATTGACATTAACTACGTTATATAACAAAGCAGTATATCAAACATTTCAATATTGGCCGCCACAAATTATCTAGAGCTATTTATGTGTCATATCATGCATGTCATCACGTCTCTATTATATATTACAGTTCTCAGACTAACATCCTTAATACCGTAACATAAGATCTATTCTATCAATGCTGTAGTAATCTGTACATATTGTAGGGCCTATATTGATCCATTATTGTTGAAATATGGAAATATAATGAACTTCTTATTATACTTCCATAGTATTTATGATGGAATCTGAAAATATCTGTCAGTGTCTAGTTATCAGTATCGGAGAAATATATGGAATACATAGATTGTCATGTTTATGAGTTCAATTGACTTGACTGCAGTGTTTGTCGCAAGGAGTGATAGTAGTCATGAACACTCCAAAAGTTCATAAATATTTATAGTCTAGACTAGAAATCATAAAATCTAATATAATCCAAAAATATACAACTGTTTACACTAAATCAATCAAGACATAGCGCGGTTTATATGACAAGTAATAAACATACAATATTTTATAACTATGTACAGGAATTTAATGAAAGAACTATGTTTTCCTGTTATTTTTTTATTATTATAAGTATGCTTCTTAGGGCAAGTTTATTTATTTATAATTTGCAGTGTTTCATTAGTATTAAATTTTGCTATCATATACACATTACGCTTAACTCTGCATAATAAAAAAAACTATTTCATGGAATCCATCCTCAATGAAATAAGTTTGTATATGAGTTTGAAGTTTCCGTATACAACATAGTATTGAGTCATATCATAATTGCACTCAATGAAATAAGTTTGTATGTGAGCTTGAAGATATCAATATATAGCATTAAGTCATATAATAATTACACCCTAGTTGGAGCATGGCCACCATCTATAAGCACAAACATGTGTATAGTCAATTTTCATAGGATTGGCTTGCATAAGTACGGCCGAATTGACAAACTGTGGGCCCTATAGGCAATGCAATTTACGGGATCATTTTCTAATTTCATGAATTACATATTTTCTACATTTTCTTTACTGTATTACGAAAGTGTACAATCGCCCTATTGGTTAAATTAAATAAAATATATGCGCTTTATTTTTCTCCGTCCGCTACACGCCATATCGATGGGAGACGCCTAATTAGTGGCCTACTTTTATGTATAGTCCGAGACCCTGTGCATAGATTTATAATTTCGGTTGGATGTTTGTAAAACATTTATATAAGGTTGTGTAAACCACATCGTTGACTAAATAGATGTGCAAACATTGATATAAAAAAAATGTTACCTTGTGAACACTGGCAGCATCCATAGGTTCGGACTAATTCCGAACACTTCTTTGAAGTTATTGTAGGCCCCCATAGAGAAGCCGTTCTTGTCGGCGCCGCTGCGGAACATCGGCGCTCGGAACGCTTCTGTAAACAGTTGCAATATATATATATATTATTTTTATAAACATACAGTACATTTTTATGTACTTATATACAAAGAACTGAAGTACATATTTGGCTGATATAAAACCTATATATGTATGTATATCACTGATAACAAATTAAATACATATTAGAGACGATGGTAAGTTGGAAAATACATTTTGTGAGATTTCCAAGAGAGCTAAAACTATATAAAACTACGGCGATCAACAATTAACAGCAATTATCTACTGTTTATCTAGATAAATAGATAAATCAAATAGCTGTGATTTGTCTAGTAGAACACAGCTTACTAAGGAAGCTGGTTGACGGTTGTTACACATGGGACACAATTACACTTCTTATTCAATAATGTCATTTTACATGATACGATGTCAAATTTTTTAAATTTAATGTAAAAAACAAAAAGTTCGTAGGACAAACTACGTAAACGCCTACAAATATCTACGCAACGTGTGAATACAACTAAATACAATATACACAACATTATTATCGTTCATGTTCTATATGAAGTGAGAGCATTTACCATTGACCAATGTTTTTAACATATTGTTAATTATTTGACCAGTGGGACTGCCCAGCCGGCGATAAGAAATCAGCATATCTGAAAGCAAGTGGCTATTTAATTCTTTACAAATTTTATTAACTTTGTAAGAACTAAGTGTAAGGTAAGTTGTTGAGGCTGTTAGCCCTAACATAAACTAATAATGCGTACGATAGACGTAACACAATATAAAAAATATAATAACCAACTTTAATATTCAGGAGGATGGATTTGTTAGTATTAGGGCATGAGTATTGTGTGCTACGTTAGTCAAGACTTCGATTAACGAACACTGTTAACTCATCATTATATTAAAGTGACGCAAAAACTTTAGACTCCTTTTTACGAAAATTGAGCGGACGAAGCCGATGTGAAGACACTCTGTACATAGATTATATTAGTAACAAAATAGGTCATGGTTAAATGCTGTCGCTTCAAAAAAAAGAATACTTTCGAAGGTTCAGTAAATATAGTTAATTAGATTACCATATTAAATTATATGATCGTATTATAATAATACAAGTACAGAACCTGACTAAAATACCTAACTATTTATAAACCCTTGAACGGCAATAGGGTAAAAACTACAACAGTGGTTTCACATGATACAAAAATCAGTGAAATTACAGGAAAAGTGGCGTGACATCTTAGTCCTCTGAAATGGCAACGCATGAGTGGTATCACGGTATATAACACGATAACACGATGTCCGTAGATGGATACCACTTATCATGGTTAAAAAAAGCAGGGACAATATCAGAGCACTAGTAAGAAGCGCCTTGAAATCAGAGTCGATTTTCATAGCGTGTCCGCCTAGCTGATTTACCGAAGCACAACTGCTCCGATATTAAACTTAATTTTGTTTGCCGTGTGTAGACCATTTATCTTATTTTAAGAATATATGACAATAATAATTCTCACATATACAGTGATTTGAAAGTGCACGTACAAAATTTTAAGTACTCGTATTTTGTACGTGACAATATCAGGTAGGATCAGGTCAGAATTTCGAATAATAGCCTGTGAACACTTTAGTACATTGTTACAGTAACTAAAACGACAACTAGAAACATTTTTACATATTACCCTTAAACTGTTATTGTAACAAGGCACGAAAGCATTTACATTTGCTTCCTAAGTTTATGAATATTTCAAAACTAGCTGATCCGCGCAACTTCATCAGCATTACACATACTTAACATTTATCTTTATATTTCGCCCCATGTACATAATATATTTTAAAATTATAGCTTATGTATTATTCTGATATACATATAAGTTGCATTACTATAAAGTTTCATCAAAATCCGTTTAATAGTTCTTGCAAAAGTTTAAAGAGTAACAGACAGACATCCATTCATGGTAAGTATGGATATACTCACATCTGTTAGCGTTTCTAATATTAGTAAGATAATATACGAACCTAAAGTAGTTCTGTTGTTTGCGACGAGATAACAGTGGTACCCAAACAGCGATCCCAACGATATCGCAAACATGAGCGACACGAAGAAAGCGAACACGATGTGGTACCGGCCCGCACTCGCCGTAGTACTGAAGTCACCCTTTAAATTAAAAATAAGAATTATAGAAATACATATATCTAAATATATACAATATGTCAGACCTGTATATTATATTCAGGAAAATAAAGTGATTGATTGATATAAACATTTCTTGTCACATTGTTTGTCCGCGATGGAATTCTATAGATCAAAGGGCAAGAGGGCAACTAGAACCCGCAGAAGGAGTAATGGAACTGTTGAAGGCTAACTACTTTCTGATAGATACGACTTCCCGTTGTAATATCTATACCACCCTCCTGAATTCACTGAAGGGGGTGTCCCATTTCAACGTAGTGTAACCAACTAAAAGTTTGTCAAACAAGAAAGTCATACATTAGACATGTCAAACAATACCACGGGTGCAATTAAATGTACGTACGTTACACTTCAAAGCTAACTTATCTAAATAGTCTAATATAAAAATTAAAATACAGCGGTAAATAATATAAAGATGTTCCACAATGTTTAATTATATAACAAAAACATACCTACTTAAGTCATTCCCACTGCGATGCCGAGTTAATTTGAATCTAAACAATGTGGAACACGGATATGAAGTAACTAGATTTGAGATATATATATATAGGCATACTATTTTATCTGGGTTACTACATGAATTATACAAAGCAAATGTACTGTTAAGATGACCTATCGCTTTATTATTACTAAGCAGTTGTAAACAACTGTAGTACATACAATGGACTTTATCTTATTAAAGACATTAGATCAGAATGACCCCAATAATTCTGCAGAATGTAGAAAATTTGAAAGACAAATCAACTGGCAACTCTAATTAGAATTTATTTGAGTGTCGTGGCCTAGTGGTTTACTACCATGATTGCGGCTTTAACGGCGTGAGTTCAAATTGGACGGCATAAAAAAAATGTTTATCTATGGTGATTGAAGGACTGATAAAAAACCAAACTAATACGAGAGACGACGGTAGGCTCACTGATTACTTCGTTTGGATACAAATATACCGAGTAAAAAGCAGGTATGTCAAGTGTTGCGATCACGTCTACGACAGTTGACATTCCGTCTGACTACCCCAGCAAGGATGATAGTTATGAAAGTATTCTATACAATTTATTTGTTGACGTAATATACTTCTATAACTGTGTCTGTTTACTTTATATCTATCTGCAGAAGTTAAAACATAACAAAATACTGAACATATATACGGATTGTAAGCTATTATTTTACATTTAGAATGTCCATGCAAATTTTAGAATATGTTCCATTTCCAATGATGCGGTCGCAGTGGGCATGCTTGTATTCCTGATATATCTGTAAAATATTATAAACTAGTTTAAAATAGAACCACGACTTCAGAGGAAATAATATTCAATTTGCAATACGTTCTTACGACAGCGTTAAAGGAAAGCGATTGATATTATGAGTAATTCGTATCAAACGTACACGAGTCGGCGCGCGCCAGAGGATATTCTACACTATGTGTAATAGAAATAAAATTGTCTTCAGTGTGATCATGATTGTGTTCTTTTTATAAGGTGATGAGTAACCAATTTAGCTCTTGTTAACTTGACATAGTAACTAATTGTCATATCAAATCGGCATGATGACTATTAGGGATCATACTGGTCGGTTATACTCACGTTTTGTAAATTTTTACTTTAACTTGGATTAATTAAAACTAATATCCTATGGTCGAAATTAGACCATAATTAATTTAAATTATACGTTTGAACATTATTAAGGTTCTATTGCCAGAGACTATACTTTTATGCGTGTGTGTTACAAATACATGGTAGTGTGTGTCATGTTTGTTTTTATTAATTTAATGTATTTTATTATGCATAACTTTAAAAATATATATGCATTCTTCACTCCTACTATATAAGTGTGCAAAATTTCATACTCCTCCCCGTCCGGCTATTTTCGTAAAAACGGGTACAAAGTTTTTGTTTCGCGTATTAATACAGTGCTTTTGTTCATATTTTGACGCGGTCGGCTAGCGATGGATTACTAGATATGGGATTAAAATCTATTGCATATTCTTGCAAATATATTATTATTAGTGAAGAATATGGAATAGATGGTGAATATCATATCAGCAAATGTAGTATGAATGTTAATACAGCGATAAAAAATATTGTTTACAAATAATTTGTTTGTAATTATGCTATATTAAATAATACACGCAAATTAATCTCATTAAAAGCTATTAGTTTCTACAGGCTAATTTTCAATAAACAATAAGATAAATATGTCAAAGGTCCCTTGTAATTACTTTGCACGTCGTGCAAGATACGTTATGTTTATAGCAAAAATAATAATTAAATAAGTTATTAGCTATTTGTCTGTCAAATAAGGACAAATCAATATGTCTCTGAAAGTAAAAACATAAGGAAATCCTTTCTTAGACCGCCGCGGTGTCGAGACCAATCCTAACGTGTTTCTTGGAACTGTTTAAACTGAAACCTTTTTCAACATATTATTGCTACTTATATCTCACGTATTTCATATTTAATGCAACACCCAAGATGTTGCATTTTTTAAAATATATAATATTATTTCTTCGTGGATTTTAAAACATTATTTAATGTTATCAAGTACTGTAAAGTATTAATATAATATGACCTTTCACAAAGACACTAGGTATATACACTTATTTATGTAAATGTTAGGTACCTTCCAAAATTTAATGAAGTAAGGCAGACACGTGGACATAATGAAGAGGCAGTATAAGAGAGCGTAGCCAAGGAAGAGCATGAAAAACTTGTAGTTATGGAAGCAGACACAGTTGTTCACCCAGGGGCAGTGGTGGTCCATTTTGAGGACACAACGGGAGCAGATGCTACAGTGGTGAGCGCGGTCAGGCTTCACTACAACACATCGGTTGCAGTACCGAACTGAGCCCGATAATGTTCTGTAATATTATAGTCATGTTTCAAAAACATATATTTTTAAATTAATGAATAAGGAATGTTGCAGGTAGCCTTGATGACTCTTTGAAGATGGTATCTATACAAAACAATCAAATAAATATAAATAAAACTTGTATAATACGCAATCTAGTGTATTAATCACAAATTAATTTATAAAATAGTAAACGTCGTATTAGAACTATTCATAAAATAAATTAGTTCCACCTTGTACGGGATATTGTTCTCAGCTTGCTTTAACCTATATGTTGACCCACACGTAACAACATATTTAATGAAAATTTCATGTTCATTTTTTCATGTCACTCATTGATAAGTTTTCAATGTGTCATGATTGGGGGGAAGGGGATTGTTAGTAATGTGGATTGATAACCCCATTGCTAGCAATGTACCATGTCAGGTCGACCTCCACGCGGTTCCCCCTGGAAACCATCGTGTTAAATTCCTGGTGAATTTGTCACGATAGGCTAACTGACCTGACCTCATGCTCATCTTATCATCCTCCACAGGTGCCCCGCCAGCGTAAACCGTTAGCGCAGGCGGGGTGCACAATTCCATTATCATCCACAAAAAAAAAATGTGTCATGATTTTACGATATTATTACGTGTAAAGTAAAGATAAAGTTTATACAATTCTTTAGAAGTACCTCATATAACAATTAAACATTTTTTCTCAATTCTAGCTACATTATTACTAATTGACAAACCTTGTCAATATCAGTAAGGAATCAGCGCAATTTTCTAAAATTTACTTTTTCGTTTCCATCTTAAAAAATCGTGTGCTGATCGTTCGGATCGGTAGTTTCAGTCTAGAATTGAGAGCAATTCAATGTAGGGGCAATTCAAAGATAATAAATAAAAGCAAACTATTACATAAAACTGTTCTTAAGCCAGTCCTATAATCTGTATATTATATGACCTAATAATAATACTAGAAAAGGAAAAATGAACTCTGCCTATTGCTTGGAAAATAACATTATAGTGAATAATTACTTTTGTCTCTGGATTTATCTTTATTAAATTATTACTAATTCATATGGAAATATATACTTATTTTGTACGTATATTATTCTTATTTTTTTACTAGTAATAGAAAATATACATTACCTAGTAACTATAGGGAGATCTTTAGCAAAATTCTCCAAAATTGTTCTTTGAGCATCTTCTGAGTCTGCACTCAATAACTTCTCCAATTCTTCATCTGGTAATTTATACTACAACAAAATATATTAAATACAATACTATCTCGGAAAATTATTACATCATTCATCACAATGTATCAGATCAAATTGTTACGTCACATAACAGATCTGTTCCAGGACAGGACCTGATACGACAATTTGTTGTTTACTATAACATTAACAATAGATTAACCAATGATCAGACTATGGGCAATTGGTTGTTGTTATTTTATTAAAATGGAATGGCAAACAAGCTGCTAGCCCAACTGATGGTAAGTGGTAACCATCGCCTATATACATGAACAAAACTATGGACACAACATTATCATGTGACAACTGCGATACCACTCAGACCTTGTTCTCATCCTGATAATGTGAGGACAGGACAATTTGTAAATGATTACCATTAGATTAAAATTATATTCAGTAAATCAGTGTTCCTGCAGCCATAATAACACATGAAATCATCAGTTCAATGTGATTCAAAGAATTGTATTGTATTTGCTTCCTCATGTTGTATATTTCCTTGTATATGTATATTATTTACTTTAACAGGAATTAATTTGTTCTCTACAATCTGTGACTATTTAGAGGTGAATATAATTTTTTTTAACAAGGATCAACAGTTGCCTAGTTCTTTTCCTACCATGAAATAATAAAATAAAAATAAATTCAATACCATGATTATATCCAAATACATGATGAACCATTAAGATACCAAAATGAAACAGACATCCTCACTTTAACAACTATAACCTGTATTAAACAAAGTCACTGTTTTCATCTGTCTGTTTCACCACTTATTTCTCCTGAATGATGCAATAGATTTTGATATAGTTTCAACTACTATATTTATATCATATTTATAATTTCTTACAGAAGTTAATAACTGCAATACACTGTGTACCTGGGTAAAGTTGAGGTGGCTTACCCTGTTACTGTTATGTGTGTATGATAGGAATGTATTGTAGCTATTTTATGTTTCCCAAAATTACAAAATGCTACATTATTATACAAATTGTCTAAATTATACTTGTACAACCAAAAAAAAAAGGAAACAAGTTAAAATTTCTGATTCTGAAAAATTATTCTACTTACACCCATCTGATTTAAAACATTATTATTATCATTAAGAAAAATATATAATAATTTATTAACGAGAAATTACACTAAGTTATTAAGGGAAATTAACTTTCCTCTTAACTAATGTTTTGTACTGAATGGTATAAAAGTACATTTTTCAGAACTTTTAACTAATCCAGTTTTTCTTTATAATATAGAAAGATATGCACAACTAAGTTTAGTGTAGGTTTAAGATTATGTTATCAGTGTAAATATAGGTTATGACAACATATTTGATAAATTGATAACATACAACCTCTTCATTTGACATCCTGCCTAGGTGGTCCATACATGTTTAGCATATTGCTTCACCTTGTAATGGTTACAGGTTTAATGATCACACGGAACAAACATTTTTTATAATTATGTCTTTTGTATAATGAGTATGTAAGTGAGAAGATACTATTATTTACTGGCATGACTTAATGGCATATACACATATCTTCAAATATTTAATGGCAATGAACTGCCAATCACCTTTGAATGGAGTTTTGCTTATTTTCATCATACATACATTTGTATTCATGAATATGATTGTTTGTATTGTCAGGGTGTTTTTTTATGTAAATTATATATATATTAGCAAAGAAATAATGTATTTCTATCAGTTGTTTAGTACACAAACTCAGCTTAGCGTGGCACCAGATAACCCTGTGTAACTTAATATAGCAGTGACACCACATAAAAAATAATAATAACAGAATGGTTATTATTGTTTTTTTATGCCATGGCAATATTTGCCATATTGTAATACATTTTATAAAAAATTACCTGCACTATGCAATATTACTACATATTCCATATTTTTGTGGCCAATCATAAGTATTTATGTAATCTAATTCCTGAATGACATATATCAATATAAAAACTGTAATGGATACAATATTACTTAATTCTTAAAATATACTGTTGTAGATATTACATTTCTTTAACTATAACATATTGTTAGGTCCCTAAGAGTAACTACAAAGCATTTTGTAACATAATTACTTAATGTTGTTCATTGAACACAAATTTTATTTGGTGTTAGTTTGTGGGACTTAAAGTAAACACAGTTTAAGTTATAAATTAATAAATCTAAGTTAAGAACAAATGTTAAATATATAAAAAGCTTACCTTGTCTGGTATGGGTCTGATATCAGCAAAAATTGTTCGCCAGTATGACCAGGCAAACATTATCAACAGTATATGATACAGTACCATATATACACATTGCTGGGCTGTACTGTCGATAGTAACTGCAAAACGACATGACTCTTTGATTAATTAGTCACTTTCCTTTAGATGATACTAATCTAACGATAATTCAGTTCTAATCGTGACATATATTTGTCAATTTGTGTCATGTAATTCTTTGACCCCAAAATAAGGTAATAAATTAAAGTATTGCATATTAAAATGATGTTAGACTCCTACATTGCAAAAAATACCACACAAAAGGATATCATTAAATTACTAACCGATGCACAGCTGAAAAACGTAGGCATAGTATGACCATGTCACAATGGACACTATTAATAACACTGGGAGCCACTTGAAGGCCCTCCAACACCACATATTGCAGACTCTGCAACACACACAATATCCTGACGCTGATACCCTATTATTTTGTATTGACGAGGCCATTACATATATGAATAATTCAAGGAAAGGAAACTGTCCATGTTAGTTAAATGGAACAACAAAAACTGAATGACCTGACATTCGCTAGTTTTCACTTTATTTTACTGATTGATTGACTTTCGGAATGATGTGAAGTTTGACAAATGGCGGAAACTGAATATTTTTTAATATATCGATAAGCTATTCCCTTCAACCGATACCATAGTGTACAAATTTATGATTCTTACATATCTATATATTTTTGGATAAATATTAACAAACATGAAATAGACGCGTTTTAAGTAACATGGAGTAAATGGAATATGTTTCTATGTTTCTCTGAGGCATATTTCCGTCACACTGCATAATTTTTTGACAAATGTACCATATTTTAAACAATTTTATCTGATATATCGACTAAAAAGTCAATCTGTCGAGTATATTCGTATAGATTATGATCTGTGTTAAATCATAACGATGAGATCTGTGGTAACAGTGTGCGTCAAAAATTTTGTTGTGATCGCTTTTCCTTTTCTCAACAAACGTTTTTAAAATTATTAATAACAGGTTAAAAATTACATTTTAAATTATGGAGGTGAAGGAATGCAATGATCTCTCGGAGGAAGTAAGTTTATAAAACACTGCAGTTATCTTAAATTTAAATATTGATTAATTATAGATAATGTTGTGACGTGTTTCAGAATCAATTCATTGTGGACGATGTGAGCAAAATTATTAAAGAAGCTATTGAAAACTCTATCGGTGGTACTGCATATCAACATAACAAAGTAAATCAATGGACATCTGCTGTGGTGGAGTCTTGTTTGGGTCAATTGACGAAATTGCAGAAGCCTTATAAATATATAGGTATGCATATACACATGTCAAGAGATTAAGGCGCAACAAACACCGGTATATACTAATATTATGGAGCGACTTTAAAAACAAGGGTTCTGAATTGTCTGTATAAATCTTTATTTTATTCTATATCAATCTCAATTGTGATTGAATTTACATGATTCCTTCTGTATGAATATTTCCACTGGTCTTACAGAACTTTGAAGAATTAGTTTTTTTTTCTTAAACATAATATACTTGTTTAACATGTTATGTTGCAATTCTTGCAATAACATTGTTAATAATACTAGTTTTTGCTCTACATACACAATGACTCAATTATACAAGGTTAAATGTGTAAAACTTGTGTCTAATTTACATTTAGAGTGTAGGGCTATAAAGTACACTGTATGTTGGACTTTTTTGCCGCATTTAGCCTCTTGTCTGGGGCATTGTGTTTGGTATTAGTATATAAGCTACATTTAACAAAGTCATATCTTATTTCTCTGCAATGGTATTGCTATAAGAATACCATGGATGACACATTTTAATGTTGTTTATGTCCATAGTGTTGTTCATGTACATATATAGGCTATGGTTTCCACATACTATTAGGTGGGTTGTCAACTTGTTTAGATACCAGTTACATAATAAAAGCAGTTGCAGTTCTAACACAAATATATATTTTTACAGTGACATGCACAATAATGCAAAAGAATGGCGCAGGACTTCATACAGCCTCATCCTGTTTCTGGGACAATAATACCGATGGATCCTGCACTGTCCGCTGGGAAAATAAGACTATGTACTGTATTGTTTCTGTATTTGGCCTCGGTATTTAATATTATTGTAATAATTGACAATCTAAGTTAGTCTATTGCATAATTAAATTTCCATTACATCTCTTGCTTTATTGTTTAAAAAGAATGCAATGCACTGAAAAAAATTGTAGTACTCACAGAATATAGTGTTAATTTAAAGCAATTATAATTATGAGCAAATTTAGTGATTGCAAAATTAAAACAATGCTAATCTGTGTCAGATAACTTTGATCTAGCATATAGCCAACTACAAATAATTTCTTGTAATTAACTACTTTCAGTGACAAAATAAATTGTTACAAATTATGGAACTTTCACCACCTACAAGCCTGCCTTTACATTTCTAATTTTAATTCACTATCATATTCAGTCATCATCTAAGTTATATTCATATTCATAAATATTTACTGTTATGAACTTAAATATGTATGTATAGTAAATGTACAAATATAAACACTCCTGTCAGTACTTATAGTATTTTATTTTGCAATAGATAATTGTCATAACTTTATATGAATATTATTTACAGCCTTATTACTTATAAAATTACAGTTGTGGAGGCAGTCCAATATTGTGGTGTAATCTTCACCTTATACAGTTTAATGTATAACATTTATTGCATTACAATGCTAAACAATCATTAAAGTTATATGATTTGGAACAATTAAACCTTAAACTTTTATAGTTATACTTAATTTTAAGTAAGTAGGATATATTTTCGTACTAAATAAATATATATATTTAAAACCAATATACTCTTTTTATTGCCCTTAATATGACTATGTTTGTTTAAATATTGTTCCCTATAATATAGTTTGTGCATAGATTATAAATAATGGGTCTACTGAGACTTTTAAAGTTAGTATTCCTGCCTATTAATAATATTATACTGTCATTAAGTATAATATAATTTGTAAATCACGGGATCTTACCACGTTTTATTTTTGTTATATATATTTATATATATATATCTTATATATAATATATATTGGCGAAGATTATTAATATAGGACAATTCTATATATAACATGTAAAATTACACCGTTAATGTTCCTAAATAAATAAATAAATAAAATAATATATATCCTATAATATATTTCGGCAGAGTTTCAATGGCCATGATCACGGGTAAACTGTTTAACAAAAATAAAGCGTGGTAAAATCCCGTGATTTACTAATTATACTTATAAATAATGACCACGTCAAACTTAAATTATATACTGTAATTTTGCATAGAATTGGAATAGGAATAGAAATAGAATGGTAATACTAACATGGTTTTAGTGGAAAATACTATATACACCATTTTATTGTGTTTGACTTGAGCTTACATGAATCGTTGTTAATAAGTAGTTTTTTCATGGTATTAAATGGCTATTTTAAATTATTTATTTGCATACTTTGGACACAAAATATTAAATTAGTGTATTATAACAAACTTTAATATTAATTTTTATACTAGTAAGGGACTTAAGCATATGTCTCGCCTGATGATAGATGGCTAACTTACCCCTGTTTATAGTACTTTTTATAAATTATTATTTCTAAAATTAAATTCGTTTGACCGCAATCTCGCCTGACCTTTGTTTTCATACAAAGTCAAATGTAGGTAATCACAGCGGAGCGAATCATATTTGGGGACATATCCATGGTCCTAATAGGATAACAATTGAAGAACAGCATGGAAATAGCTGAAAGATAGAACATGACTAAGACCACAGTCAATGGCTGTTCTGTAGTTCATTCAGTAAGAGATAGAGTTTGTAAATTTCCCTATTTTTGAAATATATTTCATTGATTTTCAGCTCTTAGTAGTCGTAGTGTGATATTATACAGACTGTCCCGTAAGTAGTGAACCAACGGGTTATGGGGGGTAGTGAGACCTATTATCTAACAAAAATACTAAAGTTTATAGTCCTAGGTCTTTATTATGTTATGCTTTGTTTTTAAAATGTGGTGAAAATATCATACATGTAAGCTATACATTAAATTTTACCCTATTTGTTTTTTTTTAATTTTATTTTTGTTTTTTGTTCAAGGTAGTTAAGAATACATAAGTCTTCCTAATTAAATTAGATATTCAAGGATATTGAACAACAACAAGAAAATTAGAACATAAATTATCTAATTTATATTTGCATCTATAAACTTTACTTTACGTCTTATTTTATTCTATACCATGGGATATTTATAGGAGAAAATAAAAATATGATTTTTGTAAAAACCCTTTTATTAAAGTTTTTTGTTACAGTAAATGCTTAAAATTTCTTCCGCTTGCCCTTATACATAACCAAAACCTTTCTCTTCTCTTCTTTCTCTTTTCTCGATACACGGCGTATCTAAGAATAAAATAATTGTTCAATTCGAACTAGCAGTTCTTGAGCTTAGACCGTTCATGTTATATAAACATACTCTGAAGCTTTATATACTCAATTTAATAAGTAGGACAATTATTTATGAACACGTAATGACAAAAAAAATGATATTGTAACATTAACATAATTTGTACATTAGTATAAGTATCAACCTATAATACTGCTACTACAATTATGTGTCAAAAAAAAATTAGTCCCTGCAAAACTAAATCTGAGGGAGCAATTGTTCGAAATGTATATAACACTTCGAACAATAGGCAATAAATATATCAATTGCGTAGACTTTCTTCAATAGTCCGTGTTAACAGAATTGGCCAGACACTATTGGAGAATAATAGGATGAGCATAAAATAAGATCATTAGCCTAATGCAACGAACAAATTATAATCCTCTGGTCAGATACTTTGATTTCAATAATAGCATTTGGCTATTTGATCAATTCTAAAAAAAATCCTATTTAGTAATAATGGAAATAATTAAAGAATCCTAATTGTTATTACTAAATTAGAAGTAATTTTAATTTAGATGTTATTATAGTAGAATGGTGACAAATATACAAGTGAGTCAGAGTTCTTAATTATTTAAATGTAAATAAGAAAATATAACGAAAACACATATTTTTAAAAATTCGCGGCATATTCAGCAGCGCAACATATTTGTGTCACGTGACTCGACATCGATCCAATGGTTGAGCGCGTCTCGGGTCCATTCAACTCGGCTCGGCCATCGCCGGGGAGGGACACTTCACAACACCGATTCTATTCATACATAGAAATATTTATATATTTCTGTCTCTTTTACGCGTATTGAGAAATAGTTAAATGAATGGTGAACGAGTGAAATAGGAATATGTTCGAGTGGAAATTATTGAAAGCTGGGCCAGGCCAGTCGCTATGTAGAATTTTTTTGATGTGGGTGTTGTGTCTCGGTACGTCAAACGCTTCAATGATTATTATTTTCAAGTGGACCTTAATTTTTGTGGAAATCGTCATCTAATTGTATGTTTCGTGGTGTTTCATAGTGTTTGATGAACATATTCCTTTGTGATTGTAGACAATTTATCTAGTGACGGCAGATAATAAACTGGAGGGGGGGCTGCTAAAATACTACGACAGGATAGTAACAACGTTTTTACAACTCGAGAGGTGCTCGGAGCGCTCATAAAATTCTCATCTCAGCGCGGACTAGTGGGACTTCCATTTTGTTATAATATGTGGTTTGGCTGTTTACACGGTGCGTTGTGTTCAAGACAATGGAAAGCGACGGTGAGTGGTATATATAAAAAACGAGATGTCTGCGCATGTATATAGGGCGCATATCACAATAAACATGCAGGTGAATAAATAATGGCATTCGATTTTGTGCATCGTGATGGCGCAGTCGTGTTGAAGGAGATGAGATTAGTCATTAGTGCAAGCAGGCGGCGCGGTCAGTGGCTGTCTCGTGCGTAGCACAGCACAGGTTTCGACAAGCTAATTGATTCCGCTCAATCTGTAAGCATGCGCCGATCGTGCATATGAACATACATACGTCGCGTTTACACCACCCTTATCAGCTGATTACACTAGGTATACAAAATGAATCGGTCATTCTAGCATATAAAATATTATAGCAATCTATAACTAGTTGCCTAGTTAACGCTGCTTCAATTATTAGTTATAAGCACTGGTAGTGTTAATCTGTTGATGCACTTGCACACCAATAGTTATTGGAATGTGATTTTTTAGAATATTATATTTTGATAACTGAGAAAATAAATAACAAATATAATATGTATATATCCAACAATATTCCTATTTCATCAAAATGTGATGAAGTAATATATGTGTACATATTTATGTACTTATATTATATCTACGTTCATCAAATAATTAATATAAGTACAACATATAAAACCATGAATCATGGTATATATTTACAGTAATACAAGTAACTTGGAGCACCCATACAGGTTACAACATGTTTAAAACTTAGTGTAGCCAGATTAACAAGTATTTTAAATGTCAAATTATTCACATGAACTATCTTTGTATAAGAAACCTGTCAAGTGTGAGTCTGATTTCTACCCATAGGGTTAGGAACTAATAATGTTTATAGGTAATTATTATCTTTTCTAATTTATTTTCATATGTACAAGATTGTTAAACCTATAATATTAGACATTAATGTGTTTGGGATTTCCTTAATTTGAACCATTTGTGGCTATAAAATCAAACCATGTAATGATTGGTTTCCATGTTTATCTGTGTGGAGTTTCAATGATTTCTAAAGATTATGCATGTATTAAACTACCTTTTTATTTTTCCTGTAATTTTTACATAGTCTTAACTGCAAGTTTGTTTGATATTTTTGATACCAATTTTTCAGTGGGGTTTTTTTTTATTTTTACATTTTCCATGTTAAATCAACATATATCAGCCATGAAATATAAGTTACAGTTACCTCTACTGCTTCAAATAGTACACTATTTTAGCTAATAGGGCTACTTTAAAATTTCAATTCTTCTTTTCAGGTTTTTTTTCTTGTGGTATCGCATTTACCCCGATTTTAGGATATTCTCCAAAAACGAAATGTTACATCATTAATTTATATCTAACAACGGCCATTTCAGGTTCTTGCTTCTAAAGTATTTTTTTTTAATATTTCTTATCTATGGTTAACAGTATCTCAGAATACCGATGCTAATTTCAAATTGATAGCATTAGTTGTAATCTTTAATGTACAAATGGAATGATGTACAATCTCACAATAATGTCATAAGGTTTTTTTTTATAACTTATTGGTTATGAACTCTTAAATGATGACATCTTACAAGTTGATCTAATTATTCTTTATATTAAAAGAATAAATAAATTTGGCTTCTGATGTTCCAATAAGTTTGGACATGGGGTGGATTAATTGCAGAAGTTTGCCATATCTATATATTTTTTTTCCGTAATCTCTATCATGAAATATGCTATATTTATCTAAAGTAGGTTAGAACATAGATTTGTATATTCTAGTTGTTGTTGTTTGAAATGGCTTGTTTGTCAGTTTGTGATTTGGAATGCAAACAAGGTGATAGACCACTTCAGTATAGTGATAGCCATTGCCTATACATGTTTATAATTTTGTTTATTTGCATTCTATAGTGATATGGGAATTGGTGTCAATGTGATATAATAATAATAATCATTATTTCCTACTTAAGTACAAGCATCCTTACAATAGAATTTATACTTAAACTTTCAAGTATGTAAAACAATAGCTTTTCCTTATGAGAGTCCAGAGATTTAAGTGCCTTGAAATCTGTAATGTATATCTCCACTCTCTCCAGGACCATATATATAGAGTATTACATATATATATACAATATTATACAATATTATTTATTTATTAAAACTTTCATGTATAAAACACTAATATAGATGCATACTTTATATTATACATTTTATATATCTTCTAACAGTAACATATCTGTTTTGGTTTGAACTATTCTTGGATTATTATAAAAACAGTAACTATGTACCCTTGCGTTCGTCAATTTTTTTAGACGAAATACAGCCTTTGTCCCTTTTTATTTAGTCTTTTTTTATTATGATTGATGAAATGTAAACGAAAGGCACACTTTAACATTAGTATAGATTATAAATCACAGCATGTTGCAATGCGAAAACTGCCCTATTTTTTATTTTTATTAGACATATTGTATTATTTTTATTAGAACGCGTGCTTTTTTTTATCCAATAATCCGTTAATAACGCTGCGATAAAACTGCGTCCAATTATACCTATTGTGATAATTGCATTCACTGTTCTTGTATAGCACGAGTAATACGTTTTTTTTGTGTGGCAAGCATGTTAGACACATTATGGCAATATTGTCATTGTAACAAGCTTGTAACATGGTACAGGCTTTATTTATTTATCAGGGTAATTATCATATTTCTATATAGATACACATTTAGCTAACTTTAATATATACAGACAGCATCAGTATAGTCGTAAGTGCGTTTAAATATCACTACTCCATTGTCTAGGTATTTTTAAGTTCCCGAGTTCAAATATTAATAAAGTAGGAGGTAAAGTAATTAATATACCTAATTTCTATTTGAAGATGATTGAAGATTTTTAAGATTTCTTGATGCATTCATCTCTGTAATAACATGAAATAAAATTTGGATAAAATTTTTGAAAAGTAATTAATAAAAACAACATTTAATTTTTTTGGAAGAATATGAATTGACTGCACCCGTCTGCATCAACGGTTCTTTTGAAAATGGTACTGATAGGATCAAGTCAGATAGGTTAAGCTATAGTGGCGCATTAACTACAATAATTTCCATGGAGACAGTGTGGAGGTCTACCTTAATGCTAAAAGCATACATGCCAGCAACTGGGCCATTTTTGTAGTTCTCGTTACTATTCCTATCAACATAATTGTCAACAATCTCAAACTCACAACCACTATTGTATGTTACTGGAGTGCAAATTAACTGGCTGGCCGACTTGATGATAATAATGACATGAGCAGTACATATATATTTTACATCAATGGGTCAACATACGTGATTCGTTATGCGAGTCCACTAATAGCATCATTCAGAAGAAAGTATATGCATAATATGTACCTTTAACTTTTATGGTATGAGCAGAAAAAATTAATAAATAAAATAAATCCAAAAGGTACTTTCCCGAATGCTGTTATTCGTGATAGAATACAAGTCATAATTCCAATATAAAATGCCTTTTCGCTTTATTTCTTATCACACTCACACTACTATTATCACCGTGACGGTGCTTAGCATTCGTACTGCTAGTGCTATATGGTTTTTTATATGTTACACCTATGGTAATATCATATTAATTTCATCATAACACTGAACTTCACAAGTAAGGAGCCATCCAAATTACGACACACAATTTCATTAATGCACCCCCATATATTAAGCAGATATATAAACATATAAGAACATTTTAAAAGTAAAAATTTCGTGATTACTTATATATTTAAATTGAAATGTGATGTCAAAAATGTATAGTAAATTAGCCTTATATATGTACCGATGATCTGATTTAGGGCTCCTGGATATCCTGGATAAGCGCCATATAATCCCAAGCCAAGATCTTGTGTTATGGGTTCCAGACAACTAATATAAATATTTAAATACATTTATTTTTATATCTAATAGAAATAGTCCGTCTATTTGTTCAATTTTTTTTTAATTATTTTGCGCTAAATAAATAAGGGATCAATGCTAATGACTTTCTCTATCAGCCAACTTTTGTTACTGTAGACATACACGAGTCGGTTAGTAACTAGCAGATATGTTTTGAGTGTATTTGAAGAAAATCTAATCAATGACACATCAAGTGTGTGTCGTGAGCCTATGGACCATCTTTTTATTTGAGCGTTGACGTATTGGGGAAGCCCGCGAACACAACTTCTTTGCATGAAGTTGCATAACACGGAAAGGATTTTTATATTCACCTAAAAACTATTTACATCCGCAAGGTTTTGGCAGTAAATACCTTTTGTAAGTAACCATTTGCCCTATTATAAGTAACTGCTGAAGGAAGGGCGTAGTCGTGCTATATTTGCTATCACATGTCTTAATTTCGTTGTCCCGCTAGGATGTTATACTTAAACTGAATTAATCCTTACTCCTTGCAAATATGAATAAGCTTCTTAAGGTGACAACGGCTCAACTAATTTTCATGGTGCTATTTATATGATAACTCATAAATTAAGTGTACAAGATAGATTTCTTATTAAGAAATTTAGTATACACTTAATATCGATTTATATTAATACTATAATTACGCAAGTCTGTCTGTTTGAACAAACAATAGTTATACCCTGGGAGAGTCTGAAGTCTGAACTAGGTCGAAACCTGTACACATCTTCACACATTCCATTGGAACTGTATATATGTAAATACCTACGAGGAACGGTTGGGTATTCCGCGATGTTTAGTCTCAATAACAGCGTAATATATATAACATTGTATTATCAGTTCCAGAAATTTTGTGTCGCAAGATTCATTAGCCAAAGCTCGAGTAAATTCATAGTCAGAATTCAGAGAACGCAATCTGTATACAAGTGAAATAATATATCGACACTGGTGTACAGTGTGTTTGACAGGTCATATTACTATTACTTCTATTATTCTTGTAAACTAACTGGTAGAAATTCTAGAAGTGGCAGCGAAAATCATATTAAAATCAGTTGGTGAATGGAGAAACAAAAAACGTGGTTTTCCTACATGCTATATACTTCTATGGAG